TGTTTAAGATCTCTGTCAAGCAACGTAAGTAGCTTTTAAATGACTTAGGAACAACACGAAGCAATCGCAGAAATTATTTACGAAGCTCCCATTTTTCTTTTGTGGGTTCTTGTTTTTTTTCTTCTTTTGTTTGCTTATATTGATTCTGATCTGATATAAGTGTGTTTTGCTTCTCTGTTTGATTATAGGAATCTACAAGTATTAAACCTTGCTGATTTAGAAACGCCTGAGTGCATTATCTTCGAGGAAAATGCATAGAGCAGCCAGTAAACGGGTAACTAGGAGTAGTGGATCTGGTTTGAAGCAGACAAATGTAGAGATTAATTCAACTGTTGACAAAGTATCTGAACAAGGCAAAACATCAGAGGCAGGGGGTCACATGCCAAATGATGCAAAAGAAAATGGACATTTGCATCATGAAGTTGTGGAAAATGGAAAGGGGAAGGAAGAACAGAAACCAACCCCTCAAACCGGGAAGAAGAGATCTAATACCAATACCAAAATTTCAGGGTCGCATCGTGAACTTGTCATTGGTCTTCCTTGCCGCGGACAATTTGAAATCCACCAGCGGTCCAGGTCATCTACGAGTTCGAAGAGGTTAGGAGGAGGTGGAGAAAGGAATGTGTTGTTTGCAAGTCACAAGGGAGCTCAGAGATCTAAGGAAGATGCTGGATCATCTTCGGTTGCTGCTAATTCCGCACCTGTAGGTCGACCAAAGAAAAGGAATAAGACTATGAAGAAGGGAGAAGTTAGAGAAGATGATGAGTACACAAGAATCAAAAAGAAACTTCGATACTTTCTAAACCGGATTAGCTATGAGCAAAATCTAATTGACGCCTATTCGTTAGAAGGCTGGAAAGGTTCAAGGTGTGTCTCTCGGTGACATTTGTTTTCCCTCTTATTCATAGGTATCCTCTGTGAGATTTATTTCTGATTACAGTCAGTATTGTTGATTATGTGTTCTTTGTAGCCTGGAAAAGATAAGGCCAGAGAAAGAGCTTGAACGAGCCACAAAGGAAATTTTGCGGCGCAAGCTTAAAATTAGAGATCTTTTTCAGCACCTTGACACACTCTGTGCTGAAGGAAGCCTTCCAGAGTCTTTATTTGATTCTGATGGAGAGATTTCTAGCGAGGATGTAAGAGAAAATTGTTCTGAACTCGACCTTTGTTCCCCTGTTTATCCTGATAGAAGTAGTTTGTGTCTCTAGAAGTATTGATAATACGAGCAGTTGTTTAATCGCAGATCTTCTGTGCAAAATGTGGTTCAAAGGACTTGTCTGTTGATAATGATATCATACTATGCGATGGGTTTTGCGATCGAGGCTTTCACCAATACTGTCTTGAACCACCTCTGCGGAAAGAAGATAGTAATAATCTCTGCCTACGTACTTAGTAGTGTTTTAAGCAGTTCTTGCGCTGGTATCTACAGCTGAACTTTTTGTGGGTTTTAATTTTTGTAGTTCCTCCGGATGATGAGGGTTGGCTATGCCCCGGATGTGATTGCAAAGATGACAGCTTGGACTTGCTTAATGATTCTTTAGGGACAAAATTTTCGGTCAGCGACAGCTGGGAGGTATATAACTATATATGTTGATGTTTTTATTGTTTAAGAGGAGAAAACACTTAAAAAGACACCTGCCTTGAATTTTTGTGTAGAAAATATTTCCTGAGGCAGCAGCAGCGTTGGCTGGTGGAGGTCAAAATCTTGACTGTGATCTTCCTTCAGATGATTCTGATGATGAAGAGTATGATCCAGATGGTTTGAATGATAATGAAAATGATGAAGATGGCAGTGATGACAATGAAGAATCTGAGAACGAAGATGGTAGTTCTGATGAATCTGAATTCACATCTGCATCTGACGAAATGATTGAGTCATTTAAAGAAGGGAAAGATATAATGAAAGATATAATGGCCCTTCCATCTGATGATTCTGAGGATGATGACTATGATCCTGATGCCCCGACTTGTGATGAAGATAAAGAATGTTCAAATTCTGATTGTACATCAGACTCTGAAGAACTTGAAACTTCCTTCAAAGGAGACGAGTCTAATCAGCAAGATGAAGATACACCACTTGAGGATCCTGGCAGACAGACGTCTCAGCTCCCGTGTGATGCAATTTTAGAGTCAGATGTTGGGCTTGATGATGGTCCTGCCGGTGTATCCAGGAGGAATGTTGAAAGGCTGGATTACAAAAAGTTGTATGATGTGAGTGATCTCTCTTTTTCTTGATAATTGATCTTCTATTTGGTTTTGGGAAAACCTCTGAATGGTCGCATGGTCTGTGCAGGAGGAATATGACAATGTTCCGACTTCGTCAAGTGATGATGAAGATTGGGATAAAACAGCAAGAATGGGAAAAGAAGATTCCGAGTCAGAAGATGAAGGGGACAGTGTACCTCTGAAACAGTCTTCAAATGCAGAAGATCATAATTCTAAGAAACCTAGACGGAAGTCGAAAAGGACAGATAAAAAGGATACCTTGAAAGTGCCACAAGAATGTCCTGGAGAAAATGGTGGTTCTGGTGAAATTGAAAAAATCAGCTCTTCAGCAAATAAACAGACAGATCCCAAAACTCAGGTAAAAAGATATATCTGTCTTGAGGCTTAAGGAGCGAATCTTAAATTATTATGAGGGAGCTATAAATTGAAAGGATTCCACTTTTATGCAGAGATTATACATATCTTTTCAAGAAAATCGATATCCAGACAAAGCCACGAAGGAGAGCTTAGCCAAAGAGCTACAAATGACAGTTACGCAAGTAAGAAGTTTCTCCTTGTAAAATTGTTGTTTTTTTCCCCCCTTTTAGTCGACCTGGTTTCACCTATACTAAGAGCTGGTTATGTTCTGTAGGTTAATAACTGGTTTAAGAATAGGCGTTCGTCGATAAACAGCAAACCTTTAGTTTCTGAGGAAAATGTCGAGAAGTTAAAAACAGGTAAGGAAGGTGAATGTGAGACATCTGTTGCTGGAAGTAGCGTACAAACTATGGAAACTGAGTCAGTTGCAGAGAATAAGAGCAGGGCATCGGAATCAATCAATACTGGATCGCGGAAAAGAAGAAGAAAGTAGATTTTAGATTCAATCATGAAGGTTTTAGATCTAATGCAAGGACATAAATGAACACATACTTCCCAAAACCCCAAGATATGAAGACATCAAACCCTGCAAAGCATCGGGTTTGTTCAGTTGTTTGTTTCACATTTTTGGGGTACCTCGAATTTGAGGCAAAAGAAAGAAAGATTTTCTTTAAAATTGGATGATATGTTCATTTTTAAGAGTTAAGAAGTTAAGACATATGTACTGTGAAAGTTTTTGTCATTTCCAACTAGGGAGATGTTTTGACATAAGTTTTTTGTTTTGGTGTCTGTAATCGATAGAGACCGGTTTAAGATAAATATAGATTTATAGTCTTGTTTTGACCGGTCTGGAATTGCTTTCCCCTAATGGTATTACTAGAAGCCCATTAAAAGCCCATAGATGTTTATGATACATTGTATTAGAGACCTGGACTTGGGTAACGTGTTGCAGAAGGTAGAGGAAAATGAAGAAAGTGCTGAGAGTTTACGGCGGCGTGTTGAGGCTAGTGAGGCTTTTACCGGCAGACACAAGGCCGTATTACGCTAAGTACGCCAGAGAGAATTTCGTTAACTACCGTGAAGTCGACCAAAGCGAAACATCCCTCGACGAACTCTTTCAGCGAGCCTATAATCACTCACTTTGGGTACTCAAGAAGGTAACGAAGATTCTGGGTTTATTTCAGATCATAGATTCTAGGTACCCTTTGTGTTAATTGTCTGTTTTCAATCATTTGCAGTACTCAATTGACGAATCAGCAGCGACAAAGTTGAAAGAGATTTGTTTTGAATGATAACGCACACCAAATGTTCGACGTTATGTCCATGAGAATTGAAAAAATGGAACAAGTATGTTGTTTCAAGGCTTGGACGATTTGTTAAATGGATACCATCAGTTTTCTACTTTTGATCTCAGTCTAATCTACTTTTAATAGCTATATCAAGAACAGAGGTCGCTCATGTGTCTTTTTCTTTCCTTTTTGTTGTCTTGACTTTCTGTGTTTGACTGCTGAATTGGTCATTGTCTTGTTTGAGTAGTTTCTTGTTTGTTTCCATGATCCTGAATAAAATTGTTACGTTCTTGGATTCAAAAACATCACAATACTTAATATCATCTTTGGTAATGAAAGAAACTCATCAGAACAAAGGATAAGTGGCACTGAAGTAATAACGAGAGAAAGAGTAGGGATTGTTTGGGTAATAAAGTGATATATGTAGCTAAGGGACAACACACACACAGTAACGAGTAGTCTAACACCTAAAGAGTTTTAGGTCTTTGTTGGAAACTCGAAAATCTTATATGAAACCAACCTAACCAAAACCAAAGTCTTTTTAAGTTTGTTTTTGCTTCGGGAGTTAAAAAAAAAAAAAGAAGAAGCTAAAAAAAAAAGTTGGACTGGTTAATCTATGAAAAAATTGACCTTTCCTCTTAAGGATTGATTTTAATTTTAGTGGTTTGCCAACTCGTGGAGTTCAGTTTTTTTCTTACCACACACGTGTTTGCAGAGTCTTTGCACGTGTCAAACCTGGTACATGTCAGTTAGTAATTTTTATTTTTATTTTATTTTGTTATGTTTAATTTAGTCTGTGTAGTTTTATGTGTCTGTATGTTCATAACTATATGATAAACATGATAATGGTAATCTAATTTCTTTTTGTACGGTTTGGTAATATGGTTTTATTGAATACTATTAGATATGAATATGTGTGTAAACTGTGTGACATTTATTGTTTGTCTAAGTTCTAGAAAGAGAAACTCAAACAAAGGGAAAGCAGCAGTTACTAAGAAAGAAAAAGGTGAGAAACGAAACATCAGCTTCGAGTAAATCAAAACTACAGTTTTCTCGGGCCAGGTGGCTTTGACCCAATTTTCTCTTCAAAATTTATAAAATTCCCTTTCTACCCCTCCCTTAACGACTATCAATCAACACTAATCATCACTTAACTAAATTGTTTGTGGTTTGTTATGCATATCGACTAATATACTTACAGAAATATCCATACAGGTGTCCTATAAATTGAATACCCAATATATCAACAAAACTAAAAAAAAAACTATAATTTTTTCTTTCATTAACAGTCTAACACTCACCAAAGAGGTAGATAGTTTTGTGAAAAGATTCATATAAATATTTCTTTGTAGAATTTAGACAGGTGTTGTTAAAAAAAAAAACTAATAATTGTTTATTTATATATGAATAAATACATCAGCTATCTTGTGAATTAACCAGTTATAAAAGCCTAAAAAGGTAAAGAGAAAAACATTTCACCAAAAAAATTCTTCTGGTTAATGTTTCTCACCTTCTCTTGTTTTCTTTCTTTCTAACTTCTTTCCACGAAAATCAAGAAAATTAACGATGGGAGATACCGCAGAGGATCAGGACAACCGAGCTATGATGGAAGCTGAAGGAGTCACGAGCTTCTCCGAACTTCTTATGTTTTCTGACGGCGTTCTCAGCTCCTCCTCTGACCACCAACGTGAGGGTAATGTCGGCGATGGTGGAGAAGACAGCTTGGGTTTTGTATTCTCCGGCAAAACTGGCTCAAGAATGCTCTGTTTTAGTGGAGGCTACCAAAACGACGACGAGTCACTCTTCCTAGAACCTTCTGTTCCCTCCTCCGGAATCTCTGTTCTTGACCCTTCATGCATTAAGATCGATTCCAAGAACTCAAACGACGCGTGTACGGTCGATAAATCAACTAAATCATCAAACGTAAGTCTCTTTTGTTGCATGTAAAGGATTACAAATTTTGTTCTTTTAATCTTTATATCCTATAGAAAATTCAAGATGATTATTCATGTGTAACAACTTTGGTGTGAAGAAGAAGAGAACCGGAACGGGTAATGGGCAAGAGCCAGATCAAAATCGAAAACCGGGCAAGAAATGCAAGCGAAATCAGGATAAATCATCAGTTGGAATTGCAAAGGTGTGGCATTTAAAAAATATATATACATTTCTTTATCATCCATAATGTTACAGATTTATATTCTCTTCACATAATGTTATAGAATTACTCTTTATCTTTTTTTTGTTGTTAAAATAATAAAATTAGGTTAGGAAAGAAAGATTAGGGGAAAGAATTGCAGCGTTGCAGCAGTTGGTTTCTCCATACGGCAAGGTGATTTTTTTTATTTCTAACTCAATTCTTTTATAATGATGCACAATTTATGATTTTGTCAAGTCAAGTAGTAAGAAAGACCTCTAATCATAACACTAAAGTAATGAAAAGAATTTTAATAGTAAAAACTTTTGTTTTGAATATTTTAATAGTAATCATATTGAGTTTTCCAAAAGGAAGTTTAAGAAGTCGCGATTTGGGGTAGTGTAGCATAAATTGGCATCCAATGTGAACTTCAAAAAGACATCAAAGACAATGAAACTTGATCAATAAATTAAAGTATACTCATTTGTTTTTCTTTAACCATCATCATTTGCAATTACATTAGTGAAAATGTGTACTTTTTTAGAGGGGTGAAAGAGAATAAATATATCTACCAAAAAAATATCCATAAATGACTCTATTTGCAATAGTAAAATTTGACTTTTCTGACTGCTAAAAAGAAAAAAATTAATGACAGACAGATGCAGCTTCTGTGTTGCATGAAGCGATGGGTTACATCAAATTCTTACAAGATCAGATTCAAGTCCTTTGCTCTCCTTATCTAATCAACCATTCTCTTGTAAGTCTCTCTCTCTTAATTATATTTTTAATAATTAAATGATAATTCTGACATGTCGGCGACGTTTGTCAAGGACGGTGGAGTTGTCACCGGAGATGTTATGGCGGCGATGAAAGCGAAAGACTTGAGAAGCAGAGGATTATGTCTAGTACCTGTCTCATCCACCGTACACGTGGAAAACTCCAACGGTGCTGATTTCTGGTCACCTGCTACTATGGGTCACACTACGTCACCGTCACTGCCTAATCAAGGATTTTAATTACATTGCCATAGGCTGATATATATTAGTATTAGTAGCCTTTTTTCTTGGGTTTCTTTTTTGGCTGAAGAACTTACTACTAGTAAAAGTTTCACCCATACATTTTTGGGATTATCTCGGGTGGTATAAAAAGGTTGAATCTTTTTTGTGTTTGTAAAATTAGATTTTGATTTAAGTTTTCTCAAAGTTTCTTTGATGTCACAGTTGCGTCGAGTAGTGGTACTGATAGGCTAAACTTATTCACACACCTAAAAGCTTAGAATGCCACCAAGTCACCACTCACCAACCCACATAACTCACTCACTTGAGCTAAGACGTGCAAAACGTTTTTTGACCAAATTAATTACACTTAAGAATTAAGGGCTGAGTGTTTTGGTGTATGTAACTTTTTCTCAATGTTTCTCCGATGCCAGTCACGTCGAGCAGTGGAACTGAAAGGCTAAGATTTACTCACATGCACACCTAAATTGTAGTAATGCCACCAAACCACATCACTCACAATAGTAGACGTGCAAAAACATTTTTTTTCTTTGTTTCTTATTTTCACAAGCAATAATCAATGAAATGTTTATTTTGTTATTAGACCTGATTAGTTTAAATGATTAAGAATAGTTTAATCCCAATCATGTCCCAACTTCAAACAAACAAAAAGATGAAAATGGATTAATTAGAATTTATCAGCATTGTTGGATTAGTTCGAATTTATAATGTAGTTTTTGTGCTAGTGTTATTTCTTAAAAAGCTTGAAAACATATAGAAATTTTTAAAATTTAAATTTAGTTTGGGAGTCAATGTGTTAAAATACTTTTGACTTTACCAATAAATATGTTAAAAGTTTTTTACTTTAGTTATTTAAAAGGATTAGATAATAAAATCACCAGAATTTGAGATATTATTTGCAAATCAGACACTACTGCCACCGGTATCTTCATTACTTCGCCGGACGGCCGGAGATTTTATCACTTTCTCTCTTCCTCTCCATCTTCACTACTTACATCTCTCGCTCGCTCTTTTTTCTGGTTCTCGCCAATGGCGGTGTTACCTATCGGCTCTCACTTTGCACCGCCGCATCAGTTGACGAAGAGACACGCCATCGCGACTTCATCACCTATCTCCATCTCCACCCGATTGCCGCAAAATGTCTCCTTTTCGAAAGTATCTGGAGTTACAGGCTCGAGGTTATCCAAACATGGTGTTCTCGTCAGGGCCGAGGATAAGATAAGGAGCTCTTCATCTCCTTCTTCTCTCGATGAACCAATCGATGAGGTTCGAGTTTCCACGATGTTGTCTTGTTCAAAATTCGATTTTGCTATTTACCCATTTCCGATTTTGATGCAGTTTTAGCTAATTACTCATGAACAAGTTATAGATTTTCTAATTGGATAAGTTTTCATTCATATAGTGACCGGTAGAACACTAAAATTGGTGTTGTAATCGATGGTCATTGCTACAGAAATGAAAGTTTATATCTTTACTTGGTGATTGCATTTCAAGAGGATTTTTAATTTGTTCCACAGGATTTGATGGACTCATCAGGATCATGTGACCCATTATGTTCGGTTGATGAACCTAATTCGAGTTACTTCGAGGCGAATTATCAGCCAAAGACAGATATAATCAAAGCGCTTGCGATTCTTGCAGCAGCTCTTACAGGAACAGCTGCAATTAATCATTCCTGGGTCGCTGCTAATCAGGTGCATCCTTTGCTCTGCATGTTCTTTTTGGTTTTAAACTCAAAATGTAGAATAATGTGATAGTTACTGACTCACTGTCATGATATATACAGGATGTTGCTATGGCATTGTTGTTTGGAATAGGATACGCCGGAATCATCTTCGAAGAGTCTTTAGCTTTCAATAAAAGTGGAATAGGACTGCTGATGGCTGTGAGTTTGTGGGTTGTGCGGAGCATAGGGGTAAGAATGACAAAATTTTGTCTATCTAATCCTTGATGTATATGATTGATGTATATGGTTTTTGTGTATTTTGAATTCATTGTAACAGGCTCCTTCAACTGAAATAGCTGTTTTAGATCTTCAACATGCAACAGCTGAAGTTAGTGAAATAGTATTTTTCTTGCTTGGCGCAATGACCATTGTGGAGATAGTTGATGCTCACCAAGGGTTTAAGTTGGTTACAGACAATATCACCACTCGGAAGCCAAAGACTCTTTTATGGGTGGTATGTGATTTATCTGTAGCTTGAAAGTTATTCTTCTGTCTCTTCTCCTTCAAGGACATGAATTTCCTTTTTATTGATTTATGGTGTCGCAGGTTGGCTTTGTAACTTTCTTTCTCAGTTCGATTCTAGACAATCTGACCTCTACCATTGTCATGGTTTCTTTACTAAGGAAACTGGTTCCTCAATCAGAGTACCGCAAGTATGGAAACCTTTTCTTAATGCTCCTATTAGTTAGTTTTTTTGTTAAGCTGTTCACAATGAGAAACTTATTGGCTCCTTAAATATAGACCTAAGATTCTCAAGGAAACAAATTGGCTTAATATATACTCTGTTTTGTGTTCAGCATTATTATCACAATAACGTTAGTTTGTACGCTCAATGACCAATGGCAGACTTCTAGGAGCTGTTGTGGTAATAGCAGCAAATGCTGGAGGAGCATGGACTCCAATTGGTGATGTTACTACAACTATGCTATGGATTCATGGTCAGATATCCACCTTGCCGACTATGCAGGTTTTCCTTCGCTTCTGAGATAGTCAATTAATGTTATCACAAAATTCCTCATTTTCTTTCATAAGCGCAAGTCGCATTAAGGAACAACGAATGTTTAGATGTAGGACTGAATAGTTCACGAGTTTAGGTTAGATTGTTTAATAAAGAGATTGATTCTGGAAAGTGGCTGGAGGTGACAATTTACAACTAAGGTCCCTTTGGGACTGGTCGTAGTTAGCTGTGTATATTAAAGCTAGGAGGCAGACCCTGAAAATGATTCTTTTTCTGGGTGTTTCGAATTTCTGTTATTGGAACTTTGTGGAGCTATCTGTATTTGTCTCGGAAAGAATAACAAAGCAAAGGTTGGTTAAGCCCAGTGGTTCTTAAGTTACTTTATGTCTTAATATCTTTGTTGGAGCTTCTTATTGTGATCATGGTACAACAGCTGGTTTTGTTACCTGACATGCTCTCTTAAGCATTTGAAATATATAGACAAAAGTGGTTCAAGAATTCCCCTATTTGGTCATTCCAATTTTGATATTCCTCATGGAGGTTACTTGCTTTCCTTTCAGAGCCTGTTTATACCTTCGGCTGTTTCTCTTGCTGTTCCACTAGCCCTCATGTCCTTGACCAGGTTATAAATTCTTCTTGCAATCTCAAACGGAAAGGGAGACTATGCTTGGCTTCAGTTGTCAACTTTTGCAACAGAGGCTGATCGATGTAAGTTTCTTTGTGTTCCGCAGTGAGGTAAATGGAAAGGGACAGGATTCTTCAGATGTATTGGCTTCTGAAAAGATGGCTCCAAGAGGGAAGCTAGTTTTTGGAGTTGGCCTTGGAGCATTGGTATTTGTTCCAGTCTTTAAGGCTCTAACTGGATTGCCTCCTTACATGGGTATCTTGTTGGGGCTTGGAGTTCTTTGGATCTTGACAGATGCCATTCATTACGGGGAATCAGAAAGACAAAAGCTCAAAGTACCTCAGGCCTTATCTCGAATCGACACACAAGGCGCTCTGTTTTTCCTCGGAATTCTTTTATCCGTAAGCAGGTATTAAATCAACTGGTCATCTCCAAACTCTAATGTTCCATTACTCTTATGCAAAATCTTTGCTGATGTTGTTTTCCTTTATTTTCCAGCCTTGAGGCCGCTGGGATCCTCCGGGAGATTGCAAACTACCTTGATGCCAATATACCCAACGTTGAGCTCATTGCAAGTGCTATCGGTGTTGTATCAGCAATCATAGACAATGTTCCATTGGTTGCAGCGACTATGGGGATGTATGATCTCACATCGTTCCCTCAAGATTCTGAATTTTGGCAGCTCATTGCATTCTGTGCCGGCACTGGTGGTTCGATGCTTGTCATTGGTTCTGCTGCTGGTGTAGCCTTCATGGGGATGGAGAAAGTCGATTTCTTTTGGTACTTCAGAAAGGTAAGATACATTCTTCTGGCTTGTCTAATGCTCAACAACACAACTTTGCATTAACCAGACTGAAACTCTGGCTCTGAGCAAGAAACTCAGTTTTTTGTTTTCTCCATGCAGGTTAGTGGTTTTGCTTTTGCTGGTTATGCTGCTGGTATCGCAGCTTATCTGGCGGTTCATAATCTTCATTTCGAGATCCCAACAACGGTGGCTCAGATCCCATTTCTCACTGGTTCCTAAGCTGCATCAATCTCTGTAATTCTTCTCTATGAAAAAACAAGAAAAAATCTCTGGCTGGCTGCAACAATAACACATCACTTCGTCGACATGCCGCTTTGGAAAAAATCAACTATGTAATTTGTTTCATGTACACTCGATTTGTATCATTAGTACAGAATAAATAATCATTTAAGATTATATTGATTTCGAGTTTTTTCTTATGTGCATCCATGTAAAGTATTAACCTATAGTTTGAGGAAAACAAACTCTTCAATGGCAGGAATGTCTCCGATTTTCTTCAAAGTTTCTTTGCTTGGTTGTTCATCTACTCCAATTGCCATTACCGCTTGCTTGCCTGGAGCGATTCGACCGACGCTCATGAAGCTCACGTTCACGTTTTCATCTCCTAAGATGCTAGCAACTTTACCGATCATCCCGGGCTGATCTACTTGCCTGCACAGAATCACACTCCCTTCTAAACTCACATCCACTCCAAATAAGCCCACTTTGGTTAGACTTGGAACCCCTTGTTTCACTCTGCCTTCTACTTTGATCTCACCGGACTCTGATAACGCGCTGGCGAATCTTGATTCCACGTTTGCGATCCGAACAGTTATGTATTCAATTGGATTCTCGGGTGAGCCGTCTAGAACCATACGTTCTTCTGAGATTTTGACTCCACGTTGTTTGGCAATGTAATCGGAGTTAACCAGATTTATGAATACGCTGGAAATGGGTTCGATGAGTCCTTTTATGACCATGGCACGGAGAAGTCTAGTGTCGAGATCATCAGGAGCTCTGGAAGAAGCATAAGTCACTTTCACAGCATTCACACCGCTTCCACCGGTTACCAATTGTACAGCCAGCCTACCAAGCTTCTCAGCGAGCACAACATATGGCTTCAGCTCCCTCAATACCTGAAAACAGATAGCCACGGAACAATGTCAGAGAATTTTCAGGACAAATCATAATCACTACTTGCAATATCAACGAGAACTAGAATAATGAAACTTGATCCTGAATAAAGGACTCTCTGGTGAAGTCCGAAATTACCTCTAGTGGAACCATCGGTGCATTGACCGCGGTAGCAGCAAGTTCTCCTCTTAAAGCACCAATAACAGCTTCTGCGACTTCGATAGCCACTCCTTCCTAGGCGTCAGGTAAAGGTTTCAGGAGAGAAGAACAAAATGCATTAAACGCTAAACGAAATATACAGTATGTGATACCTGAGCCTCCATGGTACTGGCACCAAGATGAGGCGTGGCAGTGACACTCTCATGTAACACCAACTTATTGTCTTTAACAGGTGGCTCCACTGTAAAAACATCAAGAGCTGCCTGAGCAACAATACCCGAATCAAGCGCTCTCAAAAGAGCTTCCTCATCAATAACTCCACCACGAGCAACATTGACAATACGAACTCCTTTCTTCATCATCGCAAAGGTCACATCATTCATCATCTTCGAAGTAGCAGCAGTAAGAGGCAAATGCAAAGAGATGAAGTCTGCAGTTGAAATAGCTACTTCAAAACTAACAAGCTCCACACCAATGGCTCGTGCACGATCCGCTGGTGCATAAGGATCATGTGTAATGACATGCATCCCAAGTCCCCTGGCTCGTCTAGCAACCTCTGATCCAACTTTACCAAAACCAAGAACAGCAAGAGTCTTCCCCACAAGTGAAACACCTACATACTTGTTTCTCGTCCATTTGCCTACAACAACCATTTTAAAACACTCACATTTCTACATTTCACACGCAATTTCTCAAATTGCTATCCAAATTCAAGATCACATTGTATGAACTTGGAATTGTGAACTCACTCACCAGCTTTGATAGAAGCATCAGCTTGAGCGATATTTCTAGCCATGGCGGTCAAAAGCGCAATCCCGTGCTCAGCAGCAGCCACCGTGTTAGCGGTCGGAGCATTGACAACCAAACAACCATACTCCGTCGCCGCCGCCAAATCAACATTATCAATCCCAACACCAGCGCGTCCCACAACCTTAAGCCTCCCACGCGACGATTCAAACACATCTCTCCCAACTTTAGTACCACTCCTGACGATAAGCGCATCACAAAGCGAGATCTTCGTGCAAAGCTCCTCGAGACTTAGATCATAAGAGCAATCCACATTAGCGTACTTCTTAAGCAGATCAATCCCCGCTTGGCCTAGCTTCTCCGTTACGAGAATCGTCGGTTTTCCTCCGGAAGAAGAAGACGTAACGAGGATGATCCGTCGTCTCTGACGGATGGGAAAAACAGAGGAGGGAGTGGTGACGAGCCTTGAGGAGGAGAAGATCGATGATAGATTCAGAGACGTCGCCATCGCGATGGCGGGAATATAATGTAAGTAAAGGTGTATGTATCGTCAGCAACAGAGTAGAGATATGGGTTCATCTTTCGGGTGGGTTTTGTGAGGTTTAAATATGTTGTGGTAGATTACGCTAGATCCTTTGTTCACTTATTCTCATATCTTCACTTCTTGGTGGATTTTCAAACTTTATATAGAAGAAAAAAGTTACAATTTAATAATTTTCTTGCTACTAAAACCAAAAATAGATTTTTAAAAATAAAAATACATTATTATATTATGTTAGGAATAATAATGAAAAAAATAAACCAATCTTTTTGATATTTGTATATATCTCCATTTTTTTTTTGTTGAAACTGTAAGTCTGTAACTGTAGTCTTTTAAAATCAACAAATTAAATATTGAATAACCCCTCAAATTGTATTAGATTCATCTATCTCTCGTTTCTATAGCAACAATAATGCCACAAAGCATTCGTGTAAACTAAAAGAGCAAAAAAAAACAGAAACTCATGAATCTTGAACACAGCAAAAACACATAAGAAGAAAACTCTGATAAACCTAGTAAGCGAAACAGAAAGAAATGAACGAAAATCTGTACTGTGATTCACTTTTTTCCGCTGCTCTTGACTATCCATCCTCTTGTAGCGTTACAGTAATGGCTCCTTCTTGTAGCTGTAATTAGTCTGGTGAACAAATGGACTGTTATTTCACCTGCAGCGATTCAGTAAAACCACAGTCGAAAACTAACTCTTTTCTCAAACCTGGAAAATCTTGGACCAATAAGGTTTAATTTTTCAAACTTACACTACCTACTGATGTTTCTTCTCTTTGTTTATGGGCATCGGAAACTTCTTTGAGATACTTCGAACGAATTTAGAAGTCGAGTTCACTTTCTCATCAATGTGGTCTTGGTATTTCTCATACACGATAGGAAAAGAAAGACTGAGAAGAATTCCTGCAAGATAAAAACAGCGACACATTAACTACTCATATCAACCAAGATCATAGACTATATAACTGACAAGAAAAAGGTTAGATGCTCACCAATGTAAACAAGAGTGAGGGAGTTGATTAAAGTCCCAACATAGGATATAGCCCACAAGACAAGAGAAACCTGTTTCACAGCAAAAACAAACGAGATGTGATACATAATAATAACACGCAGAAAATATCCAGATTCAAAAAGATACAACAAACAGTTTCGCCTAATTATGAAAAAAAAAGATTTAGACTATAACCTGAAGGAGACGAATCGGATTTCTAGCTATGGTGATATCACTTGCAATTGACAGTACATGATTGATCCAAACCCGAAGATCATCAGCAGCCTTAATCGCAAACTCCTCAGGGATTTCCATATTCGGAACTGGAGGTAGCGGTCTGAAATAATCAAATGAGTCGTATACTTATAAGAATAAACAAACACATGACTCGGTTTCTCAAAGCACAGTTCCACTATTCTTAAGCTATTATCCTCTAATTTTTCTTTCAAATGGTAAAAACAGCAACTTAACAAAGAAGCAGCTAATGCAATCTCTACAACAACAAAATCGAACAATGCCACATAAGAAAGAGCAGAGATATACCGGTTGAGTACTGTAGCAGACTTGGCCCATAAGAAGAGGATGGCAACGAGAAGAAGCAGAACATTGGAGACGAAAGACAAGAGATTGTATCCAGCTCTTTCGAATAAGAACCAAAATCCAGTAGAAGAGACTAGCAAAATGGCTGCACCGGTCCGGTTTCTCCATAGCAACAAATCAGCAACTGCAAAAAGTGCAGTACCCAAAGATTCAAATTCAAATTTTGCATTTAAGGACACATGTCAAGAGATTCTTGAATGTCTCTAAAATACGTCAAATTGTTAAAAACGATTTCATAATTATGATCAATTTTAAAACTTCCCCAAATGTACATAACATTCGAACAAAACCCTAAAACGTAATCGATCAATCCAGAATTACGCAAATCAACGCAACAATTATAAAGCACGAACCAAAACGCGTAGAAATCGATTGAATCGAGAGCGAAACTCGAGAAAAGCCCGATTTCGTGAGAAAAAAATGTAAAGAGCCCAAATTCTGCTTCGATGATTTGAATAGAGACTCACCAGAACCAGCACCAAGAGATTGATGAACAGAAACGCGGGTTGAAGAAGAAACGGAATCTCCCATGGCGAATCAATTAGGGTTCTTCCGCATAGAGAGTTCCAAGGCAAACTGAATTATACGAATCGATGTCTTGAGTCGAGAGACCGCTTCGTGATCGCAGAACAACGCAACTGCTTTGGATTAATCGTGCCTGCTCTGCTCTCTTCCTTTCCAAAGATCAAAGATTTTCCTTAACGCTTCGGCGACAAAGTTTTTAAGATTTTAATTAATTATCAAATTTAAAGTATTATTTGTTTTCAATTTATTTTTTCCTTCGCTTTTGGCTACCTTTCTTAATAATTAGCCCAAAGTTAGTTGGCAATAAAAAGAAAACACCGAAAGATTTCATATTTTCTTTTATTATTTAACACTCTTTTTTTTTTCTCATAAGTATTTTGCTCTTATATATAACACCACAAGTGTTGCAAAGTATTACAACAGTGGAAAACTCCACTTACAGAACCCGATAAACTAATGAGCATTACAATAATGGATTATCTAACGAAGATTGATAATCCCTTTTTCATCTACTCAAAAGTAAACATCTTCATAATCTTCAAGTTCTGCTTCAGTTTTAAAACCACAATCTCGGCTGCTTTCATTGGAAACGGTATTGGAAACGAAAGAAACGGAACATACTAACAAAGAACTCATGGAAAGAGTAAATCTAGCAGAAAAATCCAACATAAAATAAAAATACTAAAAAGGAAAAACTGATTCTCTCACTTAACTCCCATCCCAGGAACCTTTACACTTAATGCGCGACCCGGTGGAACCATGAGTGCAATCCAATTAACCCGAACCTTCTGCAAGAACCTCAATCACAAAGATCCCAAAGCTTGATAGAAAATTAACCACTTGGACCGCTTCTCAAACCCAAAATCATCTTATGCAGACGAGGGAAGGAATACCTTAGTTCCGTGTCATGCTCTCGATGGAAGGAATATCACCGGGCCACCGGCCATCGCCGGAAATCCACCTCCTCATCTCACTCCGCCGGAAAAACCAAGTTCTGTCCATGCTTCTGAAGTTGATGATCACCACAGATCCTAAAACCCATGATTTCAAAATGAATCAACATCAATCCAAAGCAAATATTCTCCACCGACACAAGCAAATCCCAATCTTCTCTATCACCAGTCAAACTTTCTTCAAGATAAAACACAATCAGGAGCGACTAGAGAATGATTATCTTCACAATCGCCAATGAAAGGCGATGAAACGCACACGGAACAAATCCGGAGATAACCGGATTGTTGAAATAACATCTAATTTGGCCATGAACAGCCAAGCAAAGCGGCAAGACTCGCCGACGGCAAACCGATCATCGTAGCTATGAAAGCCAAACGATATCGGACAAAAGCCAACCAAACACCGTAATAGAATCGATGGATGTTGGAAGAAAAGCCCGAAGGACGGCATCTGATTACCGGAAAAAGCTCCGGACAGCAACATAAGCGATCTCTCTCTCTGAAAAGTTTATGAGAGAGAAGAGAGAGAAAATCGCTTTGTCTTCTTGATTTTTATGTGACCATTTTATTTAACACTCATCATTCAGATTCAGAATTTAATTTAACAAATTTGAGTCATGAACTTTCTATTATTAGGAAATTTAACCTTTGATTACTTACTTTTAATATTTATTATGTAGCAAAAACAAAATTCCAAGTAGAAGAAAATAATTTTTCATAAAGATTTCAAGTAAAACAAAAAAAAATCACAATATTAGGATCACTCACAATCTGAAATCATTTTTCTTATTTTGTGACAAACCCAAGTAAACAGAAAAATCCACATTGTTTTTGAACCATATGAAAAAAGACACAACAAAACATTCGTTGGACCTATCTTTATAAAATAGGCCCGTTACAATATTTTAGATTTCGTATCCATGTGCCCTCTTTAGTTTGTAGTTGTTGCAGCCTCTTCCACGAGGTTACTTCCAGCAACATCAACGACAAATCTGTAACGAACATCGTTCTTGCTAAGCCTCTCAAACGCAGTGTTAAGTTCATCAATCTTCACAGTTTCAATGGTCGACGTAAGCCCTTTCTCTTTGCAGAAAGCCAACACTTCTTCTGTCTCTTTAATGCTCCCTATAAAGCTTCCCGATATCACTTTCCTCCCTGTCAAAATCAAAAACATCAAATTTCGATATCGAATTTTGTTGTTATTAGACATGGTTTAAAACTAAGAAAGACTGACCAAGAATGACGAGAGGAGTCAAGAACTGAAGAGGAGTGTTGATAACACCCATAAGAATCAATTTCCCGTCGAGTTTAAGACAAGCTAAGTAAGGCTCCAAAGGATGAAACACCGGTACGGTGTCGATGATATAGTCAAGTGTATCTGCGAGTCTTTGCATCTCTGCTGGATCAGAGCTCACCACATAGTCGTCAGCTCCTAAATGTTCCATTGCTTCTTCTTTTTTCTTGTCTGATGAGCTTATCACAGTCACGTGATGTCCCATTGCTTTAGCTATCTTCACACCCATGTGCCCTACTCCACCTAACCCTAGAATCCCTCCTTTAAGCCCGCTTGCCATTAGACCGAAATGGCTCAACGGACTGTAAACCGTTACTCCCGCGCAAAGTAGCGGAGCAGCCTGCTCCACCGCCATTCCTTCTGGAATCTTCACCACAAACCTTTTGAAATAAAAAGAAAGAAGTTACTTGTGGATGAAGAAACAAATGCTCTGTGTTTTCTTGTGAAACAAGAAAGGTGTGTATGTGCGCTTACTTTTGATTGACGATCATGGTGTCGGCGAAGCCACCTTGTGTGGGTTTTCCATCGGTGTAGACATCATTGTAACTCCAGATTCTCTTGTTACAGTACTGCTCAAGTTCAGAGCTGCATGGTTTGCAGCTTCCGCAGCATCCGACAATCACGCCTACTCCGACTACATCTCCTACGGTGAACTTGCTCACATCTGATCCCACTTCCACCACCTCACCTACCACCTCGTGCCTGTAAATAAAAAATTACACCTTTAGTTACGAATTCTTGCTCGTATATTTCCGTTACCGTACAAGTCCCACATTGACAGTTTGTTTTTGTTTGCATATTAATTGATAAACAGTGACAGGTGTGGTTATAAACGAATGTCAGATATGTAACAGTAGCACATTCAATTATCTTCAAACAATAATGTCAAGTCAACTTTAGACCAAAATCTTCTGTCATATATACCAAAACTCATTTAACAACATATCATGGTTAACTAATCAACTTATATGAAACAGAAAATACCAAATTAATATATGTTAACAATGTACAGGATTATCTAATTTTTGTTTTTCGCAATAGGTTATCAAATATTGAGAGACAATAAATCTTTATTCGCATTATCTATGTATAACTTGGGGATCCATTTTCAACAGATGAAAAGAAAATCACCATTCATGGTAAAAAAATAAAATTGAAAAAAAGGCAGAATAAGAAAAGAGAGTTAAAGAAGAAATTACCCAGGAACCATAGGATAATTAGACATTCCAAGATCATTTTTAATCTGGTGGATATCAGTATGACATATTCCACAGCATATAACCTTTATATACACATCATCAGCTCCTGTGCTCCTATTAACAAAATCCAAGATTCAAATTTCAACAAAAAAAAACAGGGAAGTCCATAATATATATATAACTAAACCACATAATTTACATTACAAAACAAAATTTTCTTATAAAAAAGGATAAGAGAAGAAAAAAACCTTAAAGTGTAGGAGTAAGGAGCAAGAACACCAGAAGGATCTCTTGCAGCCCATCCTAAAGCCTTCTTTTCTCCTCCTTCACTTCCCATTTTTCTTGGTTTCTCCGGGGTTTTTTTTTTGTTTTCTTTGGTTTTGAAGAGAAAAACTATGTTGAGATATTATGTGTCTATGGAAACATGACTATAGAGGCCCTCTATTGACATATGTATATACAGAGCAAATGGGGAAATTATAAAAGATTTATTTAATACCAAAGAGAGGAGGAAAAATGGGATATATTATTTTAATTTTTGGTGGACTTGCATTCTTTGCCCTTCTTTTAATCAGTAAGCTCGACCAACCAAACCTCTTTATCTTTTTTTTCCCCGGTGGTACAAATACAATCATATTAAAAACGTAGCGAAGTGAGTTTGGTAAAAACTAAACCAACCTCGAATATAGATATAAAAACAATGTGGACCACGGTAAATAAATAGTCGTTGAAAGGGAAACATAGAAATCGGCAGCCTAACTAAATTTTGGACATGCATAGATGCATTGTCCATAGAAAATTAAGATAAAGTAGTTGACAAAAGATATGACACCATCAATTTAGGTGACTATTCTTGTTTCTTCTATAAAATAAAACATAATTATTAGTTTTTTTGGTGGCTTACTTACTGTAAACATAATAGCTTTCAGAAAACAGAAATCATTTATTATGTTAAAGATTTTTCGTTTCTGGACTATTTTGTAGACTTTTTTCTTAGGAATATTGCGATAGCCTGAATTACTATATTATTAATCCATTGATCGAAAAAGTAGTTGTTTTTGTGAGTTTTATCACTAATTGGCCACATAAATAGAAGAAATAATAGTTATGACTTATGAAAAAGACGTTTGATCAAGGATGATGGGTGGGGAAGTAGGTAATGTACAAAAGTGTGGTTGGTAAAAGATTCGACGCTACTCTTTTGTTCTGAAGCTTGTCCAATCATATAACGCCATGTCATCTACTCACCTTTCAGACAGGATAATTCATAATTGTTCTCTTTTTCTTTTTACAATAAAAATACCAAACCAGTCTTTGTTCGGTTAGGTACTGAATTACTGAATATTTCATTCATATTCATAGCTCTATGTCACCAACCTTTCGTTTTCCATAGGTCAGAAACATTTTTTTAGTTTACAACTTAAGATTATCTTAATTACAACAAAGATGTCTCTCTCTATCTTTAATTATATCCAATTAGATTAATAACAGATCAAAACACAAAGACAATAATTAAGTCTCTAATTAAGACTATAAAAGTTAGCTGTTTAGTCAAACAACTGTAGTGACAAGCTAATAGATACCAAAATGCGATTATTGGGTCAATCAGTCATCAAACCAACTGTGTTACTGTTAATCTGTCATACCACAATAATGATTATATGCGAAAATCATTTAAATATAATTATTTAACCTTTTTTGTATGAGAATATTCAGGTCCAAAGACAGATACTTGGGCCTCAAAGAACACAAAGAAGAAGGCTCGGTAAGAAAAAAGTATCTAATTTTTGTCACAAGTTTCGACTCTAGATTTCAACAAATTAAAGCTTAGCTGCATATGACTAGGCAATGGTGCATCGAATTTAAGGCTATCGAGATCCGAAATATCAGAATCTGAAGAAACCTGCATTTTCTCCAATAGCTGAGATATGTTTGGCAGATCAATTTGCTTTGAATGGAGATGAAGGTGTGGCTGTTTTGAAGAGACATCTCCACCGTCTAGATCAAGGCCAAAAGGAGATGATGATGGCTTGGTCGGCGAGGTTTCAGAAGAGACAAAAGGTTCCCTGGCTTTATGAGCTTGCCAACCGTATTTGTAGTCCCCGAGTATCGGTGTTCCTAGAACTTCTGCGCAGTGTACACGAAGCTGTGGCAGTCGAAGAACAGTTGAAAACAGATTATTATGAGAACAGAAAAAAGAGAGAAAGTTGAAACATAAACTGAATATCTTTAGAGACCTGATGTTTTCTCCCGGTTAAAGGGCGAAGCTCAAGCCATGTGTATCCTACAAATCAACAATGTTCAAAAACTCAAGGACAAATCATTTGCTACAGATCAAAAATGTGATTAAAAACCTAAGGCCAAATCATTTTATTTAAGTTTAACTGAATAGAAATCGAAGTCATTTGTCTCACTAACCATGTGGTGAAGATTCAATCACTCGGTATTCGGTGATAGCATGCTGAGTAGAAACGAGTTCTCCATTGTCATTAACAGTGATACGATCAGATTTTCCATCATCCACAACCACCTACTCAGACATTCCACATATATTTAGCTTAGAATTTGACTCCAGTAAAGCAGCAAAAGGAATAGATTGAATTTGAACAAACGAAACAACTCAAAAACCAAATAGACTCAAAAAACTCAGATGGATGAAACTCTCTAGCTAAAACAGTGTGTAAACTGACCTTTCTGAGTGGCGCTGAAATCTGTCCCTTTTGACGTCTTGGACACCCGATCACAAGTGCCATATATTTTCTTTTCAAGGATTTTATGTTCTTTTTGACACCCTGCGAAATAAAAGAAAAGTCATTGGAAGAGAGAAATTTATGTGTATTCCCCACGAATCATGACAAGCAAGGAAGAGATCTGAGAGAAAGCAGAGGATTTACATATGCAGATGCACCACATGTTTTCTCGCGGAATATGGAATGAAGAACTGTTGCAGCCGTCTGTGTTCTTGCCAACACCAAAAGTCCACTACAGTCTCTGTCAAGTCGGTGCACCTAATACATATCCATACTTGCATAAGCCAAAAAGATTCATATTTTTCAAATTAACAAAAACCATAATAAATCATACACTTTCGTTTAGATACATTTTTAATCGGTGCTTTACTATGATTCTCAACTAACCAGCCGGGGAGATTCTGATTTATCAAATGTCAAGCAAGTGGCAGCAAGCTCATCGATACTGGTTTTGATCCCACTCCCACCCTATGTAAGAGCAAATGTCCATCAGTTTTCACAAGCTCCAAGAACATGATACACAATACATCAGAATGCGAAGTATATGACTTACTTGAACAGCCAAACCGTGAGGTTTATTCAGAACAATAATGGCTGGATCCTGGCACATCAACTCACAGTTAAGATCTATCAATCTATATAACATCAACAAAAACAAAAACAAAAAGCTAACCAATAATATAGAGTTTCAAAACCTTATACAACACCAAACTGCAAACAAATTTACGTTCTTCTTCACTACATTTAAAGCTTTCTTTCTTAGCAGGTGGTGTCGGCGGCGTATCATTGTCAACCGACAAAGGAAGGTAAATTCTATCTCCTACATTCAAGGATTCCTTAGCTGCCACCTTCAAGAGTCAGAAATCAAGACCATCAGATAAAAAGCAGCCTTCTAAAAACAGTTCTTGTTCCAATCAATAGATAAATAAAATAACATTACCCTTTTAAGTTGGCTTCTTTGTAGTTCATCACCATCAACACTCAAAGACATTTCTCTTCTAACCTGAATCAATTACAATGTAAGGAAATTGACAGCAATTCAATCACACCCAAGAATTAGGAGTTGAACACAAAATTGGAAGAGACTGAAAGTACCTGTCTTAAACGGAAGAGTTTCTGAACGAGAGTCCTGGGTAAATCTGGACGACAACGAAGAATCCACCTAAGCGCCGTCGTTTTTGAGTTATCCGTTGAAGCTTTGACGGAGTCTCCGTCGTAAAGGAGACCCTTTCCTACGGCGGTGCCATCGATGGTGGGAGAAAAAGGAGGTAAAGTTAGCCATTTCCCTCTGGAATCATCGGTCTGCGCTGTACTGTAGCTGCGAGTACAATGATGAGCCGCGGAAGACAAGGATTTGGTCGGATCCTTGAAGGCGGAGATAGTAGGCGATGGGGATTGGAGATGTCGACGGAGCGTCGCAGTCGCAAGTCTCCATTTGGCCATTTTAGGGTTTAAGCTAAATTCAAATTAGGGTTTAAGGGTTTGGAGTGGACCAGTGGAACTTGGGGAAGATGGAACCGGTGGTCAGTTACTCATTAATCAAATACTAATTATTACATGGCTTAAAGGAGTATTTGATTAATCCATGTGAATCCATGTAAAAATTCGAAAATTCATTAAAAACGAAAACCTTTAACAAAAAAAAAAAGAAATCAAATTTGGTTCAAGAGAACTGGCGGTTAGTCACGGAAATTAGCTTAGTTAGTGGATTTGCATTAACCAGAACAAAATCTTATATGTACACTTTAAAAAGCTTCCTTGTCTCGGCTCCGATTTTTCTTTTCACCCAACTTTACTCCGTTGGTATGTTCTCTTGTTTGTCAATAAAATGAAATTGGTTTTTTTCTTCTTTACCAAAAGGTTTTGGGTTTTAGGCATGTACTCTTCTCACTGATTCTACTATTTTTTAACGCGGTAATTTTGTTATTTAAAATGTGTTTTGAAGTTTTAACAAAATTATGTATTTGTTGATTGTTGACCAAAACAAAAACAAAACAGAAAAGATGCATAGATTTAAAAGACCATAAATTCTGAGTAAAAAAGTAAAAATATAAGCATATACATATATGTATATTCGATCTTAGAATCTCAAATTCAACATTAGGCATTTTAATTAGATTTAGATAAGAATAATAAGTCTATTAGTAGAACACACAAATTAAAATAATAGACTTAAGACCTATAGACTATAGTCGGTGCCTCCTTGAGTCGCATAAAGTCCAAAGCCTGCATGTAATTAAGTGAATTACATATGAAGTTTACTTACAAACAAATTATCGACAATATTAATTTTGATGAAATGTTAACGCTAACAGAGAAATTGCGGTATTTTGATGTTTCTTCAAATAGAAGACAAAGTAGAAAAATGAAAACATATAGCTGTACGTAAAGTAGGTGTTGTCATGGCTTAACTTATCATTGTTGTTTTCTATCATGTGACCCCCAAAAGGTCAAAATGTGCTACCACACGAAATTCAAGTAGCATGCGGATCACTTCATCGCAAAGTGATTCCCCATAAACTTTCATGTAGCCGATACATCATACATATAACTAATATCACACACATATATATTATGTATTACGTAGAATTGCATAAAGTGGAATTGAAACTCATTCTAACAGTTTTGCTAGATATTATATACCTAATGGCTAATTGTATTCTTCCCTAGTTAAATATGAGGTTGACTTTACGCTAAAATTGTTTACATGTCAACTAAGCTGATGATTTTTTTTTTTTTTTTTTTCATTTAACATTCAATTGATATCTTATATAATATGACAAGGTTTCTTCTAAACTTGCTCTAATTTTTTGACATTTGGCACTCTCTTTTGGTGACATGTGTCCTCCTTTATTTCATCAATGTTTGTTTTAATTTATTTAAAATCCTTAGTTTTGAAAGTTTGTGTCTACAATTTAATTCCAAAAAATATATTTCTCTTATCCAATTAGTACATTTGACATGTATTTATATTGAAATTTGTATTTAATTTGTTTTGCCAAAATTATTATCTACTTAAAATCACCACTTATTCATCTGATTCAAAATTATGGATTAGTAAAATTTTAACTTCACAAAGTATTAGTAACATTTTTTAAACTTCTCATAATATTAGTACATTTGGCATCTATTTTTAAATTTAATTATTTTCCTCATTTTTCTATCTTACATAATATTTCAATATCTCCATAAAATACATTTCTAATCTTTTCTAATTTGTCTCTTTTTTTCTTCATTCCAATTTAAATTTTTTTTTTTTTTAATTTTTATAACACCAATTTATTCTCATACGTTACAACTCCAAGTTGGAGTATTTATTTGCAATTTTTATTACACAATACATTTAATGTTTAATACATTTGGCATCTATTTTAAAATTTAATTGTTTTCCTCATTTTTCTATCTTACATAATATTTTAATATCTCCATAAAATACATTTCTAATGTATGTCTCCTTTTTCCTTCTTTCCAATTTAACTTCTTTTTTTTTTTTTTTTAGAACACCAATATATTCTCACACGTTACAAATCCAAGTTGGAGTATATATTTGCAATTTTTATTACATCCTACTATGCGGGGTAACGCGACTTACTGGAGTCGAACTCCGGTGGGGAAGGCCGAGTCAAATGGACTTAAGCACTTGACTAAAGGCACATTCCCGTTCTATTTTTTTTTTAAGTTCTATTTTTAATTGTTTCTCTATTTTTCAACTCACCAATAAGATTTATATACATACATTGAGAAAATATATATCTATTATTTTGGTCAGTTAAAGTGTAATTATAAATTTAAGTATTTAGATAAATGGCATTACATTTTTTTATTAAATTTTTTACTCTCATGATCTATATGTATTCATAAATTTGCAAACCATAAGTTACAAATTTAAACTTTTTAACTTATAAATTGAAAAACCATTTATGTAATTATTCTCAACATCACTTATCAAAAAGTGAAGAGTTTGTTTTCCCTTTTTTAATACGTAAAGCTGTTTCAAGATGATTTTGTTCTTGGATACGTAAAACTCATGGGATCGTGAGTAAAAAAAAATCAGAGTAAAACTGATAGATTATGTCATTCTTTATTTCTTTTACATAATTGCTCAACGTTTGAGAGGGATCGACGTTTGAGTTTCATGACAATAGAACCCTTAACTGTGGAGTTCTCTCGGGACGGTTAACCGAAAAGATAAGTGCACTTTGGTGACATAGGTGGCCAAATCAATCCTTTTAAACCTCTCCGCATGCACCACCATATTCCTATAACAAATATATTTGTTTTGTTAATATTGTTTGGTTTGTTTAGTGTTTAAGATAATATCATTATATTTTTATTTTTAATTCTAGGATTTCACCCGTGCTACATCGTCCTGTATTAATATCGACCCAAACTCGTCCCATCATATAACCCTGTCCCATAAAATAAAACAGCATTTTGTTATTTTCTTTTTAATAATAGTTTTATTTAAAAGACATATAATTCGAGTCAATTTAAAACTTTGCTTTAAATGGTTGATATAATATATATCTATATATATATATATATATATATATATATTTTAATTGTTATAGAGTTCAAATATTATAAACTTTTTATAGAACTTAAATATTATAAATACTCTAAACATTTTTTAAAGTTTAAATATTTATAATGTTTAAACTTCTTATAAATTATTATAAAGTTCAAATATTCATATTTGAAACTTCATAAAAGTTTTAGTTATATAAATATTTAAAACGTTTTATAAAGTTGAATTTTACAAACATTTAAATGACTATAATATTTAAGTTTTAATAAAATTTAAATATTTATAATATTTTGAAACTTTTTAAAAAGTTTCAATAAAATAAGGAACCGGAGTAAACCGGATAACAATTTTAATTTTGGAATGCCTGATAAATCAAGCTTCCTTCTCATTTGTATTCAGAATCATTTTCTTCCTTTTATAGTATGACTCTGAACCATTGCCCAAATTTTTAAGCAATGTGGGACATTGTATACATATTTTTTCTTCATCGATTGAGTAATATATGTCCGTTTTATGTATTATTTTATTAATTATATGTATTTTACAGAAAATATATTATTTTATTAATTATATGTATTTTACATAAATTCAAAATAAATTAAATATAAGATCATATAAAAAGTGGAAGAAGAATCATATATTAATGTTTAAATTAGGTAGAGAGGTTTTAAGAAATTAGCAATTAATCAAATTTAGAAATAAAATCAATTTGTTACCATATTTAGAAGCCACAATTTCTAAAAAATTGTTTCGAAAATAATTTGTAATATTAATTAATAGATAAACATGTATAACAATGACATTCTCTTGTAAATAAGTGCCAACTCAAAGATTTATTTCATATTTGTACTTCGAAAATGTATATATAGATTCAAATTGAAATGGAACAATGAAAGATGTACGTATACATTTTTATAAGATCATTTGCCATTCTATTTTTTAAAAAAGATTTTACTTAAAAATTTAAAATTCATTCTCAAAATTTATCAATGTTCTATAACGCATATAGCACTAAATCAAGTATTCTTTTAATGTTGTCTTTTTTTACATTTTACCTTATTTCCCACAAATTTATATTAAACAATTAACAAAAAATTATCTTATAATAGTTTATTTTAAAATATTATTTCATATTTAATTTAACTATAAATCATTACATAAATGAATACTATTCGAGAAGCAAAGTGTAATAAAATTAATAAAATGACATTGTAAATTGAGAAATTGTTAGAAATACTTTTTTCCAATACCTCTTTTCAAAAATACAACCTACGTAAAATCTTTTTAAAATTTCCTTAAAAATCTAAGATTTACCTAAGTACGTATGTAACATTATAAAAGCATACAAAACTACATTTATATGTATAAATACATGATTAAAACTTATAAATACCTTATAAAACTTATAAATACCTTATAAAATCTTATACATATCTTATAAAATCTTATAAATATGTTATATAAATACGTTATAAAACTTTATGAATACTTAGATCGAGGCTTGAGTAATACTTACCATCCAGAAGTACCTCATAAACCTTTTCAGGTTTAATGAGACGTATTTTTGAAAATACACAAAAGAAGGGGATATTTTTTAAAAATGGCACACCAAAAAGTGCATTTTCAAAAATAAAATATAATAATAAGGTCTTGCAAATTATTTATTATAAAGTGAAGGGATAATATGAAATAAATAATATAGCATCTTATCTATTTCTAAACTATTTTAATTTTTCTTAGAACTTTGAATGATGAAAAAAAAAACAAAGACAAAATATAGGATTTTTTTTTGAGCATTTAAAGACAAAGAAAACGGACCACATGTCGTGAAAAAGAAGTTAAAAACTTCATGACGAGCTCATTTTTAAATTCGAATTAATGGCCAAACCCTTATCTACACCTTTGTTATAGAAAAAAAGAAGGAGAAGATGATGATAGAGTTGAAGGATAAAATCTAATATTTGAGATTATGATCACTGATTTTTTCGTTGGAAGATGGGTATTTTTACTTTTCCAAAAAACCTCTACTTTTTATTCTTTGTTGACCTTTTTCCTTAAGAAAAAGTTTTATTACATACTAATTTTTACATTCAAAATAAATTTCATAATGTATATGCCAATACTTTCTATTTTTAGCCACTCTATACGTACTATACCTTTCTTTATAACAAAATTTTTAAACTGATAACAAAAGGAATAACTAAAGTGTTAAACAAATTCATGTATAATTATTTGGAAGGACATTAAAACCTATTATTGTATTATTTATTTTGCAATTATATTTTTAATCAGTATCCCACGCATCGCGTGGGTTTTTCTCTAGTATACAATATTTTGGCATATAAAGGGCTGTGTTTTCTTAACATGGATCATCGATATACTGTTTTATATATTCCAGATACTTTGTCTTGAAATTAGACCGTATAGTATTTGTAACGCATATAGTTTTGGTGATGACGAAAAGGTGAATGGCAAATAAAAAAATTATCAGTATTGTAATCTCCAATTGTTAACAACCCCATTTTCTCATTTTTGATCGAAATTTCGAACCAAAACAATGATCATGGCCAAGCCTTTTTTCAATGGTAGACTAATTAGTTTTTATCCTTTTAATTAAAATTTCGAACCAAAGCTAATAAGCTATGATCATATATACCATCATATCCACTCTCATTGGCCGAATTTTGAGAAATCTTTAAATTCATCTCAATTATATATATATAATTTGTGAAAGTTCTAACCTACTACTAGTTAACATTCGAGATCCGTTTTGGGTTTTGCGATGAATAAAAACTTAAGTATGTATCTACAGAATACAAGTTATGTATAAAGGTGTTAATAATTTTAAATTACGTAGCTATCCTAAAAAGCAAGCTCCATAGAAGGAACCCAACTTGATATTTAAAAAACCCAACATATCTATCTATATAAACCATATCAGAACACTTGAATCACATCATCATCCATACCATCAAATCCTAAAGCACATAACAACTGAAAAAAACAAACACCTTTCTATCTTCTTTGTTTGGTTTGGCAATGGATCTAGCCAAACACACAAGACTTCAAATATTGGGATGCATACTCATGGCATCACTTGCATTAACAATGGCTGATACACCCCCGGGTATAGCCAAGAACCCAAGCAACGCAACATGTAAGATCAAGAAGTACAAACATTGCTACAACTTGGAACATGTTTGTCCCAAGTTCTGCCCTGACTCTTGCCATGTCGAATGTGCTTCTTGCAAACCCATATGTGGTCCCCCTTCCCCTGGCGACGATGGTGGCGGCGATGACAGTGGTGGTGATGACGGTGGATACACTCCACCTCCTACTCCTTCCGTGCCAAGCCCTACTCCACCAGTTTCACCACCGCCTCCAACTCCTACACCGTCTGTGCCAAGTCCCACTCCACCAGTTTCACCACCACCTCCTACTCCTACACCGTCCGTGCCAAGTCCCACCCCACCAGTTTCACCACCACCTCCACCTCCGACACCTTCTGTGCCAAGTCCTACTCCACCAGCTCCTACTGATCCTATGCCAAGTCCCCCTCCCCCAGTTTCACCACCGCATCCAACTCCTACACCGTCTGTTCCAAGTCCTCCTGATGTTACTCCCACTCCTCCTACGCCATCTGTTCCAAGTCCTCCTGATGTTACTCCCACTCCTCCTACGCCATCTGTTCCAAGTCCTCCTGATGTTACTCCCACTCCTCCTACGCCATCCGTGCCAAGTCCTCCTGATGTTACCCCCACTCCTCCTACTCCATCTGTACCAAGCCCTCCTATTGTTACTCCTCCCACTCCCACTCCACCTTCCGTCCCAACTCCTAGCTCTCCTCCTTATGTTCCTCCGCCATCAGACGAAGAGGAAGGAGCAGGTGTCAAAAGGTCCAGATGCAAGAAGCAAGGCTCTCCATGTTACGGAGTTGAATACACTTGCCCTGCCGATTGTCCCCGTTCTTGTCAAGTCGATTGTGTCACTTGCAAGCCTGTTTGCAGTATGTCAGCTTAGTCCATCGATCTCCTCCTTAAATTCCTTAATTATTCAGTTACTTAATATGCTAAATCATGATAAATTGTGATGCAGATTGTGACAAGCCAGGATCTGTTTGCCAAGACCCACGTTTCATCGGAGGAGATGGTCTCACCTTTTACTTCCACGGCAAGAAAGACTCCAACTTCTGCCTTATCTCTGATCCTAACCTTCACATCAACGCACATTTCATCGGTAAACGTAGAGCTGGTATGTCACGTGACTTCACATGGGTCCAATCCATTGCCATACTCTTCGGTACTCACCGTTTATACGTCGGAGCCCTCAAGACTGCCACGTGGGATGATTCTGTCGACCGGATTGCCGTCTCTTTCGACGGAAATGTTATCTCACTTCCTCAGCTAGACGGTGTCATGTGGACTTCTTCCCCTGGAGTATACCCTCATGTCTTTGTCAGGCGAGTCAACGCTGACACTAACAACCTCGAGGTATGCCCTAAGAAAACATTACTTTATCCCCACGGTCCCTTAAAAGGAACAAAATCAAATACAGAAACATTATCTCTTAAGTAAAATTGCATTCTTTTTATCAAATCTATTAATTTTTTCGTCGTCAAAAGTCAAAATTATACTATTTTGATATATCGTATTCAAAGATATATCAATTTGTTTCGTATTCAAAATTATGACAAACGCAATAATACTTCACGAAGATTGTCAAATATAATTAGATATATTCCTAAATTTAATCACTAATCCCTATATTTTATTCAGGTTGAAGTAGAGGGTTTGCTTAAGATCGTAGCAAGAGTTGTGCCAATAACAATGGAAGATTCAAGAGTCCATGGCTACGACGTGAAGGAAGACGACTGTCTAGCTCACCTCGACCTAGGCTTCAAGTTCCATGACCTTAGTGACAATGTTGATGGTGTTTTGGGACAGACTTATAGGTCTAACTACGTTAGCCGAGTTAAGATCGGAGTCCACATGCCTGTGATGGGTGGTGACAGAGAATTTCAGACCACCGGACTTTTTGCACCTGACTGTTCAGCTGCAAGGTTCACCGGTAACGGAGGCAGCAACGGTGGCCGTAGCAAATTGGAGCTCCCTGAGATGAGTTGTGCCAGTGGCGTAGGCAAGGGAGTGGTCTGCAAGAGATAGACACTCCTGATTTTATTACTACTATATAATCTACTATATACCATTATACGATTTGGTAAAACTATATATAATTATAACTTAATAAAATGTGAAACATGGTTGTTTTTTTCCTATAACAATAATATCATCGAGAAAGGAAACATGTAATGAAATGATATACATGTACTTTTATTTTTCCTGAATTTATTAAAATGTGAAATTATATTAATTTTCTTCTTGTTTGCTTTACAAAATTTAGTGATATATGAGAAAATTGTAACATATATTGACAACAATTTTTTTTTTGTAAATTGCATGTAACGTATCAAAATAAAACTAGATACGAGTCAGAGCATCAAAGCTGGTATCTCCTTATCCGTGTCAGCGTATCTCTAGCTAGCTGAGACATATTTTCTTAATTAGGAATATAGAAAAACAAACTAAAACCTAGTAGAAAAAGACAAAAAGTTGACGTCTTCTACTTCATCAGCTGATTATAAATTTCATTTGTTTTCTTCTAGCATGAAATTGTTTCCCTTACTTACAATTATTAGTAATTTTGGTTAGACTCCAACAGAATATGCTATAAAACAAAAGTAGCATGTGGATAATTTTATTCACTTTATAGTGAAGTGATTCTCCCATAAAGATGGAAGGATACGTGAAATGGACACACTCAGTCTCTTTCGACGGGAACATCATCTTACTTTATAAAAATGGTTTAGGAAGCGCAATACTTACGTTGCTTGGTTAAATAACGTGATTTTCTTTAACTCTAAACCAAGAAAAGATTTCTTTATATTAAGGAAATTAAAATAGAAATTAGGCTTATTAAAATGGTTCGACGAAAAATTAAGAGGCTTTTTCGTTAAATTCCTTTTTTAGTCTATATGATAAGATTATAGGGCAGGGACTGGGACTAATTGGTTCGTGGAGCGAGGTCTTCTTAGCCAAAGGAATTTAACCCTCATCGTCAGATTTTGCATAGTTGCTTGGTCGATGACGAGAAGAAGAATCTACTCCTCTTAGATAATAAATACGTAAATCATTCCGACCAAATGCTAAGAAAGAAGTCGCCATATCTTGTTACATGTCCAATAAAGATCTATGAATTGTTTTATAATTCCAAATATTAAAGTCATAACACAGACGTAAGCAACAAATGTATAATTTTGTGCAGTAATACTAAAAAAAAAAAACAAAGCGATATGGTAAAGCCAAAAAGACCGTAGAATTCAACATCACAACACAAAACCACAACACAATAAATGGATTCCATCATCTGATTGATTTAACATTCCCTGTTTTTTATGTACACATCTTCCTGCTTTTTATCAACTTTCTTCAATCGCTGTCAAAGTCGTCTTCATCTCCAAATGAGAACACAGATGCATCAGCGGCCATAACCTTGAACTCACTCTCCGAGCTTGAAGGAGCATTGACCACAGCCCCAGAGGGTTTCTCTGTTGCTTCACCCTTGCTAACAGTTCCTCCTTGCACCGGCTGTGATGATCCCTTGTTTCCAGAAATAGATACTTTCTCTGTCGCTTTAGTCAGAGCAGAGGTTTCATCTGCGCTCTGTTTGGCTTCTGGGGTTTGAGAAGAAGCCGATGATGTGGTTTTGGTCGGGCCAGTTGAGTCTCCTTCGTTATCAGAGAACACATCGTCTTTATCAGGATTCTCTGTTTCTTTATTGGGTCCTGGAACCGATGCAGAGCCGTCTACAGGGGAAGAATTAGCTGCTGAAGTTTCTTCTGGTGTTTTGGATGCTGTTTCAGAACTACGGTTTGTGGGAATTGTTGCATTTATATCAGCAAGAACAACTTCAACCATAAATCCAGGCGACGGTAGCTTCCTCTGCATTGGAACAAAGGCCAAACACAAAGATATATCATTTCAACCAGGAGGATTGATGGAGAAAGAGCCCCACCTCAGACTTCACACACAAAGTCAAGGATTCAGCTATATTACCTTTTCAAACCCGTCAAGCTCACTAGTTTTTAGGATCACTCTATTTTCCATCATTGTCGTGTTTAACCAGCTGAGAAGAGCATACAAAAGAAATAGTGAGAGAAGCAAAAAATAAAAGCGATATTGGTACTGTATTTTGGATAACGAGATACTAGCTTCCTAACCAGTAAAAATCTCCTTGGCGGTCATGAAAGTGGATTTTGAAGTCCCCAGCCAATTCTGTTAGACCTGGCTCTCCGGGTAAGGCAAAGACCATAACCCCTTTCTTTGGGGCACTGAACCAAAAGTCTTCAGGCTGCAAAATCATGAAAATTCCACTAAACCGTACAATGCAAATTCACAAAGGCTTTAACAAACTACTTGATAACAATAAAGTAATAACAACGGCGTACCGAGAGATCCTTGGTCCGAGGATGCTTTTTCGTGGTAAAGAGAACACCTGCATATAATTTACAACAAGATGTTAGCTCTGCATGATACTGGCTTTATATGTTGTCATGAAGCAATGGATCAATCAACTCACCATTGTGATCTGAAATAGTGATAGATGGCCTGATCCAATAGGGACACCTATGGAGCCGGAAACCCCTAAGCATACACCTAACAAAAAAATTTGTTCTACGTCAATAAACAATTATATGCTATATTAAGGTATATGAAGAAGATGTTTACCTACGGCCTGGTTGGTTTTCCCCGTTGAAGTAGGTCAAAATTCGTTCAAAGTATTTCACATATCTCTACACAATAATGATTAAACAGACTCTATAGTTAGCAGATAAGCAAAGAATGTTTTCATGAGCGGCTTAATTATAAAAATTACAGAACTAGACATACGATTTGGCTGGGTAGCACAAGTCCTTTTCCATCCACACATCGTTTCTGGTTGTAGAAGTCCATGCACTCTTCGGCAGTCGGAAAGAACTATATAAGAAAAGGAAACATGATTGGTTCCTTGTGATGGATTGTTTTATACAACGTTAAAAGGAATTTTTTACCTTCAGATACAACAGAAGACTACATATCATAAGCCCTGTCCTTGCCATGCCAGCCTTACAGTGAACAACCACAACGTTCTCAATGTCCTCCTTTAACCATGAATATGCACTTTGGCAGAATGAGGTGACCAAATGGATTGGCGGGCAATTATGATCATCAAATGGGAAACTGGCCACCTGGAGGCAAGATAATCAGCACAAAACAAGATGTATAGGGACATTAAAACGGACAGAAGACTGAGGGTAAATAGTTGTGCTGCCCCCATTATTTGAACATAATAGTTCTCAACCTAGAAAAATAAATGATGCTGTATAGAAGAAATGGCTCCATTATCTGCAACAGAGAATTAAGCGACTTCACTGCAGCAGGTTTTTATATGATCATGTCCAACGATTCAGGCAAGAAAATGAGCAGATTATCACAAGATTCACAACTTTGTGCATATGCAACAATGTAAACAATCTTTTTGGTGGATACTGTTTCATAAGTACTTCAGAGCTAAAAAAACTTGAAATAGTGCAATGGAAGATCTACGGAGCATATTTTACTTAATTTTGACTGAGTCATTTTTTGTTAAGGAATCCATGAGTTCGCCAAGTGCAAGGAAAAGAGGACGAAAAAAGAATAAGGGATATCATACCTTCCCTTCAAATAATGATACATCATACAACCTCTCTGAACAAAGATTGTAAACCTTGTATTTTCCCTATAAAGAAGAACAAAGCAATTATAAGAATAGCACAAGAGAAAAGCAGAACCTAAAATATAAGAATGTAGCAAACTGCAAACTACATCATATAAAAGTTAATTTCCAAAAGTAAGATGGCAAAATGACGTTGTGACACGTTTAAAAATAATTAGATACTATAGTTATTTGTGTCATATGAACATCGAAATGCCAATCTTATATCCCTTTAATCCAACTAATATCACAGAAGTTAAGAACCTCCATATAAGTCTACCCAGATTGATATGTTATAGGCTTCTTTAAATTTGAGTAGAATGTTTCACTTGGCAATATGGAATTATGCAGAGCTGCTTATGATAAAGATAAATCATCACGAACTTATTGAATAAGGTGAACCAGTCTATCAGTTCAGAATATTGTCCGAAATGATACAAAAGAGAGAAATAACTAGATGAACAATAAAACAGCATGATTGCATCACATGGCCAAAGATAAGGGATTAAATTGTTTTGCTAACAAATTAGTAGTAGTACCTTGTGTTGAGTTTCAAGAAAGTTAATAACTTCTTCCATTTGGTTACGGTAGAAACCCTACAATGATGTTTTGAACGAATATTGGTCATATTAACTTGAAAAAAATCCAGGGGAAACGATTACAAGCATGCAATTTGACTCACCTCGACATATCCAAAAAAGCCAGAACTCATATCACCAGCAGGAAACCCCATTGCAATTATGTTCTCTGTTATGTACGTCAAATCCAAATCAAATCCTCCTTCCTAAACCACAAGTAACATTTGATTTTATATGAGGAAACAAGCTAGCATGGATGTAACTGAGTAGCAAACCAGATGATACAAATTTTAACTAACTTAATTGCACCTGGTATCTTCGTTTGTTCTGGGATACAGCGTGTCGAGCCTTGACTTGTACTGCCTTGACAGCATTCTTTGATGTATCTACCAAACCTTTTGTAATCGTGCCAATGAAACTGGATTCTGTAGCACTTGAAGTACCTTCTGTGGTCTCATTGGGTTGAGGAGATTTCGGAGATAAACGAATCCCTAACCCACTAGTAAACTTAGCAAAGGCAGACTTTTCATTATTTTCGACACCAGAGTCGTTTTGTGTGGAAGCAAAAGGCTGGGGAACTTTCAAGTTTTTGGCCCAATTTGATATCCCAGCGGCAGATAGTTTTGATGCAACTCCTTTAGGAGAATCATCGCTTCCAGTTTCAACAGCAGTAACAGGAGGAGGAGGCTGACCATCGGGTATTGTTCCCGCAGCAGGCAAATTCGGTGAATCAGATGACATGGTTTCTATCTTAATCCAATAATGTGAATTATCAAACTTGCAAATCCCCTTTTTGCTGCAAGCATCATCAACATTCAACAAAATACATTTGAGTAAAGATTCTTTATATATCTAAACTACAAAATCAAGCTAAAAAAGTGGAGATTCCGCATTACTGATTCAAATCTGTTTCCCTAAATCATAATTTCCGTGTTCTAATTCGCCAAAAAAGACACTACCATTGTCCTGTTCTGAATCAGGAAATTAATAAAAACATGCAAATTCGAGGATTTAATAAAAACAACAACTGATGAGCGATCACGACATGAACCTCATAAAGAAGCAGACCCAGAGAACCAGGAAAAAAAAATAAAAAAATCAAAATCAAAAATCTCGAAACCAGATCAGGAAAAAAAGGAATCACAGAATCATATGAACAAATCCAAAAAAAAAGCATAGAAGTTGAAGGCAAAAACCTCAGAGATCGAGAATCATATCCCGAGAAAACGCTTCTTTGTGAAATGAAAATCAAAATCGAACGAGTAAGGTAGCTAGGGATTTAAATTCTCGACATTTAGATTGGGGAAAAACAAACACTGTGTATCGGTGATCAAGTCACGTGGACACTTTCGGTCAACAATTAATCCTTGCCGTTAGATCTTGATGGTTTTAGATCTGAATCCAACGTTGCACGTGATCTCTCGAATTTATTTCTATCTTTTAATAAATTCCAAGCTTTAGTAGTACCTCGATCGTTATGCAAAAACAAGACGATTATGAATCGGATATAGAAAGCTTACTTGTCAAGGCATTGTAGTAACTCTTTGTTTTGTACATTGCCTATGTTATTCACTTGTCATTGAATTAGAAAAGTTTGAATTCTGAAAGAAAAATTAAGATAGCAAAAAAAATAAATGGAGATTACATGTAAAGACTAAAGAGCTTATTCATGAGTCAACTCTTTTCCTCTTGCCTCGAGCTCGCTCGATTTGAACCAAACTTGGAACATAATTATAAACAGTTGATCCACATCCATCGATTGTATATACTTGTGTGGCTTTATTAGCGTCCTCCCCAACAATGTATAGATTGTCTTCGGGTTCGTTCTCTTCTTCCAACCATCCATTAGAAATCATGATGACTTTTTTCTCCTCCTCAAGAAAGAAACTTCCAATATACCAAAGTTCAAGATGAGGGCTCAAATCCAATGCCAAGACCTTGCTCCACGACAACACCATCTCTTTGGTGGTGGTCTCATTTGTCACCCATATCTCAGTCTTGGAACTTTTATCTTTCTGTAATAACACTGAAAGTTTCTCTTCTCTAACAACGGAAAGACTAGTCTCTTCAAAACAACGACTCTTGTATGGAAGAGGCACAAGTATAGATTTCTCTGTTGAATAGTCATATTTGAGCAAGGATACACACGTTTTTGTTTCATCTAAAGCAAACATGTATGTATTTCCCTTCAAAGATACGCATTGACAAGGGTTTAGCAAGGACCAGCCTGGACAGATATCATCAATAAACCTCCATGAATCAGAGTTAAACTCGAAGATTTCAGAATCATTGCTATCACTGTAAAAGCTCAAGATTTTGTAGCAGGGTTTTTCGTCTTCTAGGTAGTATCCAAGAACAAAGGTGCGTCCTTTATCGCGACGATTCCCGGTTTTGATCCACCTGTTTTCACCAGTTAACGGGTTCCAAACCAAGATTGCAGATTCGTCGTCTTGGGAGGAGCATAACAACAAGCCACCATCTGATCCCTAAAAAAAAAAAAAAAAAAAAAAAAAAAAAAAAAAAAAAACAAGCCGCCACAGTGAAAGACTCGATAATTTTTCATTTTACTAATTGGATACTTAGAATCCGAATCGATTCGCCTAATCTTACTTTCAACCTCTAAAGATGGCATAATTCCATGGAGATTGAGGCTCATCAAACAAGGTACCTTGTGGTACTTGGTCGATATGAGAGGTAGACACTGCTTTGCGGCTTTATCAAAATGCTTTCTTTCGAATCTCCGATCATCTTTGAATATACGGTTCCATTCTTTGCAAGTAGAACGTAATCGTTTGAGATATGTCGCCGGAACGTAACAGAGTATCTCCTCTATCAAAACCTTTGGAAGCTCAGGTATCGCCATTGATCTCTGAAGAAAACGTGGCTCTCAATCTTTTATTTAGGGTTTTGCTTTTCACCTTCGTCAATCGTCATAACTGTTTCTCTTTTCCTATTTATAATCTGTTATGAGTTTTTGCTTTTCCTATATCCTTTCTATTTTATTTTTTTAATTTTTATTTTTCCTCCAAATAATTCATATGAATCGCTTCTTTTTTAAAGTAAAGATATCGAACAGAGTTAAAAAAAAAAACACTATTCTTTCTGGACTTTAATTTGTGAAGCTAAACAAGTTCTCCAAATGCTGATATAAGACTGGAGTTATATGGAAACCCATTGGATTATAATGTAAATATTCAATTTCGTTCTTAAAGCTGTACTTATATTCTTTATGGGTGATTAAGCTAACTTTTCTCTTGGTCTTGGATCCGCAAAAACGAAACAAATGTCTTTGGCTACTTCAGGTGTTTACAATAATACTACTTCGTAGCAATGTCTGATCAATGATCAAGCAAAACCATTTTGGCCAGGGAATTACTGAAATGGCAAACAAAGACTTGGATAAATATATACTACAATGCCTTGACAAACAAGCTAGCTTCTATATCCGCCTCACTATCGTTTGATCATGCAGTTTTTGACTAACTATAGAGCACTCATGCAATCCCACACAATGAGAATGGATAATGAATCAATCGTAAAATATTGAAATTAGTTCTTAATCATTTACAGAAAGATCAAATCAAATCAAATCTCAGACAACAAATCAAATGACGATGGGAATGATGATTTGGTCGGGTAAGAAGGCATCATTGCTACACCGCATTTCCCAAATGAATCATCGATGTTATGTTGGAGCTTAACGTAACCGTTTTCTCCCCAATTCGATCCCCATGAATTACGAATGATCCAGTAATCTTCACCACTTGAGGTTCCATACCCAACCACTACCACACCATGGTCCAAAGATATCCCACATGTTCCTGTCATCACACCCTGAGAAAATAACACATACTCCCTCTGTTTTTTTAAAGTTGTCGTTTTAACTGTATTTAGACAAATTAAGAAAAGGTATACAATGACTATATTAACCTCATAAAAATGACAAGTAATTATTTACAAATAATTTGTGTTTAATTAAATAAGGGTAATTTGGGTAGTTATTGGCATAAGTTACATTATTACCTTAAAACGACAACTAATTTAAAACAAAAAAATGCTCTAAAACGACAACTATTCGAAAACGGAGGGAGTAACATATAATTTTGGGGTTTCAAGAAAAACCAATAATCGAATCAAGAATAAAGAATTAATCAAGATTTAAATGATTGAAAATTACAGATTTGTAAAGCTGGAAAGCTTGGCTACTAGCTTCAATGGCAACACTAACAGGTTGATGAGCAACAGCCTTTTTCAAAGACTTCTCATCGTCTCTAGGAACATCTTCATAGCCATCAATGGTAACAACACGAGACTTGTTATTCTGCAAGAACAAACATAGATGAAATGTTAGGAATCCCACACCAAATTGAGTCATCTAACTAAACTAAAAAAATTGTCATTAATTATGTTGGTTTTAAGAACCTTATCGGTATTGCACAAGCCAAGATCGTTGGCGGTATAAGGGTAATCTTGATCTGACTCAATACCAGCGTTTTTCATTATGAACTCAAAAGCATAGTTCATGATACCTCCATCACATCCAGCGTTGACAAAGCCTCTGTCACAGTCAATGAGTTCTTGCTCCGACAAAGATATTAACTCTCCAGTAGTGATCTGGTTTATCCCTTCAACCGCTGCAATCGCCGAAAACGCCCAACAACTTCCTATTCATTGAGAAATCACGATTCACAATCGTTTCAAGTTCTAAAACGTACACATATCCAAAAATCAAAAAGCTAAGAAAACTAAAATCCTTACCACAGTTTCCTTGATCTTTGACTGTTACAACTGCACCTTTGTCTCTCCAATCGATTTCATCAGGCAAAATATCTCCTTCTTTGTACAAATATCTTTCAGCTTTCACTGAATCTTTAGTTCTTTCCATGTTTTTCCTCAAGTAAGTAGCTCTAAACTCATCATTTGTTAGATCTGCGAACCGGGTCAACCCTACTTCAAAAGTCTGATTCGGAACAGAATTGTGTTCGTCTATGTACTTTAAGTTTTCTTTGAAGATCTTGAATCGTCTCTCTTTCTCTCCAAAACCATTATAGTTCTTCCGATTCTCCACGAGCCATTGCTCGTACATCAGCCGCACTTCCGCCTCGTTCCGCTTAATATCTGTTGCTGTGACGACTCCTAGAGATGAGAAAAATAGTAATACCGAGAGAGCTGAGGCTATAAATCTGATTGGAGTAGCCATTTGTTTTTTCTCTAGTTTCAGTGAGATTTGTCCAAGAGTTGACGTCAAGACAAGAAGAGGCAGATGAATTAGTTGTGTTTTGAGAAATATTATTTTCTTTTGTTACATTTGTATATTTTATTCTGACCAATAACATATTTTATAAAATCATGCATATCATATGATTTTTATCACGTATTTTATAAATTTTAATTTTTGTAGTCAATATTGAATATTTTCATCAAACGTGAAAGAAAGTGGTTCAATTATTTTGGAAGATTAAGAGAAAGCTGTTTTGATTACACAATATAAAACTCACAAGATGCGAATGATGATACTATTTTAAGAAAAAGAAAAAGTTTGGTGAGCCTTGTTGATCGAAGAGCCGTTCAACTTCAACTGGATCAAATTTTATTATTCAAGGAAGATGACACAATGCTATGTGAGAAAATATCAGATTACTTCTTAAACATTTACAGCAAGTAAAATCAAATCCAAGATAACACATTAAAATTAACGAGGAATCAAACTATGATCCGAACTTGAAGTGTCTAAAGCAAAGAAGACTGAATCTTGATTAACGTGGGATGAAAAAACAAATCGGATCTTCGTTCGCTTCATCTCTCCTCAAGCGCTGCTCACTAGCACGTTTGTAGACTTCGTGGTCGCAATCGCTGGTCCTCGTGTCAAGGCTTTTATGCTTAACGGACGGTTTCCCTTCTGTCCACGCCAAATTTGAAAAAACCAATCAGTCAAGTAACAAACAAAAACAGAGTCTTTAAGCCACAAGGGGGAACAAGAAACTAACCATTCTACAAGTATTGGCCTTCAAGTCGCAGACGGGGTATGACTGAGGGCAGCAGCTAGAACCATCATCGCAGCAAGTGGCTGACTCATACGGACAACATCCCCAGCTATAGCATTTACTATTGTACTCATATAGACAACAACAAGTGGACTTAGCTGGACAAGTGTTAGACTTGTCACAAACAACCGGTGAAGGTGGTGGCGGTTTTGGTGGGTTTGAGCCTGATGATTTGGTAGGGTAAGAAGCCATCATCGCCACACCGCATTTCCCTGATGACTCTTTGATGTTACGTTCAAGCTTAAAATATCCGCTTTCTCCCCAGTTTGATCCCCATGAGTTACGAACAATCCAGTAGTCTTGACCACCTTCTGATCCATATCCCACAGCTACCACACCATGGTCCAAAGATGTTCCACATGTTCCCGTAAACACACCCTGATAAAAACAACAAAAGGGATCACTTTTATGAATTCGAAACCAATCTTGAATAAAGAGAAATCAAGATAAGGTTCATTGAACGAAATTACAGATGTGTAAAGCTGGAAAGCTCGGCCACCGGCTTCAATGGCAACACTAATTGGTTGATTAGCAAGAGCCTTCTTTAAAGACTTCTCATCGTTTTGAGGAACATCCTCATAACCATCAATAGTAACAACACGAGTATTCTTCTGCAAGATATAAAAGAACAACATAACACATAAGCATACAACATTTAAGCCATATCTTTTGATCAAAGATTTTTTACCTTGTCAGAATTGCAAATGTTATCATCAGTTGCAGTATAAGGATAATCTTCCTCTGTATCAATACCACCGTTTTCAATAATAAACTTAAAAGCATAATCCATAAGACCTCCACCACATCCACCATTGTAACTTGTGTCACAATCAACAAGTTCTTGCTCCGACAGAGATATCAACTCTCCTGTCTTAATCTGATTTATACCTTCAACCGCTCCAATCGCCGAAAACGCCCAACAACTTCCTGTTATATCATACCAAAAAAAATCCCTAATCAGCTCAAAATCAAAAATAGAAACGCCAAAAAAGCGATCAAAACGCAAACGCAATTCCACATACCACAGTTTCCTTGATCTTTGACTGGATTCACAGCACCTTTAGCTCTCCAATCGATTTCATCAGGTAAACTATCTCCAACCTTATACAAATACCTCTCACCTTTCACCGGAACCCTAGTTCTCTCCATCTTACTCCTCAAGTACATCGCTCGAAACTCGTCGTTCGTTAGATCGGCGAACCGGGTCAACCCGACTTCAAAAGTCTGATTCGGGAAGGAATTGTGCTCTTCGATGAACTTCAAGTTGTCTTTGAAGATCTCGAAACGTCTCTCTTTCTCTCCGAGACCATTATAGTTCTTCCTATTCTCCACTAGCCACCGTTCGTATATCCGCCGTGCCTCCGCCTCGTTTCGTGCCGTATCCGCCGCTGTGACGGAGCCGAGAGACAAGGAGATTAGTAACACTGAGAAGATCAAGAGAGCTAGGGTTATGGATTTGATTGGAGTAGCCATATTTGTTCGTTTTTGTGTTTGTTTCGATTTGAGATTTTTGCAACTGTTGCATTAAGTATTTATAGAGTTTTAGGGGGTGTTATTCACTCATGGAGTTAAAGTCAATTCTTAAAGGTTTAGATTTGATTTCTGCTATTGTTTTTAACAATCTGTTTGTGTGGAGTTCAAAATCTCTGCAGTATATCCCGGATTATGATTCAAATGATTTACTCATGAAACTCCAAAGATGTTTCATTTCAAATGATTTGATATACAAAGATTTTACAAGTCTTTTAGTTTTGAATAACACTGGATTTTAATGAAGCATTTTAAATCTTAGTTGAATAACACCAAACTTTAAAATCTATTAGAGTTAGATTTAAAATCATTAGGTTAATAACACTGGATTAGTGTTGGATTTCAATTCTATTAAAATCCATCATTGAATAACACCACCTTAGACTTTTGTCGTCGAGAGAGAGAGCGATTGGGATGGATAGATGTGTTCTTCGTATTGGCTCCGACGTGTCATTATTTTATTTTATTTTCTGAAAAGAAAGAAAAAATAATAAAAAATATGTCACTTCACATGGGCGGTTCCATTCATATTTTGTCTATTGTTTAAGGTTACGTAATTAAAAGTTAAAACTGATAATTATTTCCAATAAATATAGATAAACTTAAGAAAGAAAGAAAAAAATCTAGATAAAATTCATTTTAGATCAAACTTTAACATTTTTGTTTTTGATATCTAATATGAAGTTTTGATTCGATGAGAAATTAAGATATGGTGAAATCGTTTTTTTTTTCTTTTCTTATTACAAGTTACAAGCATGGTTCTTAGTTTGGAAAACCTAATTCTAACTTTTCACAGAGTAGTTTCTTGACGACACTAACGTTTCCCGGAAAGTACTAGGAACCCATATGTTATACGCACTTTGGAAGCTATTAAATAACACATACTACTATATAAATCTTAAAGTACAATATTCATATAATATTTTTTGATGTCGTGGTCATACACGGTATTACTATTAAAATGTTTACCCTAACCAATGAAATATTCCTTTTTCATTTTTTTTTTTTTTGATTTTTTTGTGTTGCTTCCATCATAAAAACTCTTATACGATCATTTCAATTAAAAAGTATTCGTCAGTAAGAGTTTAGATTTGTATTAGAGCGGCCAGTTTTTGAGAAAAGCTCTAGTAACCGAGTTGGCTTGCGTTGGGGTGTAGTAGCATGAGATTGCGGGTTCGATTCTCCCCTCTTTCGGAATCACCAAATTTTAACTTTTTCCCCCTATAATTTGGTTTGGATTGGTATGTAGATTTACATTCATTCTTTTATAAGTTATTGGAGTTTGTACATTTACTCATTTAGGAAAATGAAGATACAACAAAGTGACGACGTCCTTTGTATTGAAATCTTGCCTTTGATATACTATTGTTCGTGCTTTTAATTGTGCTTAGTTATACGAAGTTATAGTTTATTAAGCAATTAATCTTGACAATAAAGAGCTTCGTATAGTTTATTAAGCAATTAATCATGACAATAAAGAGCTTTGTATAGTTTATTAAGCAATTAATCTTGACAATAAAATAAATAAATATATATATTTATATATACATACTGTATGTATATATGTATATAGGTCCAATTGACGTATAGCATTCAAATAGTCCATATATACGAGAACGTAATTGCTTCTCAAGCATCTCACGTTTATCTATTATTGCGCTTTTAACGCAGTACTAGGAGGTAATAAGTAATTTTAATTATCTTCCCATTATTATAGCAAGGATTTGATTTTGAAAGTTCTGATTTTGTACATGTGGCAAAGATGCCATGTCAAGTTAGCTAAGATGCATTTTATGTACAAGTATTGGAAAGCTAATTTTAGAAGGTCAAAGTCTTTTTTTTTTAGCATGTGTGTTCTCTTTATAGCTCTTGTTCCCTAAACTGTTGAATCTCTTATTTGATACTTGATACATAAGCTGTTGAATCTCTTATGTCTGCTAAACACTTGAATTTCCTTAATTATGTTGCTATTTCGAATTTTGTCCAACGAAGAACTGTCATTGCCAAAGAGAACTCTGCTAAAATCCGTACCATTAATTTGAACACATTACATGAAAATCCATAAAAATCCATCGTGTAATATAAATCTAAAAATAACAAGGAAACTAAGTTCCTGATTTCTTCTTCGTTTCTTTGTTTAGATTTCTTCACAAGTTTCGCCTATCTCATAGTCTGAATCTCATCTCGTTCGTTTTTCTCAGATGAATCTTCTGTCAGTGGATCGTGAAGAAGCGACCCAGGTCTCTGAGAAAGAAGAAGTCCCGATTACAATGTGTAAGTTTCTATTTCTGCTTGATTTTTTTTCACTTGAATTCGATTTGAAGTATTAATCCACTTGATTGCAATCGCTATGCGGCGGAGGCTCTTCGACTGCGAATAGAAGAGAGACATCAGAAGATGCATGAGAGAAAAATCGCTACATATAAGTTTTTGATCTCTCTCTCCTATGGTTCTTCTTCATTTTTTCTTTTTTTTTTGGTTAGATTTCTTATCAAATTTTGACTATATCATCGTAGTCTGAAATCTTATTTAGTTTGTATTTCTCCGATGAATTTTCTGTTAGTGATTCTGAAGATAGAACCAGGTCCCGAGAAAAAAAAGAGTCATGAAGCTCCAAGATACTTACATATTGTAATCGGGAGTTCATCGTTCTCAGGAATCGGTTCGCTTCTTCATAATCAACTAAGAGACGATTCATTGAAAAAAATAAAAAGTTAGTCCATTGTTACATCACATGGGTATTGTCGCGTAGATTATAGATTTATAGATAGTTTTGTTTGTATTTTGTCCATTGTTTAAATTTTGGTTACATAATTAATTAAAAGTTAAAACTGATAATTATCTCAATATAGATACCTTTCATTTTGTTAGTTATTTTATTTATCAAGATATGCTAGACTTTAGATCAATCTTATTTAATATGATTTTTTGATTGGATGATAAATTAAGATATGGTGAAATCGTTTTAATTTCCGGGAAGTTATTATGGCTTTGGTTATGTTATTATGTCTTCTGTTTAACTATAGTTTACAATTAGTATTTGTGTCTCCAAGAAAATGTAATTCTAATAAATTTGAATAGTTCTTTTAGGATGTTGAACACGTAATGAAGAGAAAAGGATAGTTAGATAAGATCATAGGCAACGTCATAAAGACATAAACGGCCGGACAACGTGCAACAAAATTATTTTAACTCACGTACTGAATCAATTGTTTTCTAAGTAATTAAGATAAACGATGAGTCGATGACACGTTTTCTTCTAATAGTCGGACAAAGACGAAGACGAAGAAAAGGATAATCATTGATTAATATGAAGTAATGTTAACTCACGTACTGAATCAATTGTTTTCTAAATAATTAAGATAAACGATGACTCTTTTACCAAAAAAAAATAAAAATAAACGATGACTCCTCTTCTTCTAATAGTCGGACGAAGACGAACAAAAGGATAACCATTATTGAATATGAAGTAATATTAATTATTGTTACATTTAAATTATTTATTATCAGTATCCACACCTAAAATTGATCCTTGTATATTTAAAAGGGCACCTTTTCTGTTATGTTCTTAATTAATCTCTTTTTCTAATATCACCACTAGTATACATACATGAGAGAAATATTTCAAAGTCCTTTCTTATTCCACCCATGAGCCCAATTGAAATATATAGTTCTGACCCAATTACGATATTATCATGGACTAACTTGGCCACTTCTATATGGGCCAATACTTCTTTCTGATATAGCATTTGAGTGTTTTCATCAAACGTTGGCATTTACATCAATAATTTTTAGCTGATGTTTGATTCAAAAAGTAGAATGATGTGATTCTTTAAAATAAAAATTGTATATTTTAACTAAGAAATTATATGTATATATATATATATATGTATATATATATATATTCATATAAAACATTTAGACAATAACTGTATTGCTAGATATATTTGTAACTTGTATAGTAGTAACTAGTAAGTAATATAATTTGAGGTCGTTTTTACAAAAAAAAAAATAATTTGAGGTCACGAGTTATCACAGTAATGAACTAGTTTTTTTTTAGTATGATAATGAACTAGTTATCTAGAAACATTAAGGTACGTTTGCCTTGGACATCAAAACCATAAGTAAGATCGGCGGTGTTCTAAGATTGTAGATGACTTAATTAACTATTATTTAAATCACATGTAAATGGTTTTATTCGTGAGAAAAATCGATTTTTAACCATTGATTTGTTTCCGTGATGCTCTATTGATTAAATCTAATAAGTGTGATAAGATTATCTAACGTTCATGCATGCATCGTCTTGTTTCTTTCTGTCGAATATATACAGAGAGAATAAAGAATAAAAGTACAAACGAAGCAAAAGAAAACCATTGGAGAAACGCTACACATCGAAACAAAAATTAAAAAGAAGCATCTGAACTTATCCGAGAGTGGCAGTAATTGTTAGGAATTTGGGAATCAAATCCATTTTAAATGGAAAAAAATATTATAATGGTTTCGAATATTGTTTTTATTTGTTTACATGTATTGTTGTTTTCGGAATATATTTGTTATAAATTAAAAAAAAAACATATAAACAGAGAGAATTGAGCTGGGAAGCACGTGTGGGAGAAGAGAGAAGCACGTGCAACAACGACAGTGCAGGGTTGACTGGAGACAGTAGGGTCGTGAAGAGGCGCACTGTTTCATACACACGCGTGACGCGTGTAACTCATCCTCTCCACTGCTATACGTCGTCGTTTTGATTTCCTTACTATGGAAAAAAAAAAACCATTAAGTAGGGATCATTTTTAGTGATAATGGACCTTCTTATTGTTGTTATTTTCAACTGCTAATCCAGAATTGACATTGTGATTGGTAGCATGTAAAACGTTAAATCTCGTTGTCTTTTATCCACGAAATATAATATTAAAAACCCCTTTTATCTTTTAAAAAGTGTATTAAAATTCTTGTGGTTACACACTAAATTCTTCGCTATGAAAGGATAGAGAATACGTGTCGAGCAAATGAACAAATTCTCCATGACTTTACTTGGAATATAAGATTTTATAATCAAGCATACCTAATTGATTCTCATAACACAACAGCTACGTGTGTGAGTATGTATATAATATTATGTTTGTGAACTTACTAGTAGACATATGTAGCAAGGCATAAAAGACAAAATCACCATAATATTCATATGTAATGTAGAAGTGGAAAAATCACGATTTGCAATGAGTTATCAAAATAATATATAAGGGATAATGGGCCAAAACCGCTCTTCTTAAATCGATGAAAATGTAATAACTTTGGTTTCAGAATCTAACCGGTTTAAGCCTTCAAAACAAAGGAAAAAACAAAAGAAGAAAAAGAGAGGAAGAAGAAAACAAAAACGAGGTAGGAGAGGACGAAGCTGGACCAGCTTTGAAACACTCCTGTCTTCATTCTTTGACCTTTGACTCGCTCCATTACCACATGCATGACGATGACAATTATCTTGATCAATATCTATTTATACATCCGTTTTGGACAAACTAGGCACTAATAATGTCACGACATTTGGTATCAAGTAATATAATAACAACATGTTTTATTAAATAGACTGCCGCATCGTCATTGTTCTTTTTTTCCTGTCATCAATATAATTAAGTATAATTTCTAAGTAGCCTTGATAAGTTTGTGATCACGCCCACTCTATTTATTTTTATTTTTAATTATAGTCTTTCGATTATAACAAAAAATTCCAGCATTATAACTAAATGCAACGTACTAATTATAATTTCAAAAGATACATTTAACAATTCCAGCATTACTAAATGCAACGTACTAACTTTTCATACTTCAAACCAATGATACACTTTAGTGTTTGTTTGCGGTAAGAGATTCTATGTTTCACCGGGAGAGAACTAGACAAAGGCATTAGACAAAGAACATAAACAAAAAAAATACACATTGAAAAGCTTCTTAGTTGTTCCCATGAGGACAATGCAATGGACAGGAAGATTCTCCCCTTTTGATGATGTCTGCAAAAAAAAAGAAAAAAAGTAAATTGAAAGTAGAAAAGGGATCGGAAATATTAAGGTCCAAGTCCACCTCCCGAATTTATTTTGATTCCGATGTATTTGTCGCGGAATATTTGTCTTCCTTCGATAATTTTGTTAAAGATAACAGAATTTCATTGGTCTAGAAAAAAAAATGAAGATAACAGGGCCAACAAATGCATATAAATTACACAACTAATTAAACTCAAAATATTTACACATTTCTTTCGGTATCTAGACATTGTGTTGTGTGAAGCAATATATTGTTTTAGAATGGGGATTTAAAATGTGATTATATTAGCTAGTTCTTTCAAATTCATAGCAGTGATTTTTTTCCACGACAACTTTTGTCAAAAGTCCAGAAAAAGTTATCGTTGAAGTTTCGATCCTACTTAAAGCCAACACATAAACTTATCTTAAATTTCACTACTTTGAATGCTGGTATTTCTTAAACGAAATAATTGAGTGAAGTCTAAATCTTCAAGCGCCATATCAAAATCGATCTAGGGTTTCGACTTTCGAGTCTTGACTACTAAGTAAAATATATAGTCATTGACTTATTAATCAATGCTTTAGAGGAAACGAGCTAAAAGTTACTGACTAGTAAGTAACTAGTTTTTGACTCATATGAATTAGAGACTATAGACCAGCTACTTGATGACAACTTTTGTCCCTAGTTTTGTAGTATTATGTGTAATTATGGCCTTGAACTTGTAAAAATAGAGCTCTATTATGGAAAAAAAAAACAAAACAAATATATACCAATGGAAAAACAGATAATAGGAAAATTATATTAATCCTTCTCCTTCAAGTTGTTAGATGTTTTGAATTGTTCTCCTAAATTTTCGTAAAGTTAGGTGTTTTCTACTTTCTATTTATAATTTTTATTTTTATCCCATCCATTAATTTTTACTCGAATACCAATTGATTGAAACAAAATTAGTTTTTTATATGTGAAAATTTCAAAAATTCTGTTATTAAAGAAAGATAGAATAAACAATTTGGAGAAATGTAAACTCTCAAAGAATCCTAAGTAAACGAAATAAGCAAGTGTAAAACAAAAGCGATAGAAAATGAAAGCATTGAAAGATGCGTGCAAAAAGAAGTGGTATTGAAAGCATACGTGAAACAAAACGAGTCAAAGTTTTTGCCGTAAAAGAAAAAACAGTCAAGCATTAAGATTTGGTTGTATTATTATGGGTGATTATCACGGGCTTTGATGTTAACACAAGTAAGTGGAACTTGTCTCGTAGGTCCCAACTTCGTTCCTAGTCTTTCGCAATTCACTGATTTAGTTTGACCAAATTCTATTATTTATAGCAAACAAAATCTACATCACACATTATATCTAGATCTTGTTTTTGATATATATACATAGACAACACAACAATGGCTTTGGTGGTTGTGGGTAGTGATTAAAAGCGATTGTAACTTGAAGCTTGCGATTGAAAAAAAGTTTGAATGTCATGATTATTCATTATTGTTGATTTGTAGATATATCGAACGCTGATTCGTTAAGCTTTCAATTTATGGGATAAATTATGAAACTAAATATTTATGATTTCAAATAAAATGTTAGTATATATACAACTATTTTCATTGATACGCATGTGTCTACGTAGTGAACTGAATTTCTGAATTTTGTTCTCCAACATTTTTATTTTATTTTTATTACATCTTATATATCTAAAACAGTTCAGAAATCTAAATCTATAGTACAAAGTATACATAATTCATATTTTGCTAATATAGTTGAGAACTACGTGCTAAATCGACAGGTTCTAACATGTTATATAAGGAAATATAAATGCTGTTGTAGTACTGCTTTTTGTTGTTTCATATAAACATCTTTAAAATTAGACTCATTTGAACAGTCAAATAAACTTTCAAAATTTCCCTAATAATAAGTACTTTTCTACGTAAGAAATTACGAAAAATGAATAATTTGTTTGTTTGCCGTGATAGAAAATCAACCATGTTTCGTTTTTTTGTTCAAATTAAGCATTATTTAGTGTTTTTACAAATCAATATATTTGAACGTTATAATAGAACATAAACATAATCGTAAGATTATCATAAAGATGTATAATTGTATATCATTCATATAATAAATCTTAAGCTTCACTTCAAAGATGCGACTTTTTCCCCCAAAACATATTTACGTAGATGGCATCTCATGATGTCATCACTTAATTAAAAACTAACATCAACAATTTAACATAATTATTAAATTAAAAATCCAGCAGGTAACAAAGTTATAAATGGCACACGTGTGGGCTCATACCCCAGATAAGTGTCTCGTTCCTCATATTCACTCTCACAACAAACAATCTCACCTTTCTTCTTCTTCTTCTTCTTCTTCTCTCTGTTTTAGAATTTTTCTTAATGCCTAGAAATTTACAACCATTGGATCTTGGAATCCAAATACCATACCATTTCAGATGTCCAATCTCACTCGAACTTATGCAAGACCCTGTCACCGTCTGCACCGGCCAAACCTACGACCGAGCCAGCATCGAGTCATGGGTCTCCATCGGTAACAACACAACCTGTCCAGTCACACGAGCTCCTCTCTCCGACTTCACACTCATCCCCAACCACACTCTCCGTCGTCTTATCCAAGAATGGTGCGTCGCTAACCGCTCCAATGGCGTCGAACGTATCCCTACTCCTAAACAACCGGCTGATCCAACTTCTGTTCGTGCTCTTCTTAGTCAAGCCTCCGCTGTAACGGGAACTCACGTCTCTGTTCGTTCACGCGCCGCCGCTCTCCGCCGTTTACGTGGATTCGCTCGTGATTCTGATAAGAACCGCGTTTTGATCGCAGCTCATAACGCTACAGAGGTTTTGATTAAGATTCTGTTCTCTGAAACGACGTCGTCGGAGTTAGTCTCTGAGTCGTTAGCTCTTCTTGTTATGTTACCGATAACGGAACCGAATCAGTGCGTTTCGATATCTTCGGATCCGGGTCGGGTCGAGTTTTTGACCCGGTTGTTATTCGATTCTTCGATCGAAACACGCGTTAACGCCGCCGCGTTGATCGAGATTGTTTCGACGGGAACCAAATCGGCGGATCTAAAAGGAATGTTTTCGATTTCGAATTCTGAATCTGTGTTCGAAGGAGTTCTCGATCTTCTGAGGAATCCAATTTCGTCACGACGAGCTCTCAAAATCGGAATCAAAACTCTGTTCGCGCTCTGCTTAGTGAAATCCACGCGACATATCGCGATCACCGCCGGTGCGCCGGAGATTCTAATCGACAGACTCGCGGCGGATTTCGACAGGTGCGATACGGAGCGAGCCTTAGCGACGGTGGAGCTACTCTGCCGATCGCCGGAAGGATGCGCGGCGTTCGGAGAACACGCTTTAACGGTGCCGTTGCTAGTGAAAACTATATTAAGAGTTTCGGATCGTGCGACGGAGTATGCGGCGGGGGCGTTGTTAGCGCTTTGTACAGCGGAGGAAAGGTGGAGGGAGGAAGCGGCGGCGGCGGGAGTGGTGGTACAGTTGTTGTTGATGGTGCAGAGTGAGTGTACGGAAAGAGCGAAGAAGAAAGCGCAGAAGTTACTGAAGCTTCTGAGAGATTCATGGCCTGACTACAATTCCTTCGCTAACTCCGATGACTTTGGTTGCAGCAGCCAAGTGGTCCCTTTTTGATTTTTCGATTTTTTAAAAAAGAATTGGTTTTCACAGTAATTATTAAATTTTTACTGTTTTTTTTTTTTTTAATTAGAAGGAAAAATGGTCATTTTTTTGTGTGTATTTTGATGGAAATATGTGAAGAAGAAAGATAATATACAGAAACTTTTTGATGACCATGAATTAGTTTTTTTTTTTGGTGTGTGTATATATATTGATATTTTTTGGTATGTGACTAATTTATCTTGTTATTGATTGGCCTTTTGGGTTGGGAAAAGTTGTTAAAGAAGCAAATGGAAGATATGCTTAAAGGCTTTAAAGTCTTAAAGTTTTTCTTTTTTTTAGTCTAAAGGTAAGTCAACTTTTTTTTTGCATTAACTGAAAAAATAAACATTTCAGGTATCGATCGATCTCTTGAGTGCCATACGTTTGTAATGAACGTCATTATGGTATTTTGTACTTTGTGTAGACCTCTTGTTAATTTATCTTCTTTAGTGTTTTTTGTTTTAAAGCATTTTTTCCTTGATGAAAGGTGTTATTATAGCATTTGTTAACATTTCGATTACTATCTATTTTATGGACCCCAAAAAGTACTTTAATGGTTGAAAAAAGATCATTGATCGGCTACATGGTCAAACTCACAAAGATTCAATGCAGTTTGGACAAAACATAAGCTGCTTGCAAACAATAATAAACAAACTGGGCCTAAACTTGGGCCGTGGCTGAATATCTCCAACCTAATAAAGTTGTTAGTTTTGATGTCCTATATGATAGTTTGGATTCAAATATGATAGTGTGTGTATGAAGATTGGTGTAGATGATTAAAAAAAAGAAGAAGATAAAAGTGATCAAAATAAAGTCGAATCTAATAGGTTTTTTTCTCTTTTACATTCACAATTTTAATTCGAAATTTTGATGATATATACCCTATGTTGGATATTAAACCAAATTACTTTAACACAACTAAAAACACAGTTTGGATTTGGTATTCACTTTTCAGGTTTACGTGGATTGAACACATTTCCTTTAATTTTATTAGATGAATTAAGAGTCTAAAACTCATCACACCTCATAGAGTAGACACAAACATACCCACAAGCAGTTTTCACTATTCACCCAATACACACAAACAAAAGCCCTTGTAAAACCCCTTTTAGTTCATCACATAGTCAAGGCAAGACATTTCTTGCTGCTCACTCTTTTCCTCCTGAACAACAGTTTTTTCAAGAACCCTAATCCTTGCTTCTTTCTCTGTGCCATCTCCATCTTTTCACCTCTTGCCTTCACTGGTTCGTACACGATCAACGCATTGTAATGGTTACCATCATCACCATGAGTGACTCTGTTAGTATCATCCTCTGCTTTGTAGGATGAATCTTTTGCCGTTGAGTCTTCTATATTTTCCCGGAGAGAAGATCTTTTGTGTAGAAATTTCATGGTGCTACTTGGTTCTGTTGTAGATAATGCTCTTAGTTGCTTCCGTAAACTGGTAATCGTTTCTTGACACTCTGATAACTTCACAGAAGCTGTTGCTATATCCCACCCCTGCAAATAAAAACTCCATCATCATCAGTAAACACACATGAACTCCAAATTTTGATATATTAGTCTGTGAAATTCTGAATCTTTCCACTCACGTTTTTGTTTCTCTGCGTCGGTTTCTTCGTTTCAACACTGCAAAAACACAAAGAAAAGTGTTGAATCTTCGGTAACAAACAGAAGAAATGTTGAGGCTTTAGATGTGATTATTGTTTTAGTTACCTTTCTAGCTGAAGCTGAAGCTCTATGCAAGTTCCTTCGAGTTCTTCACAACAGCTCTTTCTGTAATCAAGTTCTACTTCAAGAGAAGACAACTTCTTCTGTGTCTCGTTGAGCTTAGCTCTTGTTATGTTCAGATTTGTATCAAGATCTCCCTTCATAGATTTCTCCGTTTCCATCTCTGCCTCTACCGTTTCCTTACTCTCTCTCAACGTTTTGATCTCTGCTTCTAAGTTTCTGATCTTCTCCTCTGATTCCTCAAGCTTATTTCTCAGTTCTTGCTTCTCATCACATTCAATCTTCTCCACCTTATCTGCTTTTGTTAGACCCAAATGTCTCTTGATCTCATCCTTAGTCATAGGACCCGATTCACTAGGAGATTTCCATGTGATGCAGAGAGGATCTTCTTCACCTTTCTTTCTTGCTGCATTATCATTTTCATCCATACATCCTAAAGCAATCTTGATGTCTTGTAAGAGTTCTTTAACACCGCGTTTCGATATCCTCTCTTGCTTCGTTATAGCGCTCAAAACAACTTGAATCCAATCAAAAGATCCTTCCTTTTCATCATCCACTCTTGGATCTTTCTCAGTACACACAATGGCTAACTTCTCCATCTCATTAAAATCATCCATCAGTAGTTTCATCTCCTTCGAACCACAAGGGCTAATCACACTACTTTCGCTTCTAATGTCGAAACTCGAAGCCTCTAACGGTTTCTGCCCGCGGCTAAGATCTTTGATCTCCATGTTTTTCTTCATAATTATGTCCATTAGATTCTTGTTCTCTGCCCTAACATTCCCAATCTGTTCCATCAACAGATCATACTTAAGCTTCCGGCTTTGAACTTCATCTCTCATCATCAAATCGCTCTTATTCGCGTTTCTTCTTCTCATCTCCATCTTCTTTTCTTCACCTTCATTCCTCATCGATATAGACTTCTCCGGAAACTTCTTTCGAAACAGAAGTCTTAACCTTTGGCATTCAGCTTCAAGCTCAACAATCTTGTTCACATTCCTAAGTTGCTGTTTATGCGTTAGCTCCATAGACCTACGAGTATGCTCTGTTTCCTCTGTTTTTACCTGGAGGTCCTTCTCAAGAACATCATACTCATATCTCAAGAATGCGTTTTCTTTCTCAGTTGAATCTAATCTAGTCATTAACGCTTCAAATTCTGATTCCACCTGAAATTTACGCTCTTGTAGGCTTACGGCAAGCTCTTCTTTCGCCACAAGAGACTTCTTAAGCTGAGAGTTCTCCGCAGCTAAAGTTTGAACCTTTGTCTTCATATCAATTAGATCATCACCTGCAGATTCTTCTTGTCTCTTTCTCATAGTTTCAGTTGACCTGAAATTGTTGTTATCAAGTCTCTTTGCCTCATGATCTCTCCCAAGAAGCTCGATTCGCTGCAGAAGCTTATCGGATACACCACAAAAAGGCGATGACTCTCCATTCCTCAAACCAGTTTCAAGACCCATTTCTTCACCTTCCAGGAAAATCTCATCTACTACACTTTTCTCGCCATAAAGATTCACACGAACATCTTTCTTGGGAGAGTTTAAGGCTACAGTGTCTAGCTTCTCACTTAGACTTTTTCGAGCTCTATCGGGTCTAACTCCATTTACTGGAGGAACCATACGTGCCTAAAGACCAATACCAAATATAAAAAAAGATTATCACTTAAAAGACTTGTACTAAGCCGTAGAAGTTCACAAGCAATACATAGACACAACAAAAGCTGATAATGATCAAGTTTTGCTCAAGATATCACTGAACATTCAAAGCAAACTTTGACTATTTCTGCAAAATTTTCTTTACCTGTCCTCTGCCTCTTCTAGAAGAAGTTTGGAGTGTTTCTGCTGCAGATTCTATCTTTTTCTTCGACCGCCACTGGTTTATTTCCATTGATTCTGTAAGATGTCTTCTGCAACACATTGAAAAAGGAGATAGAGCATAAATTAAAACATCAAACTTTATATTTGAGTAAGAATAATCAAAGAACAAGACCAGAATATATATAAAATGTTCAATGAAGGAGAGAAGGAAGATTTGGATGCAAGAATCTTACATAGTCTTATGTTGTTCTAAGCGTTAACAAGTTTCTGAGTAATCTCTCCAACAAAAGAAGTATTTAACAAAACCAACAAAAGAGAACAAGAAGAGGCAAATTAAAGAAGAGAGATGAATCTTTACAAGTAAATAAGGTAGAGAGAGGCATCAAGTGACTATGTGACTGTGATATTAATTGTTTACGTTTCAACTCTTAAATAAACAGTAAAGTAACTAGAGGTGTTAACAAAGTGTTCTGCATAATACACAGTTTTAAATAATTATGAAGAAACTGCTTTAAATCTTTGCTTTCATAATTTTTTACCATCATTCATGATGAAAAGAATTTCTTCCCATTAATAATTTCCAATTTTCACACATAACCATCAATTTGTTTTGCATTAGACTTAATATCTGCCCGTGAATGACAGGGAGAAAACAATTAAAAAGAGTATTTGCAAATTAATTAAGACGTTAATTGATGTCCACAAGACATTTAGTGCTACCTAATGACAATGACATTTGCTTGTTGCTTCTTTCTTTGCTAATTTACTTTTGCCATCTCTTCTTTTCTTGGTTTTCTTTTTGCTTTCGTATCATTTCTCATAGTTTTCAAACAAGTGAATTATGACTTGACGAAAATTCCCCCAAAGGTAAATATATTTTACCAATGTTTTAGTTTTTTTTTTTTTTTTTTTTTTTTTTTTTTTTTTTTTTGGGCAAAACCAATGTTTTAGTTTATAATAGAAACAAAACAAACAATTCCAACGTTGTATGATTACTGATAAACCAGATATGAAAGAGTTGACCTAATGGAAAATATTAGGTCTAGATATTGATTCTACCTACTTTCATTATTTATGAGAAAACAAATATTAAAACTACAATCATGGTTAGACAATCCACTAAATCACTAAACAAGACAAGTATTATTACTATCTTTCACTTTTCTTAACTTTTATTTGTTTTTGGGAGGGCCATAGGATTCCCAAGTGCTCTCCAGTTTCTCCACCGACAGTTTTTAGTTTTTTACTACGACTCTACCTTCAACAGCTCTTTAATTATCCATCATGTCATGTTGAAAAAGAATACAAAAACAATAGTAGCAAAAAATGAAAAGTTCATAAAAAATGGAGAAGTGGGGAAATAGTAAAGGAGACGTTACGAAAAATATTAATTTGAGGGCCCATATTGTATCTGTGGTTTCTATATAAAGAATAAAGCTACGATTAAAACTATGACGAAATTATCATCAAAGATATAATATGTATAGGCAATATGATTAATCACTTTAAGCCGTTAGTATGAAATATTTATTAATTGTTTTGTAGGGAAAGAAACCAAAAAGATCTCTTGGCATTATGGTCCCTTTGTTAAATGGATTTATTCTGCATTATTCGTAGTTTAAAGATAAATATTAAAAAATTTGATGATATAATTCCATGATTTTGTTTGCATGCGATGAATCTAAGTACCTTAAGGATAAGCATTCGTAATTACTTAACAACTACATATGTATATCATCAACGGATTATAAAGAAAAAAATGTAATAATCGTTATTCTGAAGTTAACAAAAGTTGGCGATTAAAATTTCAAAAATCGCTGCGCGTGGATCTCACTCGCGGGCGATTTTTCTCTCCCAACTCTTCTTCTTCTGATTACGATCTCGTGCACCGCGTGAAGGGCCCTCCGGTGATTCCGGCACCGCGAAGGAGCCCGTGGCTCATGGTGCTTCATCCGCAGTCTGTTGCACTCTCCGGCAAAGACACTAGAACGGAATCAACGGGGGTCGTGTCTGGGGAGAAGCTTCTGCGAGACAAAGCCGGCTTGATCAACCGGCGGTGTGGCTACGCGGTGAGAAGACGGAGGTTTCGACGACGCTCAATAGAGTCCGGCGGTTAGATCTGGAAACAGGAGGCGCAGGAGGTTTCGTCGAGGTCGGAAGAGATGGGGGAGGTTTTCTCCGGTTTCGCGAAACTAAGCCACCGCCGATTGGTTCCACGTTCTACTCCCTACTGCCTTCTCTCTCTTGCGGCTGAGTAGTGGCCTCGCGACAACTAGATGCTTGGTTTCTTCTTCCTCCTCAGCTCGACTCTACTTTGGCGGGTTGGAGATGGTCCGGTGTCTCCTTCTCCGTTCGGCTCGCGTCATCCTGGCTCGTCGGTGGTCCTGTGCCGGCGAGTTTCCGCAGCTCGAAGGATGGCGGCTCCGACCAGGTTCTCTGGTTGTGGAGATTAGGGTTTCGATTGTCTCCGGTTTAGATCGGTTGCGTTGCTGGTTTAGATTGGTCTATTGGACCCGGGTCGGTTTTGTTTTGGGTTCTTGGTTTGGTTGGTGTAATTGGACTGGGCCTAAGGGGATTTGTATGAGCCTATTCCGGAAATAGCCCATTGGGCATATATTTTAATATAATTGCAAGCCTTTTATCAAAAAAAATAATCGTTATTCTGAAAATCATCACCATTAAACCGATTACATTTGAGCATCCAAAAACTAACTGTAGCAAACCGTACCGATTTTGGTTTACCGTATAAGAAAATTGATAAATCGGTTGGTGGTTTATCAATCAGCTTAACATCCGATTAATCAACTTGAACTTGAGGCCAATTTTCGGATACGCCAAAATTCCTTCTAGAAAGTTAATGCAATATTATGTCTAAATCTCTTACGATTTTGTTAGGAAAAATTAGAAGGCAAACAAAATACGAAACCTATCCATGTATTAACCAAAAATTAGAAGCCAAAGTAAACAAATTAAGAATATGATGCTATTAGTGAGCCAAGCCACTTTTTTAATGTAATCAAAGATTATAACAAAAGCGAAATTCTAAGCTAATAGCGAATCAAAGAATTGCTAATGAAATCAAATAAAGAGTGTTTCTACTCTTCAAAATTTTCGACCAAAGCTTATCACTTTTGATCATCAAAAGACAAGACAAATGGAACCAGGCTAGAAAACTCAGCTCTCTACTGGCTTTGACGACTTTTGACCCACCGGTAAATCATCGATCCAGTCTCCATAGATTCGGTTAATCTTCTTAGAGTCGCTCCACTTGAGCAGACACTTCTTTCGCCGCCCTTCTTCGTTCAGACCAGAAGAATCTGCTGTTACTTGTGTAATTGGTTTCATTGCAAATGCTTCATTCGCAGGTACCACTGTTTGTTTACTCACAGACGCGGTAGCGTTCACAGCTTCTCCATCAACCCTTCCAACAGAGTTATGCAACTCTGCAATTTCGTAAGCAACAACCAAATCAGAAACACAAGATCACACAAAATCCACAAATGTCAGTCAAAAGAAGAGAATTCAGAGATAGTATCAATACACATGACTTGCAAAAGTATACAAAGATAATATAACCAAACACAAGATCACATGGAATCAACAAAAAGGATAGAATTCAGAGATAGTGTACACACAGGACTTGTAAATCTATACTAGGATACTATAATATAAGGTCCCATTAGCAAAGATAAATGATTCACATAAAACATACCTGTTTGGCCATGAGCAAAGTGACACTTATCACCAAAAGGGCATTGACCCGTGATGTCAAACTTCATGCACAACCTCGTCTTCCAGTACACAGTCTTGACAACACCACCATTGTTTATAGGTGCAGGTACCGGGATGCTTCCTTGCCTATTAACTTCAATATGATTCGAGGCAGTATCAGATGGTGGATCAGCAGCAGAAGTACCAACACTTATAACCGAGCTCTCTCTCAATTTCCCCGAGTCCTCACGAAACTTTGACAGTTCCTCATGAATAAAATTGCACCTGTCCCCATAAGGACACTCTTCCCCAAAACAAAACTTCCTGCAAAGCTTCATCCTCAAGATTATCTTTTGATCATCTTCCCAATTATTATTCGCAACAGGCGCCAAAGACGGTCTTTCCCTTTCCCTCTCCCTCTCCCTCTCTCTCTCCCTCTCCCTATCCCTATCTTGACCAGGAGGGGGTCCAACAATTTCCTGCCAATTCGACGGAGGCTGCCTCAAATCCTCGATCCCATGAGCAAAATTACAGAGTTCACCATTCCTACAAGTCCCGGCCCTGAATTTCGCACACATTCTAGTCTTATAGAATATATTAGCCGTCCCTTTATTCACAGGAGGAGGGTTTAACGATGGAACCATCCAAGGATTACTACTCGAAGGCTGAGGAAACGATGAAGCCGGATTAAACACGTTATCATCAACAAGTCTTGGCCTTTTCAATGCAGGCTGCAACTGTTGAGGCGGTTGAGATTGTGACTGTGATTGTGATTCAGATAGTGAATGCAAGTCTCCTTGTTCGTTGTTCATTGGATTAGCCATTGAATCAATCATCTGGGTCTGATTCCAACCACCATAAGGTGATTGCACGAACAATGGACGAGAATCAGAGTAACTCGAATCCATAACTGTAACAAAGATCGAATTTTGTGATTACAAAACTTATCTATATAACCAAACTAAACTAAATTCTTCAACTTTTGATTACGAAACTGCAAACGGATTCAATCGCAAGAAACATAAAAACTTCGCAAGAGAGAATCAAAATGCTTGAAACTATGATGTATGAAAACACGATTTGAGTGTAGAATTCCAATGGATCAACAAGAAGGAGAGTGTGACGAATTACGTGAAGAGTCAGAGCAATACCTGGATCAATGATGGCGGCGGCAGATTTGAGAGAAGAAACGCGATTTAGGGTTTTTGAACATCTGATATATAAATACCTTTTTTATCTTCTTTTGTCTTTTGCATTAAGAAACTGAATAGTAAATAACACAACACAATTCATTTCATTAATTAATAAATTACATAATCTCTATGCTTTTAATAATCTTGTATCCTTCAACAAAATAAATCAAAAAAGAATATTTGTATAATGCATATAATGTTAAATTATCTAATTATATCGTATAACATTAAAGTTGTCAATTTTTTTTAAAAACATATCTATTTGCTATGATTGGTTTGTCTTTGCTTAAGGTGTTTATCAAATTGAAAATATATAAGAAAAACTTAATTGAAAAAACACTTTTTTAAAGACTATTATTCATTTGTCTCAAAATTTTTTTTTCCATTTTTCATTAAGAAAAAAATACCAGTTCTATATGCTTTTCCATTTGTTTACAACTCACACAAATTTAAATATAAGTTATGATACAACGAAAATACTAGTATAAATTATCAAATTCCGAGGATATCTTGTCATCCTTCGGCTTAGTTTCCGGGATCATGTGTTTGATCGTCGGCTCTTTGTATTTCATCTAGTATCCTTCAATGAAAATTAATCTTCCAGTGAAATTTTTTTTTTTTTTTTTATCAAATTCCATGGCATGGTTTGGTGTTTTGAAGCAACACAAATTGATAAAATTGATGTATATGATAGATATGCCAACAAAGTAAATCAAACTATCATTAGTCCTTTATACTAAAAGTTATAAGTAAAATAAAGATATAAATACAAAAAGGATAGAGGGTATATATGATTGGTAAAAAATTAACAACTAAAAAGATTGGTTTGTAAAAACTAAACATTATCTACTTACATCATACATTTAGATTGACAAAGTAAAGTAAATCTAAATATTTAAATAAATATGTTTGGACTAAAACCTTTTGAACACATGATAATAAAAATCGGTTTTGTTATTCAAACATCCTACTAGAAATGCTATTTATTTAGTGTTTTAAGTCATGGTTTACATTATCGATACAATTGAAACCAACATAAACTCTTACTAGTATACTAGATCATCACCCGTACTAAAGTACGGGTTGAATTTTATTTATTACAAAATTTATATAATATATATATTAGAACTAAGTTTAAATATATTATAATAGTAAGTGAAAAATATTAATTTTTTTGTCAGTCCCTATATACAATATTAGAATAAATATTGAATTTTTTCTATAATACTCAATTATGGATAATTTTTTTTTTTAAGATATGAAAACGGAAAATAATTTTATTTTTAAAAAGTAATATTTTTTAACAATGAGTTAATTTATGTTAACAACCACAAAAAAGGATTGCATATATTTCAGTTAGATCAAAAATTAAAATATCATAAATGAATCGCATATTAAACATAGATTATTTTGAATTATTTAAGAAAATTAGCTATTATTAATTAAGAAAATTCTTTTTCAATTTATAATTCTTTGGTTGTTGAAATAGAGATTTGTTTGACCTAATCTAATTACAGAATTTATTTGAGATTTATAATTACGGAATTTACCAATTATTCGCATAATCGAATATGTTATAGACATATATTTAGTATATAATAATACCAAAATCAACCCGTGCATGGAGTCTATATTTTTATTTTAGAATCTCGATATTTCATTTTAAAATATTACGTGCACAATCTATTATTCGTTAATTCTAAAATTGCTTGCGGAATCAAATTTTCAAATACTATTTTTAAATATTCCAAATTAAAATCTTTAAATTTTTTTGTAGTTTATAAAATTATGAATTTCAAAAAACAAATTATATGAAATTAAATATAACTATTCAAATAGTTATAAGGATCAAAACCCATTTCATCATATAATATATTATATTTAACCCGTTACCTGTTATAAATATTTTTTAAAATAATCAAATTAGAGTATTTATAATTTTCAACTTTTTGAACTATTAAGTATTGATGATATTCTCTAAAAATATCAAGTAAAACTTATTTTAAATGTTGCAAATTAAAATATTTAAATTTTTATTGTAGTTTATAAAATTATACATTTCAAACAAATAAATGTATGAAATCGAATATAAATATTCAAATTCTGACCCGTTGCTCAGTCGGAATTTTGGTTGACTTTATTTTTGTGTAAAAGAAATATATTACTCAAGTCTAAATTTTTGACCCGTTTATTTGTTTCCTTTATAGATTGAACAATCTATATGCGTTTTAAAAAATTCAAATCTTGGCACATGCAGAAAAAAATTACTTTTTTTTTATTATGTAGATGATATGATGATTTATTTGTTTCATATTAATATAATCATATTAAGATGAGAGGTGAAGTTTAACGATTAATAACAAATTAATATGGTAAGTTAGATATCAAATCTTATATGTTCATTTCGATTGGTCATTTAAAAAAAATAAAATAACAGATTTTCGTTTTTTAATTTAATTAAATTAATTAAATGACATAAATTAGTATTTTACTTATTTATCCTTAATAAATTGAATGAAATTTGTTCTAAAAGAAGATTTTTGTAATGGCATTCTTAAGTAAATTTTTACAAAAGGAAAGGTTAGTTAAGGGCATCTTATAAAGTGTACTCCCCAAATAATAGTATAGGATCTATATTTTGTTCTCATTTAACAGAGTATAAGTATATGAAATTTTTTCTTAAACATAATAATTGAGATTTTATAAAAAAAAAAGATAAGAAGTTTAGACATCACTAAGGGAGACATTGTTTACAGACTTAAGAGCTATCTTGGCTAAAACATCGACTACAACCACCCTACTATTTATTTGGACAAAGCAAAACTTTTTTTATCCTCGTTATTGTCTTAAAACATTTGGATACACTAACACTAGCAATAACAATAATAAATGATTTTTTTTTATTTAGACGAAAACAAAGATTTATTAAAACTCAACTTGAAGCCACATTTTGTTTCTCATATTAATAAACAAAAACCAAAAAAACATTTCATAGTTTAGCAGGAAGCATGGAAGCTAGGAACTTGCAAGCATCTTCTTTCCCTAGTAGTTGCATCTGTTGCGGAATCCAGTCCGCTAAGATCTTCATTGCCTCTTTGACAGTTTCTTTGAGGGCTTCAGGTGATTCCATCAGATGAAAGACCCTGTCTTGGTCCAGTTCAAGAATCATTCCTGTGATTTTTGGTGCAAACCGTGGCTCAAGTTCTTCCACCATTTCGTACAAAAGCTCACCAATCATCTATAAAAAAGGAGAAATTTAAGTCATATAAAGATAACACAAACTATATCTTAAAAATAGCCACAATCTTAAGGTAAACAAAATCAGTTTTACATTTCGTTGTGTTTCGGGAGGTAAAGAAGCAAGATCATATAGAGGTAAATCGCCATAGTACACAATTTTATTAGAAATGGATAAAGGAACCATGGCTTAAGCAATGAGGACAAAGATATATTTGAGAGAAGAAACAAAATTTAGAGTTTTTTGATGAATAAGATTTCATCTGCTATATAACAAGACAAAAAAAATATTTAGGTAAATGACAATATTCTATTTTTTTATAATTGGGGATTCAACACGCTCTTTAAATTGTGTGTGAACCACGCGCTATAATGTAGCTAAGACAAAAATGATATATAACGTATTCCGTATTTTTAATTTTTGTTCTACGTAAATAGTATTAAATTTAGTTTTAGATTTGTTGAAAAACGATGGCCATATATTAGCGCGTAGCTTGAGTAATGTGATTTTACTAAATGTATTTTTAATTATTTGTTATATATATATACTTTTACCGTTAATATTACTAGGTAGCAATTAGCTTGATGCATGAGTATTAAGGTTTATTTTGATAAAAATAGTGAAATTTTTCACAATTTACAATATACAATAATCGAAAATGTGGTAATTTTTAGTAAGTCCAATGTTTGTTACAAATTTATACACCGGAATAGAAAGAAATCCAGGAGAGTAATGCCTTACTCAATCAGAAACTGACAAATGTCGTCCATCCTCACCAAGTCAACATTCTCTGTATCCATTTTTAATTTCTTAAGGTAAGAAATCTGAGAGACTGTGATCTCTCACGCGTTGAAAAGGCGACTGTGAACACGCGCTAGTGAATCCATTATCTATTTATTTGGATGTGAAAAGCCCATATAATTTCATGGGCCTAATTTTTATAACCCATATATATAGGAAAGACACATAATAGTATCCGAGAGACAGAAGCAATGTTTGGGCTATGAGAGAGATTTGGTGGGAGATTGAATAAGTGAGAGGACCTACCTTGTTGGTCTTTTAACATTCCAACCTTCGTATTGGTCTCAAATTATTATTCTTTTGATTGAATGTCGGCAAGGAAATAGTCTCTACTCTATATCTCTGTATAAAAAATGAAAAATAGTGAAATCAAATGGATGTTTTTTTTGGTAAAAAAATCAAATGAATGTTTTGGTAACCATCTATAGTTTTACCCTTTTTCTGTAAAACTATATATGAAAGTGATACCAATCCGAAAACAATGTTTTTAGGTTTTTTTTTTCCTACCGATATTCAGCTTTAAATTTTTTCTTTTTAACTATTCTGATTTATTTTGTTTTTTGTTGAAAAATTTACCACTTTGTGTTGTTAATAGGACCCTAATTAATATTGGATGTTAAAGTTTTGGGTATATAAAATTATTCAGAATTAGGTAGCTATTATACAATGATTGGAGGATCAACCAGAAGATTAGACTTAAGACATAACATAAGGAATAAAATTCTTTTATTATTATTATTAAAAAAAAAAGCAGAAATAGAAAAGCAAGGGCAGGTCCGTTGGTCGAGTTCAACGACATTAACTCATAGGAACGCTTCAGTTTTGTTCCTCATCAGGGTCCGTTACGCTTTTCCTTCTTCTTCTTCTTCCTTTGTTTCTCTGATTTCCCAAAATCGATCCTTTAGAAATGGCGGAACAACACAATAAGGAAGTGATTCGTCTTGAGCCCGAATCTGTCATCCCTATCCTCAAACCTAAACTCATCATGACCTTGGCTAATCTCATTGGTCAGTTTTCTTCTTCCCTGTACTCGTATTTTGTATCCAAATCACAAATTTTGCTTTTTTTCACATCCACAATCGTTTACCCTTTGTTTGCAAATTTGGTCGGGTAAATTGGGTCCTCGTTTTTGGCAGAACATAGCAATGATAGACAAGAGTTCCTCAAGCTCTGTAAGAGAATTGAGTACACTGTTCGAGCTTGGTATCTTCTTCAATTTGAAGATCTCATGGTCTCTAATTTAACCCCTTTTCTTTTTAATCTCTCTTTTACAAACTTGTTTTACTTTGCTTTCTCTCCTCCTTTCTCATTTATCATGTGCTTTTGAATTTCCAGCAACTCTACTCTCTGTTTGATCCTGTACACGGTGCTCAGAAAATCCAGCAGCAGAACTTAACTTCGCAAGAAATTGATATCCTTGAACAAAATTTCCTAGCTTACTTGTTTCAGGTTAGTTTCTTTGATTAGCTTATTATCACCTCCTTCTGTTTTTATAGTATGTCAGTGTTCTTGAAATGTGTTTCTTGTTTTTACTTTTATAAGGTTATGGAGAAGAGCAACTTTAAAATAACAAGTAATGAAGAGATGGAAGTTGCACACTCTGGGCAGTATCTTCTAAATCTTCCCATCAAAGTTGATGAGTCTAAGGTTTGTTTAAACAAACATCACTTTTGTCACTAATGCTTGTGGGTTTTCCGGGGTTTTTCTAAAACAGTTTTCTTGCTTTTGGTGGATGAAGCTTGACAAGAAGCTGCTCAAGAGGTATTTTGAGGAGCATCCACATGAAAATATTCCAGATTTTTCTGATAAGGTACAGTTTTAGTTTGTCTGTAGATAAGCATTTCAAGTTTATGGTCTCCTAAAGACTTTCTTGATGGTCCTGAATTCGAGATGTGTTGACAAGTTTGATTGTGTTTACCCATTTTTGTTTAGTATGTCATCTTCAGACGTGGTATTGGATTGGATAAAACCACAGATTATTTCTTCATGGAGAAATTGGATGTGATCATTTCACGTTTTTGGTCCTTTCTCATGAGAATCACCAGGTTAGCTCACATTTCCCAGCCTAGTCTTTCTTAAAGCTCAATAGTCGTAAAAGGCATTTACATTTTGGGTCTTAACACCTTTAGATCACAGGTTAGAGAAATTACGCGCTAAGAGGTCAAACAGTCTTAACAAGAAAGATCCCAAAAAAGATGATGAGCCAAACCCTGACACAGATAATGATGAATTGTATGTGGAGCGTATTCGCCTTGAGAATTCAAAATTGAGGTTATCATCAGTATCCCTCACATGTTGTGATTTGCTTTCAACCCAAGTTTGGCCATTCTGTACTTATATATGATAATGACATTTGTCTTGATGGATTCAGCGTTAAGAGTTTCTTGAGCAAGCTCACAATACAGGAGCCTACATTCGATAGAATCATTGTTGTTTATAGGTAAGGTTTATGTATGTCTTGTTTCAGCTATTCGTTGTAACTTTGTGAACTTGTGGTTCAAGCATGTGGTTTATGATGTTGCAGACGAGCTAGCTCTAAAACAAATCTAGAACGAGGAATCTACGTTAAGCATTTCAAAAACATCCCTATGGCTGACATGGAGATTGTGCTTGTAAGTTTCTGTTCTTGCCTTCTTTCACTTTGCGTTGCTGGATTTTGTAGCAAAAAATGCAAACTAGCTGCTATAACATTAATGTCTTGTGCAGCCTGAGAAAAGAAACCCTGGACTGACTCCAATGGATTGGGTCAAATTTCTGATATCTGCAGTAGTTGGTCTGGTTGGTCTTCTAAGCAGATTCTTTTTTTTTTGTTACTGTTCATATTTTACATGTCTTCCTTGGTTATCATATGACTCTTGTGTACAGGTAGCCGTGCTTACTTCGGTTGAGATGCCTAAATCAGATCCATGGGTTATAATTGCCATTCTCTCCACAGTGCTTGGTTACTGTGCAAAAACATACTTCACGTTAAGTGCTTTCCTTTTTGCCTTTCCTTGCCTTCATTCTTCTTTGTTAAGCAAACAGTTGCTTATTCGTAAGTTGTATTCCTTCAGGTTCCAGCAGAACATGGCTACGTACCAAAACTTGATAACTCAGTCAATGTATGATAAACAACTAGACAGCGGGAGGGGAACACTACTACATTTGTGTGATGACGTGATTCAGCAAGAAGTAAGTTTCTGCATGAATATAGTGTAATACAATAGAAACAAAAAGCTCATTTGGGTTGCAATGCACAGGTAAAAGAGGTGATGATTTGCTTCTACATACTAATGGAGCAAGGGAAAGCTACCTTGGAGGTACATACATACTCCTAAATTTACTCTTTATATGGTATTTTATCATCAATGAGTGCTGACTTGAGTTGGTTTGAATGTTTGGGAAATAGGATCTGGATTTGAGGTGCGAGGAACTGATAAAGGAAGAGTTTGGTGCGAGGTGTAACTTTGATGTAGAAGATGCAGTCCAGAAGTTAGAGAAGTTGGGGATCGTTGCTCGGGACACCATTGGAAGGTACTACTGCATGGGGCTGAAGCGAGCCAACGAGATTATAGGGACTACCACGGAGGAGCTTGTCCTCAAGGCCAAACAGGGCGTCACCCCTTCTTGAATTCACCTTCTCTTATTTTCAACATTTGTTTTCTTCTTCTCATTTGATTTCAATACAACTTTTAAGTTACTGTGTGGTTGTTACTAAATCCAAGTGCAACAAATTATTAATCCACCAAAAGAATTGCCCGATATGATGATATGAACGAATACAACATCCAGTATCGAACTACTACTGCTTAAGGCATGCAAGTCTAAGAACAATTTTTAAGGATGCTATAAAGAGTCTCTGTTCCCAGCTACAGGTAGCTCAACTTCTATGTATATTTCACCTCCGTCCCGTTGTCCTCTCGCATAAAGCTCAGGATACTTTAATTTGTTCTCTCTACAGATTAACATGGCTGCCCAGCGTAAAAGTTAGGTAATGACCAACTAGCAAGCATTGGGAAAAATTGGTACAAAAAGGTTGAGGAGCTTACGTTCGAGGAAGATGGATCTCTTTAAGGAGCAAGGATCTAGCTTTGTTAACGTTAGTGAACCAAAGACATATATGATCTTCAAGATCCTTGAGTTGATGGGTGAGGTTAAGGTTGTTTTTGCGAAGCTGTTTCACAATCTCTTGAATTGAATGCAGGTCCCTCCCCCTCTCTAATCCAAGCCGAATTAAATGCTTGTCGTATTCAATCCCACTGTGCAAACGAGAGACAAGACGGTCAATGGTGTCAAGATCTTTGTTGAGCACAAAAGTACCCTTGGAAGCAGCATTGAGTTGACAAATGTTAGTTAACTCCTTCCTCTTGAAACTGTGAGGAAGATAGGGACTGCACAAGGGACCTGCAACAACAACAAGGAATGGGAAGTGCATGAGAGGCAATAACAGCTGCAGAAGCAGCAACCGCAACAACAGCAGCATCAAGACATAAGGCAGAACCAGCTGTGGCATGGTGGATGAGGCGGACCCGTGACCTAGACTTGCGAAGACGTCTGTCCAGATTATTCTTCAGCTGGGAGAAGCATAGTTGGGTGTCTTGAAAGCTGTGAGATTCAGGAGATGAGAAAGGGTTTTTAAACGTGTCAAGCTTAAGGAAAACGTCGAATGCCAGGTTACATAGGGACTCGTCAATGGTGGCGTGTGAATCACTGGGAAAGATGTTGAAGAGGTCTAAGAGAGGTGTGTAGAGGTGGTGGCGAGCACTGTGGACGTTTTGGTAAAGATTCAAGCAAAGGCGGGTAGCGTTTTCGCTGTGTTGGAAGTAAGTGGAAACGAGATGGGTAAGTGTAGTTTGCTTGAAGTGTCTAATAGCTTCTTGAACACATTCTTTGTTTGGTTGGAGCACTTGAGAAATAAGCAGCTCAATATCTGGTTGGATGTACTGATGATGATGCTGTGTAGGGTCAACAACCACGTGAACCCTTGAACGTACGTCGTGGTATGAAGGGGTTTGAAAAGCGTGAGCCAACTCACGGCTGAGGTTAAACGTGGGAGACGTAATAGAAGCGTCGTTTCTGGAAGTGGAGGCCTCACCACTCTCTGTACAATACAACAGAGCCAAAGATGAACTCAGTCAGGAATTTTAACAAACACGTGGTGGGCACCTCACTAAGGCATTTCAACAAACATGTGGTGGGCAGTTTCGGAGTGTGAAAAAGCGCATACCTAGGGACGGATGGGGAAGAGGGTCGTCGTCGAGTGAGACCTCCGGAGAGGCTGGGTTGAAGGAAAGACAGTTCCGCATCTAGAAGATGAACTTGATTCATCAATGGAAAGCTACTGAATCATACATAACACCTGATCACTTTCGAATGTCTTAATTTAGTATTAACTTGCTTGCTACTCTTTTGAATGTCTTATTTTTTTCTTTTTTAGTTTAGTCATACACATATATTAAAATTAGGACTTAATTTTATTTATAAATTTTATGTTAAAAATGTTTGTTATTCGGCTAAAAAAAATTGTTATTGTTTTTCTAAGCGAATGTATTTTATACTCCCTCCGTATTTTAATAATTGTCGTTTTAGAATTTTTATTTTTTTGAATTAGATGTCGTTTTCAAATTTCAATGCAAAATTTCTTACTTTTTAATGTTTTATGATGTCATAAAACATTAAAAAGTAAGAAATTTTGCATAAAAATTTGAAAACGACATCCAATTCAAAAAAATAAAATTTCTAAAACGACAATTATTAAAATACGGAGGGAGTATTTTGTAAAATTACATATTGCTAGTGAATATATAATATTAAACTTCTTCAATAAGAGTATGCAGAAAATCCGAGAAAAACGCAATAAATCAACTCTAGTTTTCTTTGTGAAAATAATGAACCCATATAATAGAACATAAAATTTTGTCAAAATTTGGATCAGAACAAAAAAAATGTTCCATTGCCTCTGTTCAATTCTCCATTAATCTCCTCCATCTGAACCCATCAAATAAAAACATAAACTCTAACCATTAGTATCTCTGTTACAAGTAATGTCCTGCATTGTCCATGTGTACGTTATCTAGAGACTTACAGCTTTAAGAGCTTCCTCTGGCTTCAAAAATGAAACAAAGCCTGATCCTTTACTTACTCCACTATTGTCTCTCATGACCTGTCCACATATAAGAAATGTAAATATGTTGAATCCAACAACGACCTCAATGTTTTCTATGTATACAGTTTCAAACCTTGCATGATGTTATAGTTCCATAGGAAGAAAAAAAGTCTTTGAGGATTTCATCTGTTACTCTTTTATCCAATTTCTTAACACACAAGTTATTCGAACCCTGTGATCTGTTGATAGCCTGCTTCAAACCTTGCTTCACTTTAGATTCAATCTGATACTTCTTTTTCGATTTCGTAACAAACCACTCCTTGTCCTCAAACTTCTTTCCGTTTAAAGCCTCAACAGCTTTCTCTGCATCTTCTGGATTCTCAAAATTGACAAAGCCAAAACCTTTAGACTTTCCTTGGGGAACCTCACCATCCCTAATGATCACACAACTTGTAGTTGGTCCAAACTCTTTAAAAGTTGTGTTCAGCTCTTCATCAGTCAAGGACTTGGAGAGATTTTTGACATAAATATCAGTGAACATCGCCTTTTCGCTTGGAGAATCTCTTTGAAGAAAAGGTCCAACATATACTTTTGTATCGTTAAGAAGCATTCCGTTCATATATTCTATGGCCTTGTGAGCTGATTCTTCAGTGTGGTACTGTACAAAGCCAAATCCCTTTGACTCACCAAAGGCATCAGTAGCCAGTTTGAATCTAAGAATGGATCCAAAGCACCAAAATGTATGATAAAGTCCTTCTTGATCGATGGATTTTTCAAGATTCTGTGACAGGTTACAACTCTTAAGAATGTCTTTTCTCTTGTTAGAATTCTAGAAAGAATAAGCTAGATATGCGTATACCTTAATAAATATATTACCAACTCCACGCTTTTGAAGACTTGGATTGTGGACATAGTACATAACTCTAATGATTTTTCCCTTAAGAGTAGTAAAGTTCAGCATTTCCATTGCTCTTTTAGCTAATCACCGATCGACCAAAAAGAGAAATCAGAAGCAAAAAACATAGTAACACCAATTCTGGCTGTAACCCTAATCGAATATAAATAGCATTATCAATAAGAGTAAAACTTGGCGAAAAAGTTACCATCTTGAGGATAGTCAAAGGTAACGTAGCCATAACCAAGAGATCTCCTGGTGGTCAAATCTCTGCAAACACGAACAGAGCTTACATGACTCGCATGGCTAAACGCATCGAATAGCTCATAATCAGTCACACTCGGTTCCAGATCGCCTACGTACAGCGACGTCTTCCCTTCTTCAGCCATTTCGTATATACTCTGCTCCTCTCCTTATTTCGCTACGACTAACACAACAAATGAAAAGTCAACATAGAACCGTAGAGGACACTGAGAAGCGCGATTATATTACAAAATTTCTGAAACAATGAATCCTTAAAAGTGAAAGATAAAATGTATCGGTCGTGACTCCATTAACTTTGAGTTGTTTGTTATTCTATTAAAGAATTTATGTTTCTCTTTTTCTATTACCAAGAATTTTATCGGAAGCCGTTGACGGGAAAAAAATCATACACCAACGAAGCTAGCTTACACATGTATTCAACCACCCTTTGGCATTATAATATGAAGATCTTAATAATTATTTTCTTCTAACAAATAATTCAAATGTAAATTTAATTAATTGTATTGTAAGTTGTAACCTAAACCAGCCCACAAGAAGACATGTGTATTGTCTTCTCATCATTTTCACTCACTTTCTCTATATAGCTCTCTCTAAGTCAATCCTCAAGGCTTGCATCAATCTATCACCAATGGCCCCAAATTATAATCCTTCCATTTTCTTGATTCTGTCTCTTCACTTTCTTTCAATTTTAGCTACCGGAAACAACCACATAACTGACAGAAAATCTCTCGAAATCATCATCGGCGGTGGCAGTGAAAGCTTCAATTACAATTCTCCGGCGCCATCTCCGGAGCCAGAGACTATATTCCGCCGCCTCCTCCTCAAATACCATCACCATCGCCTCCACCACAGCCACTTCCTCCTCTATTCCCATCTCCGGAGCCTGAAAACTGTCCTCCGCCACCTTTTCATCATTATCTAACACCATCACCGCCGCCACCACGGCCACTTCCTCCTCCACCACCACCACTACAGTTCTCGAGCCCACTAATAAAGAAAGTTTATCCAGTCATCAAGAATTTCCAGACGCTAATCGAAGATGATCCAAAGAAGATACTCAAAACATGGGTAGGCACCGACATTTGCGCTCAGGACAAATATATAGGACTCGAGTGCGCCAAGTTCCCTGGAACAAACGACCTCGCACTTGCCAGCGTTCAGTTCAACAACTTTAACTTGGGAGGCAAGAAACTCCGCCTAGATAACTTCCTCAACAAGTTAGAAGAAGTCACCATCTTCCACGCAAACAGTAACAATTTCGTGGGCTCTGTTCCAAAAATCAGCAAGTTGAAGTACCTTTTCGAGCTTGATCTCAGCAATAATAAGCTCTCTGGAGAGTTCCCAAGCTCTGTGTTAAAAGCAACGAACCTCACGTTTCTCGATCTCAGATTCAATTCTTTCTCCGGTTCTGTACCTCCTCAGGTTTTCAATCTCGACCTCGACGTATTGTTCATCAACAACAACAATCTTGTTCAGAGACTCCCTGAGAATCTCGGATCCATCACTGCTCTTTACCTCACATTTGCTAACAACAGGTCTCAAAAGCTCCACAATTTCATTCTCTTTTTATTATATTAATCCAAAACGGTTTTCAAATTTTGGTTTTAAGCGTTATTGAATCTGAAATTCCCCATTGCAGAGTTATTTACTCTGTTTTTTATTTATTTCAAGAGCAAAACAAAGTAGTATGGTATGATGTCACGAGATATTTGTGAATTGTGTCTTGTATTTTTGAGGTTCTAAAGGTGTTTTTTTTTTTTGGGAATTACTTGTGATATGATGCAGATTCACAGGTCCTATTCCGGGAAGCATTGGTGACATCAAGTCCCTACAAGAAGTACTTTTCTTGAATAACAAGTTAACTGGTTGCTTACCGTACCAAATTGGGAAACTTAACCGAGCTACGGTTTTCGATGTTGAGTCAAACCTGTTAACCGGTCTGATTCCATACTCCTTTGGATGCCTAAACAACATGGAAGAGCTCAATTTGGCTAGAAACAAGTTCTACGGGACTATACCGGAGATTGTCTGCGAGCTCTCAGCCCTCAAGAACCTTTCTCTCTCGTCCAATTACTTCACGCAGATCGGTCCAAAATGTCGAACACTCATCAAGAGGAAGATTCTTGATGTGGGTATGAATTGTATACTAGATCTTGCTAATCAAAGAACACCATGGGAATGCGCCAAGTTTTTCTTGCGGAAACAGAGTTGTCCTAACTATAAGTCTTTCTTTTATGTCCCTTGTGGAAAAAATCCGCACCGGATTAAACCAGATCAAGAAGGATTAGACGGTCAGGCTTCGCCGCCGGTATCTTATGGTGCTCTTAACCCAGACCGGATTCGGAATCTCTAGCCAAAACCAAGTTTCTCATAATAAATGATATTCATGGTTTGATATTTGTAACTGTGACTTATTGAATAAATGAAATATTATTTTGTATGTATTTAGGTGACTACAAGTAAAATAGAATTTTTTTGGATCGTACCGGGTGGTTCTTTGCGAACCGGAACATGTGTAGATTAGAGTTTTGTCATTAGTATAAAGTTATCATTTGAGTCAAAAAGTTGAGAGAAGTGAGACAAAGGTTACAACAAACACAGAAAGCCCAAGTTGGGTCGGTTTGGTAGATGGGTGACCATAGCCTTTAGTCGCTTCCGCGGTAAGTTTCGCTATCATCATTAGGTTTGATTCCGGTTTCTTCTCTTCTTGCTTCTCACACGTCCCATATGGCATGTTCTCCTGCACAAAGTCAAAAACGTTAAATAACATTTTTCATAACATATAATAGCATAATTCACATAGTGACTACATAACATAATCATAGAATACTAACTTTACACGCCGCTATATCTTCGCAGCCGCATAGTGCATGACCATTTGCAACATCCACTGCTTTTGGAGCTCCTCCACCATCGCTTCTCTAAACCACACACATACATGAACATTACTCAAATGTTAACATTAACCGGATCCAAATCTCACTAAAACGTACCTTGTAGAAATCGACTGCAATGAAGTTAGGCCAGCGTTTTCCCGAGGCTTCTTGACAATTCTTGATGGTTTCAAGAAGAGGAGCAGAGTTCTGCTTACAAGATCCGATCACATCTGCAGTATCCGGAAAATAATTGACTAGAATAAGTGATCTCGATCTATCTCCCATTGCAACCGATTCCGGTCTATTGGTACAAACTCCATTCTTCATCCCTCCATCTCCATCTACAAAATCATAACATTATGTCAATTTCATATATATTATAATTAATCATAATATGATGTATTAATCTACTTGGAGACTAACTCACATTGGTTCTCTATCATGTATCTCCATGTAAACGCAATTCCCTCGGACGCTTCTTTATGAGGATTAGACGTGAAAACAAGCAATCGTTGGTTCTGACTTATCATATCATCGAGAGTAGGCCAATCTTCTCCGTTTTTAGGCATTCTTGTTACCGGAAACATGAAATTTCGTAATCCGGATGCATCAAACACTTTGGTTAAACCATTAGGAGATTTCACATAGTCCTCGATGATAAGTGTCACAACAACATCCTTGTTCTTGTCTAGAAACACTTGAAACTCCTTTAAAATGTTAACCGCGGGTTGCTACATACAAACCAAAAAGCAAATCGATTAGAAACATTTTCGACATTGGACCGATCAAGTTATAAGAATCTATATGGAACTTACAAATGCGGTGTAATTGAAGCAATTTCCACCGTAAGAATGGCAGAGCCATATATCATTTTGGAAGTCGTACATGTCAAGCATAAACCCTCTAACACCATTCTGTAATAACCAAACATATATATGTAAAGATAAGAATCAAAGTAGAAAATGAAACTTTTGAAATGGGTTTATATATTATGATAAAGAATATTTACAAGGAGTTGGCTTGTGATTGAATCTTGTTGGTTGGAAGGTGCAAGAATCATAGAGCCAGTGCCTGATTTTGCACCCATTCGAGCAAATGAATTGTGGGTTGTTAACCACGAGTACTTGTTGTAAGGCAACCCTTTTACCTTTTGACACATAAAACATGAAAATGATCAATCGATGCTTGAATATAAATGATTTTAAAAGGAAGAAAAAAAGAAACCTTGGAGGTGGGGTTAATGGGTTGCATTCGGGTGCATCTAGGTCGGAAACTATCGCTGGCAAGACACGATTCACAGTGTAATCCCCGATCACAATTCTTGCTCACGATGCATGTTTCTCCTTCCTACAAATCAACACAAAGATCAACAACACTTTATGTAACTTTTCTTAAAACCTATGATTCATTAGGGTTTTTAGGTTAGATAGAATCATTTATGATCAATTCTTGATGATTTTGAAGAAGGATTTGTTCAGATTAAGTTACCTTGAGGGCATATGAAGGGCTAAGGATAAGAAAACATGGAATGAGAAGAGCTGTTAGAAAGAAGGTGAAACTCTGAAACATTGTCTTCTTTCTCGCAACAAAATCCCATAAAAGTTTTTTGTAAGAATAAAAACCCAAAGATTTTGGCTTTGAGAAGAATCAACTACTTGGTAAAACTCCAAAAAGACTTGGAACGGGTGATTTGCTTTTGGTTTTGACCAACCAACAAAAACAAAAAGACAATAAAAACTTAAGTCTAAATTTATCGTTTTTAAAAAAAAAAATATTAACAAGGGGAATTGCGAGCATCTCGGAGACAATGATGATATTAATAGCTTTAGAAGAGGGTTCTTATTATACTTTACATGCCATCTCCTACATGAAATGGTTATTCGATCTTTAACAAAAAGAAAAGGTCATTTGATTCCCTTTTAAGAATAAAAGACCATAAAAGGAAGAACTTGAATGAGACTAATCATCATTATCTATCAAGTAATAACATGCTATATCAAGTTAATTAGCATGCCAGCTAAATTTTTTAAGTGATTTAATCTTATGAAAATTAAATACATTTTGTTGCCGGTCCAAATCAATCATAGAACTAACCTCACACATGAGAGAAAACCAAAAACCATATATACTAATTAAGTACAGTATTTGGATAAGTCTTAATATTCCTTTCATACTATTTGATCATTACCTAGTTTGACATTTATGCTAACATTCTACGGGTGTTTATGACGTTCTTTGTATCGATAAAACTATGGTTTCTAAATTAGATATTTATCTATCACATACAACAGTAATCTAAGGAACCAAATCATGTGAAGAGATAAGAAAACCCACTTTATTTGACAATTGCAATGATTATGTTATACATGAAAAGTTTTATTTGAGCCAAAATTAGTAATTTTTATTTGTATGGGGTGCTTAAAACACTTATAACGAACTTGCGGGTAAAAAACGTAAGACAATAACAAATTAAAGGATTATGTACAGGTTTAATGGTTTCATCAAGAAATAGAGAAATTTTGGAGGCTCTCTCTCTTTCTCTCTCCATCTCATTGTCACTGACTGACCTTCTTCCACTGTCATTCTCTTCAGGCGACTTCCCATTGACCTCTCCTAACGTCTCTCTCTGTTCTTCCGCCATGGTGGTGGTGGTTTATAAGCAAGCTCTCTTGCTCGCATTCTTCGCATTTCTTGGATTCCAGTACTTGCCTTTACTCTCCCAAGCAGGTTTTGTCTCTCATCAATCTTTTGAGAATCTTCCTTGAATAATCTTCTTCCAAGGCTTTGATTCGTAACTAGATAAAGAATAAACGAATTATTGTTAGTCTTGATTTTTGAAAGTTTTAGGCTTTGTGGGTTTTGCGAATTTCAATGTGCATTCGTCGTTTAAAGTGTTTTGGTTTTCTTTTGTTTCTAATTTGTGGTGAATTCGTTGCTTAAAGTCGTAACCTTTGATGAGATTATCATTAAGAGAAAGAAACTCATGCAAATATTGAAGCAAAGTTCTGTGCTTTATGTGTCTTTATTGTGTTTACAGGTTGTCCATTGGACTTCACTTCATCTAACTTCACTCTAGTGGCTTCTGTGTGCTCGAACAAAACGGATAGAGCTAAATGCTGCCGCTACATGAACGCTTTCGTTGCAGTATCTGTCGCCCGCTATGCAAACTTCACAGCTGATCTTGGAGTTGCATCAGATTTAACTGAAATCTGCATTACTACTATCTCTAGAACCATGGAGCTTTATGGAATCCCAAGAAATGCAACTATCTTCTGTGGATTAGGGACCAAGATTCTTGTTAACTACGATTGTGAGGGTCTGGCCACTGTACCGCCGATGCTTCATTCTGCAAATTTTGGAGATGTTTCTAGAAACTGCAAACTTCCGCTTCCACCGGGTGATCAATGCAGGAATTGCTTGAATTCCAGTATCAGCTACCTTCGTAGCCTCGTTGGTGCAGATAATAGCATCAAACTGAGTACTTGTCGTGATGCAACTTATGCTGTGTTAGCAAGCCGGGTTGACAATTCATCGGCCCTTGAACTCGCTAGCTGCTTCTTTAATGTGCCTGAGCTTAGCCCCGCTTCAGGTATATACAGTTTTGTGTATCAAAATACCATTCATGGAGTGTTCTATATTGGGAAAGATCGTAGATAGATCCTTATATATATTAGTATCGTATCCAGATTGGATTTTTTGTTTATTTTTCTGACTTTCTTGACGTCTACTCAGGTTCATCTCCATCATCGCTGAGCCCAGAAGCTTCTCCTCCGTTAGCTGATAGTCCAAGCAGCGATAATCTTGTTTTGTCTCCATTAAAAAGTCACCATCCATATCACTTGACAATGGTTCCGACTATTGGGATTGCTGTTACAGCTTTTTCTCTTGTGATGCTTGTAGTCCTAATACTTCTTATCCAAAGAAAGAAACGTGAACTTGATGACTCCAAGGGCATGGATTGTAATCTTAAAAGGACATCTCCTTCTCCCCGCCCAAGGTCGATGATTCATGAAGGTGAAAAGTTCTTCTGATGGTACACTAACAAGAGATGTTAGACCATGTAAAAGAATTGTGTGGTTAACTTTTTCAGGTACTTCGTCTGGTTTTCGGAAATTCAGCTACAAGGAGATAAGGAAAGCAACTGAAGATTTCAACACGGTGATTGGCCGTGGGGGCTTTGGGACTGTTTACAAAGCTGAGTTCAGTAATGGGTTGGTTGCAGCTGTAAAAAGGATGAACAAGAGCTCTGAACAAGCAGAAGATGAATTTTGCAGAGAGATAGAGCTTCTCGCCAGGCTGCATCACCGCCACCTAGTTGCTTTAAAAGGGTTTTGTAACAAGAAGAACGAGAGGTGAATGATTGCAGTTTAGCTTCATTTCGTTTCTCCCCTTTTGTGTGGAAAATATATTAGATTGCCCTCTGCTTATCTAACCTGATAATTACAGGTTCCTTGTCTACGAGTATATGGAAAATGGGAGCCTGAAGGATCATCTACACTGTATGCTCATGATTTCCAGATTTTATTTATATGTATTAGACTTGGCAAAAAATATTTAACGTTGTTCTTCATCCCTGTGCAGCCACGGTAAAACCTCCACTTAGTTGGGAAGCAAGGATGAAAATCGCAATCGATGTGGCTAATGCTCTGGTAAATTTCTAAAGCTATCATCTACATTTTTCATAAAACCGATAGTGGTTTGTAGTATTATTGTTCTTAGTTCTTGGCTGGATATGCTTCTTTTCCTCCAGGAATACCTTCATTTCTACTGTGACCCTCCTCTCTGTCACAGAGACATTAAGTCAGGCAACATATTACTCGACGAGAACTTTGTTGCTAAGGTGCGTCTGCATCTTTGCACATCAACTGGTACACTGACTTATTAATTCGTTTTACCTCTTGAAGAATTGACCTGTGGGGTTATGTGGTGCAGCTTGCAGATTTTGGCCTTGCACATGCTTCTAGAGATGGCTCCATTTGTTTTGAACCTGTTGATACCGATATCCGTGGAACCCCAGGTCAGGATACAAAGAAAACAACTACTCTTGAAATATTGAGCAAAATCTAAAACCATGAAATCTGAATTTCAGGCTATGTAGATCCAGAGTACGTTGTAACACAAGAACTGACAGAGAAAAGCGATGTGTACAGCTATGGAGTGGTGTTGCTAGAGATCATAACTGGGAAAAGAGCCGTTGATGAAGGTAGGAACCTTGTAGAACTGTGTCAGCCCTTACTGGTATCAGAATCAAGACGCATAGATCTGGTGGATCCGAGAATCAAAGACTGCATAGATGGAGAACAGCTTGAAACAGTAGTGGCAGTTGTAAGATGGTGCACAGAGAAAGAAGGCGTGGCTAGGCCATCGATCAAGCAAGTCCTGAGGCTGTTGTACGAAAGCTGTGATCCATTGCATCTCGGGCTTGCAATGGCGGTCGAGGAGAACAAAGGACGGTCACTGAGAGGTGACTCAGGGTTCCAAAGTGGAGACATCCGTGGCTTGGCTTCTTCCTCTAGTACTACTTCAAGGTCGCATTGTAGCCGGAGTTTTCTGCTTGAGACTGGTTCCCCTCGCTCTCCACCAAATGGTCTCTCTTTTTGAGTGAGGAGAGACAATTAGTCACATTTTTTTCTAGAAATTTGTCACTACTTGGGATCATCCAAACTGTTTTCTAATTGCAATTTTGAAAGATAAATATGTTTCCCAACCAGAGTCAAGACTGATTTCGTTGCCACTGTAAGTAATGGCTAAACCCAAATTAATGACATGAGAGAACCAAATCCGTAATACAAAGTCAGACATATATATAAACAACTACTGTATGTCTTTTAAAAACCCCAACAACCAGAAAACACAAAACAGAGGATAATCTAAACCTAGACTAATAAAGGTCAGGGCACAAACTGTCATTTATTCATAATGAAAACTCTCTCCTACTCTGTAACCTAGATTTTTCACTCAATTTCTCTTAATCTCCTGTACAGGTAGCACTAACTCCTATTACATTAGTCCCAAGCTAGGCAGCTGGTTTAATCCGTTCTTGTTGCTTCATCCTTCACCATGGACCAGTTAATGTCCTTCTCAAGCATTGTCTTTTGCTGCCCCACGGTCGCTTCGACGATTCCTTCAGCTGCTAATTTCAAAAAGAGTACTAGTGAACAACACAATCAAAAAGGCTTATTCAAAACGAGGCCAGACCACAAAAATGTTTGAAAACTATCTAGAGTTTGAGATTCAGTTGGGGACATACTTGTTTAGGACCAACATAGACTATTAGACCTACAACTTAAGTTTGGTCTTTTGCTGCTGATGTTGGTCCTAATCAAGTATGGTCAAGGGTTTCAAAACGAACTTAATGAAAAAATTAAGTTCTTAAATAATTACCTCATTCTTCTGCATCTCCACCATTTCAGCCTGCAATATAGGGGAAGCTAGGATTCAGAGCCAAGTCCTAAAGTCTGAGAGGGGAAAACAGAAAACACACAGAGAGGTTGTAAAAGTCGGAAACAGAAAGAAACCTGTTTTCTCTGCAGTTCTTGATTCGTTTTCTTGAGCTTTTCAATTTCAGCTTCCAGTTCCAATGTATAAGCCTGCAATTAGTGAATAGTTAAAAAACATGGAAGATAAAGCACCTTTCTTAATACAAGTGGTTCGGGATAGAAGAAATCTTTGCTGGTTTTATGTTTTTGTTTGATTCAGTCTTGCAAAAGATAAGACCAAAATAGTCAAACCAAACAAAAGGGACTAGATAAGTTTGGTTAGATTTATACTCACCTGCTTTCGAGCTCTTGATCTAGCAGCTGATTCTCGGTTCTTGATCATTCTCCTTTGCCTCCTCTCGATAACCTTCTCTAGACCCGTATTGCTTCTTCGTCCTCGATTAAGCACATATGGAACTGGTGATAAAGAATTATTTTCTGCGCTGCTTGTCCCTGGAGAAGTTGCTGCAACAGTAACCCCAGTTCCTCCGAAACTAGCTAATCCATTATTATTGTTGATGGAATTATTTGCAGCCCCAGCAAAACCCTTGTTGACTATATTCACAGGCGAAGAAAATGCTACGTTTGCTTGTTTAGGAAAAATGATCTGAGGCAGCCGCTGCTGCGGATGCTGCTGCTGTGGATGAGGCTGATTCAGCTGCTGCAACTGCTGTTGTTGCTGCTGCTGCAATAACTGTTGTTGTTGTTGTTGTTGTTGTTGTTGTTGTTGTTGTTGTTGTTGTTGTTGTTGTTGTTGTTGCTGCTGCTGCAGCATTGTTCCACCTACTTTGAGCCCTAAACCATGTGGCTGATTCATAATAATAGAATCATTATTACCATTGAATGATATGCTGTTTTGATTTGGCTGATCAAATCCAAAACCTAAGCCGCCAGCAGCGGTGCTGTTACCATAAAACCCGTTGTTGTTGTTTCCGTTGACCTGACCCATCTGTTGAGCACAGTTATCTTCTCTTACAACCCCAGCACGGAACAGAAACTCTTCAAGTGTCATTTCCCCTAAAGTCTGTTGCCTCCCAGGAAGCGCATTTGACTCACCACCGCCTCCGCTGCTACTTCCCATATTACCATCCTTGGTGATCAAACATTTCCACACCTCATCAACAGTCTTCTGACTAATCGTTCTAGGCAACGTCAACGAGCCTTGCCTCTGGAGATTCCCACCAGCAATACCAGTACCGGGTTGCGCTACCGCTGTAGCAGCTGATGAAGAAGTCATGGCCATGCCCTGAGCTTCCTCGGCAGTCCATATGCTCTTCAGGAGTTCATCCATGTTCATTGACCCGAAATCTTTTCCCGGTCCACCTAGTGTGTTCTGTAACTCATCAAATGTAAGGGAATAGACCGAGGACTGCCTCGCCAAGGGCATGACAACACTACCCGTTGGCTTCATCTGATTACTACTCCCTTCCCCTCCAGGATGACCACCACCTCCTAAGTTGTTGAAATTGATGTGAGTTCCCATATTCCTTATATTCACTCCTTCTTCTTAGTTCTTCAATGAAAACAAAGCATCCAAGCCCTAAAACCCTTCTTATAAAATTAAAGTAAAGCAGTTAGAGTGTATTACACAATGCTAAGAATCTATGAAACAGAGAACGAGTGAGCTATGTGTCACTAATGCATGTTCACATCCATATAAAAGAGAAAGAAAACTAAAACGAAACTGGACAAACCACATAAATGCGTGCGAACAAATGTAAAAACACAGTAAAGTCAATTAATAAAGGTCAGATCTTTGGATAATGTTTATAAAAAAATGAAATCTGATGACTTTTGTTGTGGAAAATGAATTCACACAACCAGATACAGAGATGAGCAAATCAGCAAAACTAAACGGATCTATTCCAGATTCCAGAGGAAAATCAACCCATTTCTCTTAAAAACCCGATCGAATCGAAAAAAACCCTAATAGCAACAAGAATCAAATCGATAAATTTAAACATATAACTCGTAAAGAGACTCTCTTTAACTCCAATTTCACAACCGAAAGTTACTTCCTTTACTACTTCTAACATCATGATTCATAAACGAAACAGAGGAAACACAACAAAAAATTTGGATGATCAGACAAAGACAGATCCACAAGTCAGAAAACGGATAATAAAAAAGAAAAGAGCTTAAAAATATATATTTACCAAATTAATTTCTTCAAAACAAGATTCGTGACTGCGAAAACTCCAGAGAAGCTACAGGGAGAGACGACAAGTGTGTTGCTGCCGCCTCGACACGAGCAGCCATTTTAAAGCTGAAGCCTTTTTTTTTTTTGTTCTCCGCAATTTTTTTTATTTTTGTGAATAATTATCTTTTAATCAAATAATTTCTCAATTTAAATAAAAGAGTAACGTGGACGAATTAGAAAAAGAGTCTAAGATTTTAAGTGCTTGTAAAGATTTGTATCCAATTAGAGAACGCGACGTGGTAAAACATTGGCCGTTTGTTTCCGACAGTGAAGATTCGAGTGGTTGGAGATCGTGCTTGGAATTTTTTTCTCATGGAAGTTAAATCATAATAATGAATATTCTTTAGGTCAATTGATTCAAAAGATATTACTTCTTTTGTCCTTTTAATTTTCTTAATTTTAGATTTGTACCAAAAATTCAAATTGATCTTCAAATTGACATCTGCCACAATTGCAATCTTCAAAATATTGTGATATATATTAGAAAATCTTGATTTGTAAAAAAAAAGAAGAAATTCAAAATCTTGATTTGTCTTTTTCCAAAATGGTTGACGATAAGGATTGTACTTTTTTTCAACATCCATACCAATTTCATACATTAGATAAGACTAAATATCAATGTCCACATTAGACTTAGTAAATATCCATATTAGACAAGATACTAATTATATATAGATAATTGTTTTCATTGGTAACCCTTTTTTACATTAAAATGCTCATGACAATAACCCAGTAAAAGTATTTTTTTAAGAGTTGGCACTGTTTTTATAGATATTTTTAATTTAAGTTTTAATTTTTTTTTATAAAAGCTTACAATTTTATTAAAAACATATCTATTCATCTATTTCTGGAATAGATCCATACATTAATCTCTTCAGTATGCAATCCAATTATATTACACCAAAATAAACCAGGAAACCAAATTAAAATCGACCCGTATTCAAAACCAATCTAAACTGAGAACACAATAGTCTTAATCTTTGATCGGAGAATCCGATCGAAGTCACTTTTCCATGAATAAAAGCGGATACTCGGCGATTCAGAACCACCAGCTAACCAAGAAGACGGGAGTCGAATGGAGAAGGCGACACAAGGCCATCGTCATCCCGCCACCGTAGATCTGTGATGAGAAGGATGAAGAAACCGATCTTGCAAGTCGAGAAACCGCATCTCAGTTGTGAGAAAGATAAAGCAGAAGGGAGTAGAAGAAAATAACCATTGACCGTGGCTTAGCTTTGTCTTACTTTTCTTGTGGTTATTAACTATATTTTAACCATATAATTTCGCAGCAACAAATGAAAATATTACCAATCACATCCGCTGTTATTTTTGTATTATAATTTTTACCATTTTCTTGTTATTTTAAAGATTATTTTATTATTTTAATCATTATTTTTTACAGTTAAAAACTTCTAATCGTTTTATATCATCAATATGGTTTAGACAAAAAAGATTGAATATAAAAAAAAACTACAAAGACTATGAATAAACTCCATAAAAGTGAATACGTAATGTGAACCATTTGATAATTATGACCAAAACATGTAGTTAATTGGGTTGTGCTATTTTCATATATCATTATGTCATCACCCGAATTTTAAAATATGTTATGGTTGTGTGACTTTGTTTACATCAAAAAGGATTCTTTTTATCTCAGAGTATTATTTAACATGTTAAAGTGTTCCCTCATCAGATAGAAGTGGTGGTGCTTTCTTTTTGGGAGCCCATTTTGGTTAGAAGCCAATAAGAATATCACACCACTCTTCAAAACAAAACAATAAAGAACACTGTCGCGTGGAGTCTAAGATCATTACTTCCAAATACAGAAATTTGGTTTCATTCCTCATTTGGTATTATTACATTTACAATGTTTGCTTATTTGCTTTTTTTTTTATTTTCTATTTTATATTCAAAGCGAAACATCCACTTTTGCCACGTTAGGCCGACGTATAGAGTGAGCATAAAACCATAATTGATCCCATCTATGAGTTTATGTAATCATCACGTATATGTATATTTTGTTTATACACAATAAACACGATTATCATTTAGGTAATTAAACCTCTTGAAAACAGTTGGACCCAAGATTCAAGGGACGACTATGTAGATGTAGTTCAGTAGTTAGTTGTTTTCTTATTCACAACTAGTATTATGGCCCCTGCTATGCAGGGACAATCAATGCCAATTTAGACCATATATCAAAATATTTTGGGAATCAAATATATGTTGCCTTTAGTTTTTTTTTTAAATAGAAGTTCATTGAATCTATTATCTATTTAGTTAAATTTCAAAAATATGAAACAAACAAATTATTGATGGAAGACGGACAAACTTTTGTGAGCATACTACATAATTATTAATATAAAGTCATCTATACGTTACTGGTTGTGGAAAGTCTTTGCTCCATCTCCTAATTTTCCAGACACGCTTGCAAACCAAGTTTCTGAGATATAGAAACCAAAAAAAAACTTAATTAGATGGCCACAAATAAAGAAAATCAGAGATAAAATTCAAATGAGTAAAATTTAATAAAGCTGAATCGAAAATAACCATTGTGATTTGTGAGCACGCCCAACAATCATGAGAAAAGTATGAAGAATTAGAAGATAGAAATTAAGCATACAAAAAAAAATGATTGGAATTACTTATAAATCAATCATGACTTGAACGTTAATCTTCCAAACTTTGTTTTCAAAACTTACTTGAATTGAACAATCGCTGAGGATGGACCGGGAATTGATGGACCCATTATACTCGTGATAGAATGGAGGATCTAAGGTTATGAAAAAGAAGAGAAGAAGAAGAAGTTAAAGTGATTTCGTCAATTAAAGTGGGAGAGAGTTGGAAGGAGGAGATAATTTTGAGATCGTGGGGAATGAGCAGTTACTAAGAAAGTGGTAAGATATTTTTTGTTTTTCTTTTTTGTTAATTTTTTTCAGAAATAATAGGAATGGATTACGAAAGTAAAACAACAAAATTTGAGAGTTTTACCACATGTCAGAAGGAAAGTGTGGCAGTTTTTGTTAAAGTGACTATTGATTTAGTAGAAATAGATCTGTAAACTTGTACTATTGTTAAGCTGTTCTCAGTTTTTCTTGTTTCCTTTTTTATCTAAAAACTAATGTAAATAAACTCCAGAGAGGTGAGAAGTAGAGTTCATTTCCATCAACGCTTGACCTCTTTTTACAAATCCATACAAATCACCAAGACTATATAATAAAATTATAAATATCAATGTAACTATATTTTTTAGCAACTCTAGTTAAATAAGATTCAAATTTAAAATAGAGAATAGAAAAATGTTTTAAGAAATTTCCTAATTAACTAATAGAATTGTAGTCATTTTATTTTTTATGATTGAGATCTTAGTTTTTTTTATTAATAGTTCAGATCCCAAATGTTCGCATGTCACTACAAAATAAACGGGAGTTAACGTCGTTTATATATAGTGATAACGTCGGTTATAAACTGACAGTAATAACTTTGAGTCACTTATTCAACCGACGTGTTAAGGGCCGACGTAAAGTTGACTCTGCGTCATTTTGAAAACTGACATTAAGTTTAGCGTCTAAATTGTTAACGTCACTTTTATTGCGTTTAACGTCGGTTAAAATTTGACTCCAAAAAGCAAGCTTTATCTTTCACTATATATAATTGTAATTAACAAAAACATTGAAACAGACAAAATAACCATTTAAATTTTATTTAATCAATATTATATTTCTGCAGACACATAAATGTCTATTATGTCTTACAAAATATCTACACGATACATAATATTTGCCTATATACTCTACATATTACTAGTCTTCAAAGCCTTTCAAATTGCAGTTCTTGTAACCCTACTTACCTGAAAACAAATAAAATTACATACAATTAAAATAATTACAATATAAAATATTATGCAAAACTTGTATATCATTTGTCACCTCAATCGTTCTTGACAAGAAACCAGAATACTGTCTTCAATTTGTGCCTCTTCTCTTGTTGCATATATGACAAGTAACAAAGTTTTGTTCACCTGTTTCTTGGATTGACATCGTCTATAGTCTTTGTAGCCTAAATGGGCAATTCAAGTAAATACATAATTAAATTAGCACAGATATAAGTGACTTGCATCAAGATATCAAAAAGGCAAACCTTATAGGATGTCCAATAACTTCACCGATGGCACAGTCAATTCGAATCCAACCACATCATGTTCCATTTCTTCCTTCACCTTGGAACCATGCCTCTATTTCAATCACATAACTCATGTAACCAAATAAGAAAGATGGAAGTTAGATATATAGCTCACATGACAAAAAGACATAACCAATAGCCACATAGACTAAACAAGTTTAATATCTGAAGTTTCACATTCACGGTTGAAAGCTCGCCCCAAAATTCTCCATGAATCCTTCATATATCCATTATCAAACTACTGAACATCATCAGTTCCATCATCATGAGAAGCATCTTCATATTCACTTGATTTATCATGAAAAATCATCATTCAAACCATCATCAATATGACCAGCATCTTTAAAATATCAGAACTACACAATTAATCGAAACAGGATTCGTTTAGGCAATTCATCGAACACATGGCATGCATATAAAATTGGTACGTATTTACTGTAAATCTCATACAATCGAATCCGAAAACACTACTTATTCAATAATCAATACAATCTCAATCTCTAAACGAAATTGAAGAACAAGTTTGACATAAACCCTAATCTACTAACTTGCATAACTCAATTTCCTCTATTCTAGATATACCGATCCTCAAACAATTGGACTATACATACCTTATCGATCTCGCAATTTGAGAAGAGAAGCATTTGAATCGATCGAGCAGAGTGGGATACGATTACGCCTTTGAATGTAAATACAAATCCTAACCGGTAGCATATGATCGATCGCTTCAAAGGAATCGAAGCAAAGCGACGAGAAAATTTGAGAAGTCTCCAGAATCTAACTAAAGTGTACTCGTGTGAGTTCTAACACTCTTCTTTTTAGAGCCATTTATTAGTTTAGACCAGTATTACTCTAAGTCGGTTTACGAACCGACGCTAACTCGCTTCCAAATCAAAATTTTAAAGTCGGTTAAAGAAATGACTCTATTAAAGTGACGTCTTCCACCGTATCTGTTGTAGTGTGTGGCTGTGCTTGTATATAATCAATGACTGAAAGGTTGGTGAGGGCATTTGTGACGAGGACCTCTAGCCACGAAATATATTCAAGAAAATGTGTCAAAAAAGATTACTCGTTTAAGCATCAACATTTATTTGTTGTTTTTTATTCTTGTTACAGGGTATTCTATTATATGCAAAGAGATTACATGGGTATGACTTTAAGGGTAATAGAGATGGAGAAAATAGTTTGAGAGAGTAGCTTAAGCACACCATTTGCTAGCTTTTGAGGACATTAAAAACTGAAGATATTAGGGTAGAAGCTAGAGAAGAAAAAGTTCGCTAAAAATCCCTAGTTGTATCATGTGTGGTCCTCGACCAACATGTCCTCTACCACCACGGTTTCCGCATCCATAGACAGAAATCCATTGCTCTTTGACCTTTTGTGCTGGCTTTATTTGCCTTCCTGTTCGGATTCTCTAAGCTACATCAGTACATCCCATTGAGATTCAAAGTCTTAAAGGACTTTGTTTGAAAAGACCTTGTTTATCTTTAGTTTCGATATTGATTATGTATTTGTATTTTTATCGTCGATTACATCACTATATTTTCTATTCAATTAATACATGTCATTTTTGTATTTTCAAATTTTAATTACTTAGATAACTAATACTGATTATATCTATTGTTAGCTCTGCAATTTTGTTGTATTTAGTTTTGTCTCGTAAGAATACACAAACATATTCTCTCATATAAGTTTCTTTTATATGTGAGATCAAACTTTTAAAATAAATGTTGTGATGAATATTGTTGGCTTATTGCTATATCTAGGGTAATAATATTCATCATTATATCTTTTTTTTTTCTTTGGATATGACATCATTCTATTTTGGAGTTAGTGTCATTAGAAAATTCTTCAAAATGTCAATTCGAAGATCTAAAATATGCATATTTTCTCTTCCTTTGTTCTTCTCCTTGTGATAGTATAATTCACTCATTTAGGGTTTTGTCTTAGAAATTTGAAGTGTATTTTTCCGAGCTTAATGATGAAAGAAACTAATGTTAATTAACTTTAGTTCATGTTTCAGAGACTTTCCATAATGTAAAGACATATATGATCCACTTTCTCATGTGCTCCCATTGTTTAGCAGCCGCAATGTTATTAGTTGACTGTTTCTTCTCTGTTTTATTGTAAAAGATAAACAAAATAAGATCATCATCCTCCTGCTTCACATGGTTTTAGCACTAAAGGTCATTATCTGTTTACCTATTCTTGATTTGATTTTATTCGATTTGCATATAATTCCTCCATCTTCTTACAATTTAAAATTTGCTCACATTCCACCAAAGATTTTTAAAAATGAAGTAAAAAAAGAATTTCAGGTAGAAAAATTTGGCTTTGAAAGCCAAAGTGTGCAAATTTTTCCTCTTTCTCATAAATCAAACAATAAAAACCCAAATCACAAATCTTCAAATCCATAATTGACAAAATCGTCGCTTTTGTTAATGGGTGTTTTCTCCAATCTTCGAGGTCCTAAAATTGGATCGACCCATGAAGAATTGCCTGTAGCCAATGGCTCTTCTTCTTCTTCGTCTACTTCCTCTTTCAAGCGTAAAGTCTCGACCTTGTTGCCAATCTGCGTGGCTCTGGTTATCATCATCGAGATCGGGTTCCTGTGTCGGCTCGATAACGCTCCTTTGGTCGATACGTTGACCCATTTTTTCACCAAGTCGTCGTCCGATTTGAAAGTCGGGTCGGGAATGGAGAAATGCCAGGAGTGGTTAGAGAGAGTGGATTCAGTGACTTATTCTAGAGATTTCAGTAAAAATCCAATCTTTATCGCTGGTAGTAACAAGGTTTGTCGCCGAATCATTTATCTATCATCTAATTTCTCTGGGTGACTGATTATTCAGTGCTTTGGTAGCAAGTCAAGGGAATCAAAATTTAGGCTTTGCTTGTTAACTAGTTGTTGGATGTGATAATAGTGTAGTGTGTGACCATGAAATGAGCAAAATTTATTCTTCTCATGTGTGGTAATAATGTTGATTGGATTCTGTGGTTTCTCAGTTATAAGCATTGATGCGGATATAATGATTCTTGAAGGATTTGTATTTTTCAATGATAGTGTGGCAGAGAACAAGTATTGAAGGATTTCTTCTTATGAGTGGGTTATTGGCTTCATTTCTCTCAATTGTTTGTAGGAGTTCGAATCGTGTTCTGTTGATTGTGTTATGGGATTCAGTTCAGATAAGAAACCCGATGCCGCTTTTGGATTAAGTCATCAACCTGGAACACTCAGTATAATCCGTTCCATGGAATCGGCACAGTACTACCAAGAGAACAATCTTGCTCAAGCACGACGGTGGGTAAGCACAATCTTAACAAGACGTTATACGTATGCAGGACATGTAAAATTCTGTAAAAATTATCTGACTTTTTATTTTATGTTGTTTCATCAGGAGAGGTTATGATATTGTGATGACAACTAGTCTGTCATCAGATGTTCCTGTTGGGTATTTTTCATGGGCGGAATATGATATTATGGCTCCAGTGTATCCAAAGACCGAGAAAGCTCTTGCTGCTGCTTTTATATCCAATTGTGCGGCTCGGAATTTCCGCCTGCAAGCTCTTGAAGCCTTAATGGAGGCGAATGTTAAGATTGATTCTTATGGTGGTTGTCACCGGAATCGGGATGGGAGTGGTATGTATTATGCATTTGCTAGCGAAATGTTCTATGTTCTAAGCATATCAAGTCGTTGAACCAATAATTTACGAAAATTCATTACAGTGGAGAAGGTTGAAGCTCTTAAGCACTACAAATTCAGTCTAGCTTTTGAGAACACCAACGAGGAGGATTATGTCACAGAGAAGTTCTTCCAATCTCTAGTTGCTGGTATAGATAGATCTACTTCTCTCTCTCTCTGCTGATCTTGCAAATTTTAGTGTTTGCTTCATTAGAAGAATTAGCGTTTGAGAATTTGTGTCTAAGGGTGTGCATTTTGGTGTATCGGGTTTGCAAAACAAACCTCATATCCTACTAAAATTCTTATATCTGTACGGTTAGTTAGGATAAGCACAACCATGCCTGAAATGCATAGCCAACTTAAATGAAGTCCTGTGTAATTCGGATTCGAGTTCTAGTATTTCAGGTATTATTTGGATTTTTTGTGTGTGATTTTTCTGATTTGGGTTTAGGTAGTTCAGTGTACGGGTAATTCGGGCATCAACATATAGCCATAACCAATTGTGTGACAGGGAAAGTGTATACTAAACGTTATTTAGGCCACCCAGATTCATATTTTCTTGGATAATTTTTGGTTCTCTACATTTGGTTGGATTATCTGACGCAAAACACCCTGACATGTTTGTGTCCATCGGTAACATTATAGGTATCTTATACGAGTCACTGATCCTCGTACTTCTCTTTGTCTAAATTGAAGTATTTCTCTATTTTTGCCTTCTCGACACTAGGTGAAATCTGGAAGAGTGTTATATCCTCTGCCACCTCTTAGCTACTGTTAGTCATCTTGCATGATCTGAGCTTATTTATCATGTAAATTGATGAACGATGATATGCGGATTCATATACGTTGATCATCATACATGTGAGCATTGAAGTTACCTTGTTTTCTACTTCTGATTAGCAATAAATGATCATATCTTCTTTTAGGATCTGTCCCTGTGGTTGTTGGAGCTCCAAATATAGAAGAATTTGCACCTTCTCCTGACTCATTCCTTCACATTAAGCAGATGGATGATGTCAAGGCAGTTGCAAAGAAAATGAAGTATCTTGCGGATAACCCTGACGCCTATACTCAGACGCTAAGGTGTGGTAATATGTAAAATATTTGCCGGATTGAAAACAAAATAAGAACATGTTTCAACATATATTGAAAACTTCGGTTTTTCAATCAGATGGAAACACGAAGGCCCTTCAGATTCTTTTAAGGCACTTATTGATATGGCTGCTGTACACTCTTCTTGTCGTCTCTGCATCTTTGTGGCTACAAGGATTCATGAGCAAGAAGAGAAGAGCCCTGAGTTTAAGAGACGACCCTGCAAATGCACCAGGGGCTCACAGACAGTTAATCATTTGTATGTTAGAGAGAGGGGACGGTTTGACATGGAATCCATCTTCTTGAAGTAAGCCAGCATTAATTCGCTAAATGGGGAAAATTGCTTTATGTATACTCATGTTCTTTGCTAATGATGTAACAGGGATGGAAATCTGACTCTGGAAGCTCTGAAATCTGCAGTACTTGAAAAGTTCAAGTCTCTGAGACATGAACCGATATGGAAGAAGGAAAGACCCGCGACCTTAAGAGGAGACGGTGAACTTAGAATACATGGGATATATCCGCTTGGTCTGACTCAAAGACAAGCCCTTTACAACTTCAAATTCGAAGGAAATTCAAGTCTCAGTACTCACATACAGAGAAACCCTTGTCCCAAATTCGAAGTTGTCTTTGTCTAAATTCTATTCATACTTGGTATAGAAGAAAACCAAAGTTTATTTTGTGATGCACGCTTTGAATGTAGTTTGTCTTAGGCAGGATTAAGGAACGAGTACATATAAAAATAAAAACAGATTTTGCTTCTCTTATTAAGTTCAAGAATAGTTTGATGAAACACAAAATGACATAAACATTCTCAGATCAGCTTTAACAGATTTACAGATACTGCAATATGGATGTTGTATCTGATTGACATGTTTTTTTTTCTGATTTTACATCTTTTTTTTTAGGGCAAAGGAATCTATAATAATCGGTTACAAGTCATGATGATATGGAATGGAAGTGGGAAAATCTATAAATCAGATTTTCTCTTACATTGACAGAGAATCCACTGTCTGATTTGCCTTGAGCATGATCTTTGACTAAAGTCTTTTAGGATTCTGCTCCATCATCTTTTTCTTTCTCTCATATTATTGTCTCACTTACACTAACGTATGTAATGTGTCTCATCTTACAAATCAATCGACTTGTGTGGAGAATTAAGTAAGGGGAATTCATAAGCATCAGTCAATTTAGGTAATTTCTTTTTATTCAATATTGGATATCGAGTTTTTGAGTTTTATTAGAAATCTTTTTAACGTGTTATATTTTCAGAATGTTCAAACTTATAATTTATCAAGCACGTAGAAAAGATGTCGGTATATTAATTTTTTTATGGATGAGATAGAACTGAATCACCTTTTATTCCGTTTTAGTTTTACTATAGTGTATATCTTATTCGATTTTACTTCTTGTGAATCTATGTGAAAAAGAAAGAAATTAAACTAGTTTGAAAGAGAATGAACTAGACATGAGTGGAGTAGAGCGAAGAGAGTTACAAATTTGGCAATGATTTTGGGTTTACTCTTTTCTTCTTCTTCTCTCCTTTTTGTTTCAAATCTAATCTTGTAATTTTCTTTTTTCATAACTTTTTCTTAATTTTTTATTTTTTATTCCAAAAACACTTTCGACATTCCAATTCTTGCTTATACCAAAAGTGGCTAAAAACCGTTAAATCTCCATCTTGTTACTGTCCCCAATTTTCTGATAATTAATATTAATACAACAACAAAAAATATAAGACCAATGACATACTTGAAACATGCTCCTGTCATGTTTCAACCAAAGCTTGTAGCATCTTTATCATAAGTGATATGGTTATATATATTCACTACTTATAGTACATTGGATTCACTTTTAATTGTTCGACCTTTGTGAACCAAACACATGTCTTCCAACTATATATAGTTTTGGTGTGTTGAACACATGTCTTCCAACTATAGTTTTGGTGTTGATCAGTGGGAATATTAGTGTTAACCTAATCACGTTATCTATCAAACATGTGCTTATAATAACTTTGATAACACCTACATCTTTTACAACGATCGATGTTTATCTATCCAATTTGTACGCTTTGCATATACATACACAAATTTTATATAATGTGTGAATATATGGAAAGTAAAATTAAGATAATAGAGGAAGAGCCGTACAGAAATGGAAGAAAGATAAGTGAAAAAGAGAGAATAATTAAAAGGAGAAGATTCAATATCATGCTGCAAAGTTTCTAAACGATTTTGGAGTGTCTATGAGTCATACCTCTTTGTGCTCCATGTAAACCTCCCAATCATTACCCACACTCACTTTATCTCTCTACAAATATATACTCTATTTATATATATAAAACATCCTAAACACTGTATATAAGGATGTGTATCGTAAGAAAAAGGAAAGGGGGCATTATTGATCATTAAAGGTATGGTGTATAAGAAGCAATGGAAAGTTTTGTTTTCTCCATGCGTGATCTCAAGAAAATATCTACGTCTTTCTTTGTTAATTATTGTGTTAAATATCTACATTTGTCCCACACGGTATATATGACACAAGAAAGATAGTAAAACAGATAAAGAGGGTATAATTTAGATGTATAGTTAAATTCGGAGCAGTGAATTTTTCGTACTTCAGAAATGGGTAAGATTTATAAATTAAAACCTTTAATAGAAAGAAAGAAAAAAAAAGGTTTACTCGTGTCACTGCCTTGCATGTCAAGTACAACGATTCTAAGAATTTTAATCATTAACCGTTTAGCTGTCGTTGATTTAATAATTACAAAAGTCTAAAAGGACTTGGGGAAAGAGAAAGATCGCACTAATTATACATGTGGAGCCAAGTCAAGAACTGCATTTTATTGTTAAATGGCATATTGATTATAAGAGTTACCCACAAACAGAATTCTATTTATGGCTAGCTATTCATTAAATTAATTTTTCTCAATAGTTAAAATTGTTTTAGTTTAACGGTTTGGTAGGTGATTACAAAGAAAAGAACCTTATGTAGAAAGAATCACGGTCGTATAATAACAATAACATATTTTAAAAAATGGTTGCCGTTGCGTTATGGAAGTGTCCAGATCCGACCAAACTAAAGAAACAAAACTTAAATGTGTTGTTTTCCATTTTGTGTCCTTTGTTGTGTCGTGTCCATACGATCTCAAACCCTTGAGAATTAGATTCCCCCAAAACAGTAACACGAGACGAATCACCTGATGTCACAGCCGAGCGTGCGTCCCACGCTCTCTGAAAAGCTTTTCCACGTGTCAGTTTTCCGCCGTACGGTTTCGGACCCGCAGATGGGGTAAGAGTAGGAGCTGGTTGGACTTGGACCCATTTTGTTCCACCGGAAACGACGGGTAGAGAGAGGTTCCCGCCATCTTATGGTAATCGGAAACTGAGCTGTATTGCATAAAATGAGTCCCACGTAGTGTCACGTCATCACGTGAACACAATGCGCCGACTTCACCGGATTATTCTCCCCCTCTCCGCAAATTATTTCCTTTTAATTTTCGTTGATTTTCTCTTTCTTTTTTTAGATCACCCAATTGACGGCAACTACCTTCTTCACCACAATTTTTTTCTGGCAGCCATCGACTTTTGTTTCGTATTTAAAAGTAAAGAGATCCATTTCAAAGTACAAATAAAAAATCTTATCATTCCAAGGGATACCTATATAACACAACTTTTTAAAAAATTATGCATGACAAGAGTCTATTACGTAAGGCATATTATTGCTATGACACAACCATTTGGCAAGTTTAGAAAATGTACTAGAAAAAAACATATTGTTTGTGTTAACTTGTGATATGTATAGTTGTGATAAACGTTAGCCTATAGGTTCAAATCAGACGGAGACAATTGGTAAGTGTAAGGCACCGCCACCGACTTTGTCCTCATAGGTCCATTTCATTTACCCTCGTAATATTTCATTCTAAGATTTGGACAAATGCGTCACCTCTCATTTGATCATGATCTTACATATGTATTTATCTAATATATTTTACTAGTCTTATAAATATCATAGTTAATTAGTTTTTTTTTTCTATATCTAATGAAAGCTGTTCCAAACCTTTTTGATGTATACTTAAGAGTTACATTCATTTTATTTCTTTGACATTATGCATATTTTTAAAAGAAAAGAAATAAAGCAATGTAAAATACACGACGACTAATATAATTCGTATTAACTAAGATTATTTCAATCAAGATATTTCCGTTTCAAATTTATAAAACTCGAACAAAGAAGAAACTACTAGATCAATCTCTAAAGAATGCTATACAATTTCGGCAACGTCAATCTTAGGTTATGTTACTAAAAGTGGGAAATCCCTTCTAGAAAGGGATTATGCCTTGTAAGGAAATACTTTGTCATGAGCAATGCCTTGTTCCAATTTCTTAGATCTGTATATGTTGCCATGTAGACGAAACTAAACGCATCAAATCAAGAAATTAAATTTTTATGCCGCCTTTCTAGTACACTCCCTAGCTAGAGGATACAAGTCGCGTATATCTTTCGAATTCTCCAAACGAATTGCCATTTTGATATACAATGCCGACATGCCGTTGATAAATTTATTTGAAAATCGTTCATTGGGTATAAGCATATGTCATTCATTGGTTCTTGGAATGAAATGGTCCAAAAATAGTTTGTTCCCACTACAATTTAATTTGTATCCCTCTGAAAATTAATTATGATATCCCTAAACGTACCGGTATGTGCTATTCCTTGCTTTGATTATGATACTATGACGGCTTCTAACAGAAAGGGACATATTTTTATAATTACTTTGCTTAGTTATCACAATGATGATTTTAGTTCATAACATTATATTGAATGAGGAGAAAGCATCAAGCTACCTGCATTTGACCTTGTTTAGGCTCAACATGAAGCTTATCACAAGTTCACAACCCATCAACAAGGAATGACACAAATCCAGTCTTGAAAGTTTTGCAAACTCATCATAACTTTGTGTCCTAGTCACACCTAAAAACATTCCTCCTTAATCTGAAAATTATGCTCAAACAATATGTTTGCTGATAACAAAAGTTTATAGTTAATTAAGCTTTATAATTGTTTCTACAAATAATTTAACGTCATTTTTAATAGGATATTATTCAGTTAAAAATTTAATTTTAGAATTATGTTTTACTTATATAGATAGCTGTATTTAAAACTTATTGATAAAATGATTATTTCGTTTAAAGAATATGATTTGATAAAAATATCTTTATGTGGTTTCTTATCGATAAAGTAAAAAATGATAGAACTAATATTTTTTTTCGAAGTGATGGGCTTGTGAGCACCTAGTTTTATTTCGTATTTTAGTATCCTGTCATGGTTTTCTTTCAACAGATATAAATCCCACGTGACAGGAAAATAACAAAGCATCAAGATAGATATAAAATATGTAAGGACTTTAGATCCTTGTATTTTCTAACGTCTCATATTTTAAAAGAAAACATTAGAATTATAGAAAATCTTTGTCAAATGTTATATAATTTTGAATGAAAAAATTAATTTTGTAATACTTTTCTGTTAAATGTAATACAATATTGTTCATAATTTCATTTTTTTCTAAATTAATGTACCACTAGAGATTTTTTTTTTTTTTTTTTTTTCATTTTTTCTCCCAAAGTGAAAGACCGTTTGAGATGGTTTTAGAAACTTCGCAAGTCAAATGATTTACCTGTTTATGAAGTTTTTTGTCTTTGTTTTCTCTATATTTGTCTTATGATTATTGGTCTTTTTTTTTTTGTGGAAAGCCATATTGAGAACAAGTGATGTGATTTCAAGAATTACAGCTCAAAGAGATGAGGATACTATTTATAAAAAATTGATTTTCACACATTAATATTTGATTGGCGGATATTTTTCTATATATTAGCTTCTTGTAAACAAAACAATTAAATAGAAAATGCTGTTATATTTTAGCTTTTTCTCACTACGGAACATTGTAGTTGTAGCTAATTACACTGCTCATTACCTTGAAAACCAAGGCAATATACCAACAATAATAAACTAAATCGCGATTTCTAGCACCCCCATTAATTAATTGTATTATTTTATAAAACATGTATTCATAATAAATTGAAATATGAAAGTTGTCTATATCCTCATAATAAATAAGAATCGACAAGATCTAAATTTAGATCTATTCAGCTTTTTCGCCTGAGAAGCCAAAATTGTGAATAGAAGAAAGAAGTCGTCATCTTCCCACGTTTGGACGAAATAAAACATAACAATAATAAATAATAAATCAAATACATAAATCCCTAATTTGTCTCTATTACTCCACAATTTTCTATGTGTATATATAGACCCACCTCTCTCTTATGTATTTGTGTATGTTGTGTTCCATTTTATATCTTCTAACTTCTTTCTTCTTCTTCTTCCTCCTCTTTCAGATTTCAAAATTTTTTCATCCTCCAAAACATTTTATCATCAACCGAACATTACATATAAATTGGTTAATAATCGATGGCTGAAATTTGGTTATTGGTTGTACCAAGTCTCATCTTTTGCTTGCTTTTGGTAAGAGTGATTGTTTCAAAGAAGAATAAGAACAGTAGAGGTAAGCTTCCTCCTGGTTCCATGGGATGGCCTTACTTAGGAGAGACTCTACAACTCTATTCACAGAACCCCAATGTTTTCTTTACCTCCAAGCAAAAGAGGTAATTTCAAAAACCTTGTCCCTCAAGTTACTTTTTGGGTTATGCTCTTAGATTTAGAAATGTTTTATCTTTTGATCTATAGATATGGAGAGATATTCAAAACCCGAATCCTCGGCTATCCATGCGTGATGTTGGCTAGCCCTGAGGCTGCGAGATTTGTCCTTGGGACTCATGCCCATATGTTCAAACCAACTTATCCGAGGAGCAAAGAGAAGCTGATAGGACCCTCTGCACTCTTTTTCCACCAAGGAGATTATCATTCCCATATAAGGAAACTTGTTCAATCTTCTTTATACCCTGAAACCATCCGTAAACTCATCCCTGATATCGAGCACATTGCCCTTTCTTCCTTACAATCTTGGGCCAATATGCATATTGTCTCCACCTACCAGGAGATGAAGAAGGTAAATATATGTTCATACGTTTACAACAAACGAACTCACACAATGCAATTCCTTGATTGAGCTTTATCAGGTTCTCTGAGATCTCCTAACACTCAAGATAATCTTGTCTCTTGCAGTTCGCGTTCGATGTAGGGATTCTAGCCATTTTTGGGCATTTGGAGTGTTCTTACAAAGAGATCTTGAAACATAACTACAATATTGTGGACAAAGGCTACAACTCTTTCCCCATGAGTATCCCCGGAACATCTTATCACAAAGCTCTCATGGTAATCTCATCTCTGGAATAAATAAATGAACCAACCTCCGGACATTAAAAAGTAAACTTTGACAAACTGACTAAATTAAAACTTGTCATAAATAGGCGAGAAAGCGGCTAAAGACAATAGTAAGCGAGATTATACGCGAAAGAAGAGAGAAAAGGGTCTTGCAAACGGACTTTCTCGGTCATCTGCTCAACTTCAAGGACGAAAAAGGTCGTGTGCTAACGCAAGAACAGATTGCAGACAACATCATCGGAGTCCTTTTCGCCGCACAAGACACGACAGCTAGTTGCTTAACTTGGATTCTTAAGTACTTACATGATGATCAGAAGCTTCTAGAGGCTGTTAAGGTTTGATCATGCACATGCATATAAATCTTTTCCTCTCTTTTGTATATATATATATGCACTTAAAATATATGTATATTTATGATGATTGCAGGCTGAGCAAAGGGCTATATATGAAGAAAACAGTAGAGAGAAGAAACCTTTAACATGGGGACAAACGAGGAATATGCCACTAACACATAAGGTAATCGATAAATATCATAATAATATTTATATTTTATATATGAACCACCATTAATATATAGATCTCATGTTTTAATGTTATTTGAAATAGGTTATAGTTGAAAGCTTGAGGATGGCAAGCATCATATCCTTCACATTCAGAGAAGCAGTGGTTGATGTTGAATATAAGGGTACTAATTAAATCATTTCACATTACTAGAACATTCTATATTTTAAGCTTTTTATTTTTATTTTTATTAAAATGTGGTGGTCCAAATGAATATAAATCACTAATATTTCCTGTAACATGCATGTATGCAGGATATTTGATACCTAAGGGATGGAAAGTGATGCCACTATTTCGGAATATTCATCACAATCCGAAATATTTTTCAAACCCTGAGGTTTTCGATCCATCTAGATTTGAGGTAATAATTAAGAAACTACATACAAAATTAGAACTTTAATAAGTTATTTTGATAAAAGATAGATATTCTAACGTGTTAAATTGAAGGTGAATCCGAAGCCGAATACATTCATGCCATTTGGAAGTGGAGTTCATGCTTGTCCCGGGAACGAACTCGCCAAGTTACAAATTCTTATATTTCTCCACCATTTAACTTCCAATTTCCGGTATTCTTTTCTCTTCTTATCTTGCTTTTTGGACAAACGATAGTAGTTAACTTAATTCCATGTACGGCAAGCCTTTCTAAAATTAGTCTAATCTATGGTTTACAACATGATTCTACTTATTGTCAAACTAAATATCAGATACGTTATATACAGATTTGTCTAAGCGCAAAGCTACCCATGATCACTTTAAAGTCTTTCTCTATATGCATAACTAGCTTAATTGTCAAATCTTAATATTAACAACGTGTCAAAAACATGATTTTGAAATTTATGATCGTACACAAAACATAATAACGACTTTGCATAGTAACTTGTCTAAACATGATTAAACACATCACTATTCCTAACAAATAAAGTACATATATCTCAATATGACTCATACAAATGCATTCACATGTGATGTACTAATGATGTATGTTGTTGTTATTTAATTGTGTATGCAGATGGGAAGTGAAGGGAGGCGAGAAAGGAATACAGTACAGTCCATTTCCGATACCTCAAGACGGTCTTCCCGCTACATTTCGTCGAGATTCTCTTTAGTTCTTTAGTTAAACCATCAAAGTCTATTACTAATCTTTGTCTTAATTAGCCAAAATTAATCTAAATTCGATTTATAAAAAAACCCCTGTAGTTTTAAAAAAATCATTGTTGTAGTTCTTAGGGGTTTTAACATGTATCAACTATGATGGAGTAAAATGTCGATTCCGGTATTATAGTCGAAAATGGTCGATTTGGGGTAAAATACTTTATAAACCAGGCCAAATCAAAGATTGAGACCCACGTGAAGGGAGGCAACACGACCACAAAGCGTGAATGTGAAAAAAAGAAAGAAAAACAAAACAAAAAACTAGAGGTGTGTGTCTATGTGTGAGTGGACTTCGAAAATGACGTGGCTACGATAAAAATAAAGCATCTTCTCACTTTCATGAGACAATTCCACGTGTCGTTAAATGACTTGGCCACCTTGAAAAAGAGTTTTTCAATTTTAATAAAAAATATGAAAAGAACAAAAAATGGGGTCATCCCCGGTTTTCATATCTTGGAGGAATGGTCCTCCCTAACATGACAATGGCCTTTGCCTCCCTTTCTTTTATTTTTGTTTCACCTTTAATCAATTTTATTTTATTTTATAAACGATAGAAGTTTTATACATTTTAACCCATAATCCATTTTAACCCAAAATTTTGGTTTAAATTTTCATTTTTTTTTTTCATATTGTTAAATCTAAAATTTACATAACATTCTAGGATTGTATCAAAAAAAACTTTGAAATTGCAAACGCAAATGAAAAAGAGATTAATAAATGAACCTGTATTTTTGTCTTTGAGGTTGTTGTTGTACTTTTTTTTTTTTTTGGTAAGTAACATATATACATTTGAAACAGTAGACGACCTTAATCAGTGTTTTGGATCTTTATCTTGAATAACTATTGAAATCAAATCATAATTTAACCTTTTACCAAAAAAAAAAAAACAAACTATTGAAATCATTTAACAGAAAAAGTGATAACTTATAAAAGCTACAACACTCTTTTTCCCGGAGAACTTATACTAAAGAGATGATATTTAAAACTGTTCTTAGTTCCAAAAGAAAGCCTTACAAGGATATCATCAAAAGAATCAAGCTTCACAAGGGTAATCATCATCACACTAAAATTAGAACCACAAAAAATGGAAAAAAAGAAAAGAAGAATCAACATTGATCATATAAAAGGAGGATTCCTTTATTTATCATTAGTTATTATTGTCATTGATAATAATATTTGGGGTGTAAATTAACATGGGAGTGTTGAGTGTTGTACCAATGAAAATGTAAAGTTAGCTAGGGGGACCTAATTTACGAACTGATTTCCTTTTCGGTTTTTAGTCTATTTTATATCCATTTTTGTTTGGTGCTCCTACTCGTGCAACCAAACATCGCCATTTTTCAATTATTCCGTTTTGTAAACAACAAAACAAAAAAGAAAAAAAATGAAAAGGAATTAATCTTTATACATTTACGTGTTGTAGTTTATCTGTTTCAATCTTTTATTTTTGTGTCGGAAATTTAATAGTTGTTGTCCCGTTGAGTGTGTGGTGGGTGAATTTTTAATTCACATGTAAGAAGTATTATATAAATGTAAGGAATTGACAAGTAATTACTTTGGTAGCCGGGTATTTTGAAGAGACATTCTTTTTTTTTTTTTGGTTAAATTTTTGAAGAGACATTCAGATAGATTAATCACATAAAACCATAAACTACTGGATTCTAAAAATTTATTTGTATTATCGGTTTAGTGAAATAAGCAAAACGTACATAAACTTGAAAAGACCATGGCAAAAATAGTTCCTTAGAAATGTTATGTTTTGAGCGAGTTATACCAAAAAAAAATCTCCTAAAGTTCTATATAACCGTTGTACGAGTTGTAAAAACGACTTTTTGTTGTTTGAATTAGTTTAACATTCGATTCAAAAAAAAAAGTTTTAAAATGTTGAATTTTAGTTTCAGTTATTAGATTTTTTTTTTTTTGAATTTCTATATTCAGAACAAGAAATTCACACTTTTAAAAATAATGTATTGTAGAAATGTCGTATTAACTTGGATGGTTTGAATTTGATGAAGTGTTAAATCATGAACTCGGTGCTTTCCAAGACGGCAAGACCTGAGTCTTAACTATATGCAAACATAAACCATGTTTGGTGGAACCTATAATGGCTTTATATATGGCCAAAAGCATAAACTCGTTACAGCGTCAAGTTCGATTCCATTGTGTAGGAACTATGCGTATGAGCCACTACGCCATTTAGGCTTTAGCTTGAATGCTTTATATATGGTGGACCTTTTTATGAAACTCATTATTAAGATGCCTACTCATCTTCGGAATTAGTCGGGTGTTTCTACCAAACCCAACTATCCAATGCCCTAAATCTACTAACACCAAAACAAAAACTATAAAACACGATCCATTCAGTTTATTTGGTATTTTAAATTTGGTTTAGTGATCAAATAAAAGTAAGATTAAGAGAAATTTATTCTCCTGCTCACTTAAAAATTTAGCCAGCCACTTTGATGATTCAAATATTTGGTGATGACTATTTAGTACTATTTTTCATTGGTTAGGTTCTCTCAGATGGGGTTTTGTTCTGACGCCCAAGGCTATTGCATTACATATTCACATATCCTAGTATTGTCGCTTAACAAATTAGCGGATTAGAAATATCCATTGGGCTGAAGCATAATTCAAGAAGCCCATTTTTTTCTTGGTTCTGGAATTTTGTAGGAGTAAGCAGAAAAGATTGTGATTATAGATGACAATTTATTTGTCAACGTAAGTATAGATGACTAGATGAATTAATATGTAGAAAGCATTAAGTGACAAGATAAATTAATATATGAATGAAGTGGCAGAAAGAAAAGTCTTAAGGTTAGAAATATAGAAAGCAAAAATGGTTAGAAATAATGAGTCCAAGCGTGACAAATAGAAAGACAAGTGCTGAAAGCATGAGTTCTTAAAGGTCGTGGATGGATCAATCTTGACAAGTAAGTGACTAGAAAGATTACTATATACCAACTAGTAGAGATATCATGCATATTATATGATTGATCTGTCACGTAGATACATAATTTTAAGATTTAAACATGCTATTTAACTTCAAAATACAAATTAAAAACATGATATATGAACACAAATTACTAAAAGCTTTTAAAACCCCTTTCGAAAAATATCAAGAACACTAACATTGACGTAGAAAAGTATCCTCGAATACTAAGACTAATCGTTGTCAATGACTTCAAATCAGGAAGACACATTGAAACAACGAAAAAAAGCCAACCCACTTGCATTCTTAATCAAGTTTCTGAATATAAAGATTAACATACAAAATAAACATAAACATGTTTTAATAAATAAAAAAATTACAATGTTAAGGGGAACATGATGATTGCTTACACTTGAGCATCATGCTCCTGCTTTGGTTTAAAGTTAATCCAATCTTCTAAGGAATCCTTTAATATCGTAGTCGTAGTGCCTAAGTTTTATAATTACTCTCATTTAGCTGAATTGTATCTTTTTTTTTGTCTACTAATGTTAGAGCTGAGATAGAGAAACTTCTTCATATAATTGTTTTAAATAAAACACGATTAATACTAGTAATTATGAGTTGTTGTTCTTTGTTGTTTGATTAAAAAAAAAAAAAGAATAAATAATGAAAAAGGAAGGTCGTGAGATCTCAAATTCAATTTCCCAAAGCTATTTGCAATTTTCCATCTGTCGCTCACCGGAGGCTTTAAACGTGCTCCGAATCTCTTTTCTTCCCTCAATAGATTCCAATCAATTTCTCCTCCAATTCCGCGATCAAATTCTCGGCGAACTGGTGTTTCTTCTTCTCCTGGAAGAGTTTGATTCTTTCTGTTGGATGATTTCTCAGTGAAAAGAGGTATTTCTTCGGCGCCGGACATGGAATCATCGGTATCATCACGCGGCGGAGACACCGTCGTAAAACCGTCGATGGAGGTGTGGCATTTCCAGATTGCTGTCTATTTCGCTTTCGGATTCTTCTTCTTGAGGCTTTTCCTCGATAGATTCGTCTTTCAAGTAAGTAAGAATCTCCAGTTTTTCTTGGAAATTGGAATTGAATACGGAAGCTTTTGATGCCTTTGTAGCAGAGAGACTTGTATTAAATTCGCCTTTAATTTATCTCTGTGATGATGATCATCTATATGCGTTGACACTTGAAATTCTTCAAGACGTATGAGATTTATTGGTGTCTCATTGTTGTTAATCTTTATCAGAGGATAGCTGTTTGGCTTTTGAGTACCGGTTCTTCTCCGATTAAAATGAATGATGCTACTACTCGGGCAAAAATCGTCAAATGCAAGGAGTCTTTGTGGAAATTGTTGTATTATGCTGGTTGTGACTTTTTTGTTCTTCAAGTCGTTTATCACGAGCCGTGGGCTAGAGATATCAAACTCTACTTCGACGGTTGGCCAAATCAAGAGTTGAAGTGAGTAAATCAAATCCACATTCACATTTGCTAGCTGCCTTGAGTTTCTTGGTTTAGAATTATGCACTGTGTAAATCAAGTTCGTTTCATGGAATAGTTCCCTGGACATGTGATTCATTATAATGAAAAAGTTAATAATCTAATGTTGTTTTGTCTTTGTAGGCTTTCAATAAAGCTTTACTATATGTGCCAGTGCGGTTTTTATATCTATGGTGTGGCTGCGTTGCTTGCATGGGAGACAAGAAGAAAGGATTTTGCTGTCATGATGTCTCACCATGTAATTACAATCATCCTGCTTAGCTACTCCTACTTAACCAGGTAATTTGACCTTGATTCATCTATTTGTATCAGACCATCCTTTGTTGCAAAGAGTTAATCAATTAGCACCTAGATTTAATCAGTTCATATCTTTAGTAGCACCTAGATTTTGAAAGGATTTGTTAAGTTTAACAAATCAATTCAATGTAAAAGAGCTTTTACTCAAAAAAAATAAAATGATTGATTAGTTCAACAACAACTGTAAGATTCGACTGTTGTTGACTGATGTTTTGTTGGTTAGTGAGCTATAGAGCAACCTATAAAGATTAAAAAATTATTGGAATTGTTTTGTTTTGTTTTCTTCTGCAGTTTTTTCCGGATTGGAGCAATCATCCTAGCCCTTCATGATGCAAGTGACGTGTTTATGGAAACTGCTAAAATTTTCAAGTACTCTGAAAAAGAATTTGGAGCAAGTGTATGCTTTGCACTATTTGCTCTCTCCTGGCTATTGCTACGGTTGATATACTTCCCATTTTGGATCATCTGGGCCACGAGGTAGACACACTTTATTCTGACTCTTGTTAGTTATAATGTCTTTTACTCGATGTCAATGTTTGATCTGACATTCACATTTTTTTTTGTTAAAGCATTGAACTCCTGGACTATTTGGATATGACATCAGCTGAAGGCACGATCATGTACTATTCTTTCAACACAATGTTACTTATGCTTCTCGTTTTCCACATATATTGGTGGTATCTCATATGTGCCATGATTGTAAGACTACTTAAAAACAGAGGAAAAGTTGGAGAAGACATAAGATCCGGTAAGGCTTTTTGTATCTTTGTTTAAACTCGTTTTTGAATAGAACTTGTTGATAAAACTTCCATATGAGTCTTGCTTATTTTTCTCTATTGTTAAACCGGCTAGCTTTATGGGCCAGATGACTTTTTTACTGACTTGCAAAGCCACAAACTATTATAGTGTTCTTCATTGTTGTATGTTGTGTTGGCTGTGTAGTGAGGATCTATTGAAGTTTTTGAGTAACCATTGTTTTGGTCGTTTGGTTCTTTTGTCAATGGCAGATTCAGAGGATGATGATTAGTCTTGCAAGCATGACAGGTACGGAACATGTTTCCACTTCTCCGACTCCAACCAAACTATTTTAGCTGCTGAAGAATTTTTCACAGCTTCATTACCTTACTGATTAGAGTTGGAGGTAAACAAAAAAGAAGAAAGGTTATAGTTTTCTTTTTTTCAGTTTTGTATTTGTAGACCCCATTTCGTCATTAGACTGCATATTCGCTTTGACATATAAAGAAAAAAAAAAACAGAAACTTGGGTTTCTTGTGTTGTTTGGTGCTGTATAAAACAATATTAATGGAAGTCTCTCTGTAAATGCAATTCCTCATTGTATGGTTTTCAACACCATAGCCTTTTGTTATGGAGCTCATTCTTGAAAATTCTATCTTTTCAGTGGTTTTGCTTAGATTCATTCTTTTCTTTCCCAATTAAATCAGATTTTTGATAGCTGTTCATAAAATGTATAATGTTTGAGTAAAAGCCAAATATCATTCAACACAAACCTTCACACGATGATAAAAAGCCAAACACCACAAGATCTTGTAGCAGTAATCGTGCATGAATCGGCTCTCAACAATTGACTCATCCTTGTTTTGATTTTACTTGAGAGGCCAAGAACAAATATGACTAAACTAAAAAGAAAGTAATTAAGTCCTTCAACTGATAACCAAGTTAAAAGTCAACGTTATGAGTTATTATTATTATGATTCAGTAGCTTTCCATTGATGAATCAAGTTCAGCTTCTCGATGCCGCACTGTTTTACCTTCAAGCCAGCTTCTCCGGAGGCCTCTCTCGCCGACGACCCTCTTCCCCATCCTTCTCCAGGTATGCATCTCGGTACTCTGAAACTGCTCACCACGTGTTCGTTAAAATGCCTGACTGAGTTCTTCTTGGGCCTCTATTTTACAGAGGGTAGTGTGGCCTCCACTTTTAACATCAGCCTCGAGTTGGCTCACGCTTTTCAAACCCCTTCCTACCATGATATACGTTCACGGCTTCTTGCTATTGACCCAACACAAGAAAATCTCGAGCTGTTTCTCTCTCAAGAGCTCAAACCAAAGAATGAATGCGTTCAGGAAGCTCTTAGTCTTAGACACGCCAAGCAAACTACACTTACCAATCTTGTCTCCACTTACTTCCAACACAGCGAAGACGCTACCCGCTTTTGCTTGAATCTTTACCAAAACGTCCACAGTGCTCGCTGCCACCTCTACACACCCCTCTTAGACCTCTTCAAAATCTTTCCCCGTGATTCCCATTCCGCCATTGACGAGTCCTTCTGTAATTTAGCATTCGATGTTTTCCTTAAGCTTGACACGTTTGAAAACCCTTTCGCATCTCCTGAATCTCACAGCTTTCAAGACACCCAATTATGCTTTTATCAGCTGGCTGACAAGCTGGACACCCGTATCCGTAAGTCTAAGTCACGGGTCCGCCTCCTCCATCATGCCACAGCTGGTTCTGCCTTGTGTCTTGTTACTGCTGTTGTTGCAGTTGCTGCTTCTGCGGCTTTTATCGCCTATCATGCACTTCCGACTCTTCTTGTTGTTGCAGGTCCCTTGTGCACTCCCTACCTCCCTCACAGTTTCAAGAAGAAGGAGTTATCTAACATTTCTCAGCTAAATGTTGCTGCCAAGGGTACTTTTGCGCTCAACAAAGATCTTGACACCATTGACCGTCTTGTCTCCCGTTTGCACACAGGGATAAAAAACGACAAGATTCTCATTCGGCTTGGATTGGAGAGGGGGAGGGACGTGTATTCAGTTCAGGAGTTTGTGAAACAGCTTCGCAAGAGCCACGTTAACCACACCCATCAACTCGAGGTTCTTGAGGATCATATTTGTCGTTGGTTCACTAACGTTAACAAATCCAGATCGTTGCTCCTTAAAGAGATCCTTCGTCCCCAAACGTAAGCTCCTCAACCTTTTTGTATCAGTGGTTTTTTGAGCTTATCCGAGAGGACAACAGGACCGGGTCAATGTATACAGGGACGTTGTAGGTCTGTAGCTGGGAATAAAGACTTTATATAATCATATTGGATAGATCATAGACTTGCCTGCCTTAAGCAGATATTGGATGTTGTATTGGTTCATATCATCACATTGGACAAATCTTTTGTTTTTTCACTTCAAATCAGTCTAACATTAGCTGTTCACAAAATGTATATGCTTGAAGAATAAAATCAAGTCATGAAGAGAATTATGAAACCAAGTCATACCCAATTTGACTTCATCTACAAAAGGTATTAGTAATACTCCCTCCGTTTTCGAATAGTTGTCGTTTTAGAGCATTTTTTTTGTTTTAAATTAGTTGTCGTTTTAAGGTAATAATGTAACTTATGCCAATAACTACCCAAATTACCCTCATTTAATTAAACACAAATTATTTGTAAATAATTACTTGTCATTTTTATGAGGTTAATATAGTCATTGTATACCTTTTCTTAATTTGTCTAAATACAGTTAAAACGACAACTTTTAAAAAACAGAGGGAGTAGTAGTGTCATATTTGAGTAAAAGCCAAATGCCATTCATTCAACACAAACCTTCACACGATGACAAAAAGCCAAACACTACAATCAAATTTCATTACAAAACCAAAGGAAAGCTTTTAGATTCAAACTGTTTTTAAAGTCGTTTTCCAGAGAGGCTGATGGAGCTGACTTTCAAAGGAGTGGCAACCACAAGCGGTGCTTCTGGCGATTTGTTACCGGAGAAGGAGAAGTTATCGTGCATGAATCGGCTCTCAACAATTGACTCATCCTTCAACAAGATCTTGTAGCAGTAACAGCTCTTGAGTCCTTGTTGGTTTCTATAGCACTCGTGTGCACTGTTCTTCACCCGCTCCAAGTCCCATATCACACTGAATTTCCCCACTGTTGCTACTATGTGTCTCTCTTGCTTCCCGCTCTCTGTTACCTGCAAACAACACACAAAAAAGACTTATCAGATTTGGTTTTATAACAATCAAGAATCTAAGGAAGACAGTTGTAATGTGTGAAGTGAAACTTACCCATGAGAAGTGACCGCCATGAAACTTATTATCTTTTCCTGCCAAGTGTGAATCTAGTGGTGTTAGCTTCAGCAGCCTCGGCGCTGGTATTTTGTTTCCCATTCTTCCGCTAAATCCTGTTTTTGTCCGACCATCTTTGTCTGTGAAAAGGGTGCAAATAAGAACCAAGTACGTATCTGTTGTGCCCAATATCCATTTTCCATCATAAGAAACGTCCACATGTGTAATTGGTGAACCGAGCCCTGGAAAAGCCGTTTTTGCCATTCTCATTGAGGTCTTTGAATACAGCCTTATCTTTCCGTCAAGCGATCCCACAACAATTGACCCATCTCCAGTAGTTGCAAAGCACTGGAAATTGGTTCCTCTAGAAAACTGATGGCCTTGAGTCCATTCCAAGATGGGAGATTCGATGTTCTGCACTATACCTCTCCTGTCCCTCATGTCCCATTGACACAGCCTATTATCATCCAATCCCAAAAAGGTAGACTCTGATGGATCTAGCTGCGACCCTTTGGTATCATTTGTTATGTCTCTCATCATGATTTCAGTCCCGTCTTTCTCGAATTTCCATTCAGTAACAATCTTCCCTGACTCTATGTCGAGCTGCTTAACACCAGTGGAATTTGGTTTCCCTTGTTTAGCTGGACTCATCAGCATCATATTAGTCTCTGCCCTCATCAAAAGAGCCTTGTTTGGTGTTGTCTGGCTCGAACCCGAACCGAACTTTGAATTTCCAGAATCAAATCTCACGCACACACCTTTCCCATGAATCCCACGCTCCATATTCCTATAAACCTGAACCCCATAATCATTCACCAAGAATGAATTATCCAACGCTCCTAAAGTCAAACTCTGCACTCCACCATTAGCCACCTCTTCGAATTCTTCCGTCAAATCCGTATTTCTCTTGGCCTGAGTTTCCTCTTCATCAGGTGGAGCTTCAGCATCCTCCCACATAGAATCATCAGCAGCTTCAGGATTAGCCCACCCAATGAAATCTTTCCCATACACTTTAATCCTATTCTCCTCACTTGCCCTGATCTTATACACATTCTCAAACAGATAGTCCTGAAACCTAGTAACGAACTTCCTATAATCCTCATCCGTCAAGAACTTCAAAGCCCAAACACCATTACTCACAAAATCAACTCTACGCTGATCCCCAAACATTTTCAACTGCATATCCGTGGAAACCCTAGCTTTAACCTTAGAACCAACACCCAGAAACCAAAAAGACTCACCTCCTTCACCTGATTCTTCACAATCATCATAATCACCAATATCTTCTCCATCAGCCGACGAAGTTTTCACAAACTTATACGATGTCATTTTATCAGTGATAATCCATTTCGCTTTGGGTGTGTTTCCACCTATATGGCGGTAAAGCTTAACCGCGTTCTTCATCTTGGGTGTTACGGAAGAAGAAGATGGATATTTCAACTTCAAGGCTTTTAGCTTCTCCTCAATATCGAGAGATGAAGAATCAGATGGTCCTGAAGAAGAAGAATCAGACGGTCTTGAACCAGAAACAGACGACGATCCTTGCTTCTTCGCGTCATCGTATTGATCCTCGTCTTCTTCGTCATAGTAATCTGAATCGGAATCTGTATCCGATTCGGTGATTCGATCTTCGCGACTTTGAGAAGTACCCATGGAATTCGATCAGCTACTAGAAGAAGAACGGAAACGGAGAGAAGTAGCAAAATTAACAAGTTTCCTCTTTCTGATTCTCGCAGTCGAATCGAATCTGAATAGTTACCGAAATTTCTGGGCTAAATCGAAACAAATTTGGAAATTTTCTCGAGAAAATGGTGTGAGAGAGTGTAGGGGAAGAAGTTAGGGATTTTGGAGGTGAATTGGGGATTTTTTAAGTATTTATAGAGGTTTGTGAATCTGTTGGGAGATTCGGTTAGCGTCGGTTTAACGTTGGACTTTGCTTCAACTTGACGCAACGCTTTTAGAACACGTCGGTCACTCGGAGTCACTCACTGATGAAGAGTCTTTCATTTTTATTTTATTTTTTAAATGAAAAGATCTTTCATTTTTAATTTAAAAGAGCAAAAATATAAGACAATATAGCAATAATAGACGCGCCAGGTAGGGGTCGAACCTACGACCTTCTGCTTAGGAAACAGACGCTCTATCCACTGAGCTACAGGCGCTTTTTTATTCTGTAACATATGTTTTACAACAACAATCTTAAACTTTATTGTAAAAATTAACATTTTTCCAGACACCTTCAAAGGCGTTTTCTCTACCTTCAATCTCTCTCTATCTCCATCAACGACAATGGAAAGAATCTGATCTTTTTTTGTCTGCTTCTTTAACAAAATACGTCACAATAATGTCTCTATTCTTCTTTTTCTTATTATGCTTCTCCATCTCTCACGCTCTCCCTCCTCCTCGAGGTAATAAATTCTGTTTTTGCGATTCTTTTTTATTATTTCTCTGCACATTTTCGATCGAATCTTGATAAACCATTTAGAATCTGTCCAAAAAGCTCTTGAATCCATGATTAAAATTGTTATAGACTACCCTAAAACGTCGAGTTTCATTCCATGTGAAAAGGTTTCTTCTTAAATTGTGGATCATCTTCTTCAACAAACCTCAACGAGATAGATTACACACCGGACCAAGAATTCATTTCCGTGGGAAACACGACGACCATTAAGCAGAAAGACCTCATTCCGATTCTCTCCACACTACGTTACTTTCCCGACAAGTCATCGCGAAAACACTGTTATAATTTCCCTGTCGCAAAGACCTCCAAGTATCTTATTCGTACCACTTACTACTATGGTAACTTCGATGGTAAAAACAACCCACCGGTGTTTGATCAGATCGTTGGAGGCACAAAATGGAGCGTTGTGAATACATCAGAGGATTACGCCAAGGGTCAGAGTTCTTATTACGAGATCATTGTTGGTGTTCCTGGGAAGAGACTAAGTGTTTGTCTAGCCAAGAATGCACATACCCTTTCTTCTTCGCCTTTTATATCGGCTTTAGATGTCCAATCTCTTGAAGATACAATGTATAATTCCACGGACCTCGGGTCCTACAAGCTCAGCCTCATCGCCAGGAACAGCTTTGGAGGAGATGGAGAGATCATCAGGTGCCCTTTTTCATTCCATAGTTTGATGATCTGAAAGTTCCATTTTCTTGCCTGACTTTTGATGGTATGTTACATGTTGAAACCTAGCTACCCAGATGACAAATATAACCGTCTATGGCAACCATTTTTAGACCAGAAGCATCCGACGGTGACTTCTCGAAGCAGAATTAACCCGTCAAACTTCTGGAACATTCCACCGCCTGAAGCCTTTGTGGAAGGTTTCACAGCGAGTAAAGGGAAGCCTCTAGAGCTTCAATGGCCTCCATTTCCTCTTCTGGCCACAAAGTATTATGTAGCTCTGTACTTTCAGGACAATCGGAGTCCAGGCCCCATGAGCTGGAGAGCTTTTGATGTCTCAGTCAATGGGCTTTCCTTTTTAAGGAAGCTCAATGTGAGCACTAATGGGGTTATGGTTTACTCTGGCCAGTGGCCATTGTCGGGTCAGACTCAGATCACATTGACTCCGGCCAAGGATGCGCCGATTGGACCTGTCATTAACGCCGGAGAAGTGTTTCAAGTTCTTCCTCTTGGTGGAACCACTAATATTAAAGATGGTAATGTAAATGTTTCCTTCTTCTTCATGTTTTTGTCTATTTTGTGATAACTGAAGCCACTAGAACAAACACATTCTCTTCTGCAGCAATTGCAATGGAAGATCTGTTAGAGAGCATCAAGAAGCCTCCAGTGGATTGGTCCGGCGACCCATGCCTCCCTCGGGCTAACTCGTGGACTGGCCTAACTTGCTCCAAAGAAAAAATCAGCAGAGTGATTTCTCTGTAAGTCAAAACTCAATACTCTAGTGAAGCTTTTTTATGTAGCTGTCAAGCACTAAGTCTATATCTGGAAGAACCGTAATCTAGGATTTTGGTTCTCTTGCTAGAAATTTGACAAATCTTGGACTATCTGGGTCTCTACCACCAAGCATAAACAAGATGACTGCCCTTAAAGATCTGTAAGTACTTCACATCCTAAAAGTTGTCAGTGCCTGGGGTTTTATCTTTTTGTTAAATAAGACTCAGCTGCAACTTCTGGGTCTGCAGATGGTTGGGGAAGAACAAGCTCACAGGACCGATTCCAGATTTGAGTCCAATGACGAGATTGGAAACTCTGTATGCCTTCTTGTAACCAAACTTCTAAGTGTTGTGCAAGCGATTTAGATTATTGGACTTACCGTTTTATTTTGTGGGATGAGGCAGACATTTAGAGGACAATCAGTTCACTGGAGCGATTCCTGAGTCACTTGCAAAGCTCCCTAATCTCCGCACACTGTAAACTTGTCTTTCCACTGCTCTCTGCTTTTAATAGCAAGCCTACACATACGAATCTGAACATGACCTGTAACAGATTGCAACATCATCATAACTAGCACCATCCTTGTTGATGTAAATAGTTAATCTGCAGGTCCCTCAAGAACAACAAGCTTAATGGTACAATTCCTAGTGTACTCCTCCAGAGAAAGGGCCTAACTATTCAGTAAGAATCAGTACCAAGTTGTTATCTTGAAAGGAAAAAGCATTTTTCATAAGCATTTTGATGTCAAAAACTTGTTGTAGGGCGTCTCCTGAGAACATGCCAAGCACAAATAAGACCGGCCAAATTCGGGTTGCTAACAGCTGATCAGATTCAAGTGCTCATTAATGATAAATCAGGGCTTCTGTATAACTACAGGGTCATAAAAATTGAAGTACACAGATGTCGTGGAGAAAGGTGGTTCGATCAAGGAAGCATCGGAGCACTGACAGTTTTACTTTTGCGAGGTTCTTCTAGATGACTATAGAAAGTATGTAAATTATTTGTTCATGTTATGGAACCACCTTTGTGCCCTTAAGAGTAACTTGAACCAAGAGATAAAGCACACAAAGATAATTGAAATGGATCGTGTTACTGCTATTATTTCTCTGTGATATACATAGTCAGATTGAAACAGCCTCAAAACACAAAAAATTCCTGCAGTTCGTGGTGTCTCGAGATCTGATACATATAAAACGGTAATTGCCCTATATAGGGCGTATTGGTGAAAGAAGAAGCCATTATCCGGGAAAAAATCAGTAGTTTCTGTCTATACCTCCGCTCAGCTTGTTTGGGCCAAATCCGAAAGAAGCACCTAGTTCTCTTCTGGTTGTAGTTTTTTACATGCAACGAATACACTTCAATAACGAACCCAAGCTCATGCAAAAATGGGCCACATTCAAGGTCAAGATGGTTCATTATCCAAATCTTCCATCACTTCAATGTCCGTCCGAGCTGTTATCTTCTGCACATATCCTGCAATCAATTTAAACTTCTCAAGTCAAGATTGATTTGCATAATACACTAGATCGAAACCAAACTGCAAAACTCAGTAAGTATGGCTTTGTTTTCTTTTTTCACAAAGACTAATCAAGGAAACAACTCAAAGATACTCTAAAATCTTAACACTATCATAAGATCCATCTCAGGAAAGTCACAGGAGGAAAGAAAAAAAAACACGGAAAAAGAACCACACTCAGAGACTTACCTATCCCTTGGCAGGGTATGCACTTGCATATAACCTCTTTACCCCTTTTCTTGTAATAGCTGACAGTTCCAGATCCTTGGCAACTTCTACACTTTCCAGTCCATTCATATACCACTTCCCGGCAATCCTAAGAATTGGTTGGGTATATTGTGATCAGAAAAAAACAATCCCAAAAAAGGCATTCTATGCATCATAAATCAAATATTGCCTCAAACACAAAACTGGGGTGAAGACTAACTCAGAGCAAATGTTTCCAAAAAAGGATAGTTCATCTCAAAATTTAGCACCATTTTTCCCGTTCTTCATCTAATCCTATCTCATATCGACAAGAGCTTTTATAAAATAAGTCCAAGGAAAATCAAACCCATTGATGAGTTTCACATTTCAGAAACATCATTCATCTTCAATAATCTAAGCTTATCGCTCCATAAGAAAGACCAATTAAACCCAATGTCATTCGTCAAGCTGCAGGATCAATTCATATATGTGTGCATATGAATCATAGAGCAAATCAAACAGCCAATAGTCAGCTAAAGCAAATCAAATGTTCATCTAAACTATGTGCAAGTATGTTGAGGTTTATCCAATCATCAAACCAGTAAATAAAAGTGGAGCAAAGCTAAAAACCTCGACTACAGGATCACATTGCAACCTCCGGTCAATCACATCCGGCGACACGGGGGATGTATCAGGATAAGTCATAGGAAGAGGAAGCGCGTCACCATCATCTACCAAGTAACTCTCCCCACTTTTGGACCAGAGCAACCTCCTCTTCCTCCACTTTGCACCTTCACCATCCCCGCCGGCGGCGACGGAAACATCCCGAGACCTCGCCGTGTCAGAGTTTGAATCCGCTTCTCGAGGTAACCGGATTCCGTCGCCAAGGGGAATATCAGCGGCGGCGCGGCAACGGAGGGAGCGAGAAGGGAGACGAGGAAGGAAAACGAGAGGTCTGTGAGAAGGTAGAGAGCAATTAGGGTATAATCGGAACATTGAGACGAGAATTTGCAGGTGCGGCCATGAAATTGGGTGAAGTAATCAACCTCGACGAATTAAAAAATTTCGGATATTTTTATTTTTTTTTATCGTAAATACTTAAAAAGTAGGTGGGAAATTACAACGTTCATGAAATTAACTGTTAGGCAAATTCTAGCGTACCATGTACTCTCAAGGATATTTTAGTCATTTTATAATAATTTCTTTTTTTTTTTCTTTTTGTTTTGGTTTATTTCTTGCCGCCAAAAGAAATTTAGGATTGGTGAAAAAGCGGAGCTCTGGGCTTGTAGGTGTGTCGACAATGGAGGAAGAAGATGAAGAGATCTTATCGTCTTCCGATTGCGACGATTCTAGCGATAGTTATAAGGAAGAGTCTCTAGATTCGGAAGGAGAAAACGAAAACCCTGAGTGCGAAGACCGTGCGGTGGTTTCTCCTTCATCCGACGCAGATCGGAAATCTAAGAACGTAAATGATCTATTGAGGTGTGTAATTGAAGTTCCTAGATTTCAATTTGAACTTGAATCTGATTAAGGCTTTGTTCGCTTGCGTCTATTCATCATTTGGAGTTTTCGTAGTCCGGATTTTGGGGAGATTTCGCGTCTCTTGTTCGATTAACTCCATTTTAATCAACATTTGTAGTCCGATTTCAAACTGATGATTGTGATTAGTCTCTGAAGCTGTATGAATTTTGGTTTTCTATAGTTCTTTTATATAAAGAAATCCTTTAGGTGATTGTTTTATGAAAATGGAATTGAATCTTCTGCACGGTTGACAGGGGCAATCTAGTTGTGCAACGGCAGCCACTCCTTCCTCGGGTGCTTTCAGTGTCAGAAGGAGCGGCAGTTTGTAGGAAGCCTTTCAAACCTCCGTGTTCTCATGGTTATACTTCCACCAGACAACTTTCTCGTCGCCTTTCAGCTCGAAAACGGTTTGTCCCTTGGGGTTCCTCAACTCCGGTTGTGGTTGCTTTACCTACTAAGCTAGAAGCATCAACCAATATTGAGAGAGATGAAGAAGAGGAAGTTGTTTGTCTGCCACCTGATATTGAACCCTTGATATTGTGGCAATCTGAAGAAGATGGAATGAGCAATGTAACAACAATCATGGTGCATTCATTGCTTGTCAAATTTCTTCGCCCTCATCAAAGGTATTCATTTCTATCTAAGAATTGACATCGTTACAGCGTAATCTTTAAGGATCTCAAAACTTGATTCCAATCTGTGCTGTGATCTTACAAATTCTTAAGGCATTCAAAGTAATTCACGTCAAAATGTGCTCTTCGTTTAAAATCATACAACTCTCAGTGAACGGCTGGTGAATACAACAAACCAATGAGTATAAAGTTATCTATAGTTGGCATCAAATATGTGTATACAACCTTACTTACATGGTGAGGTGGTTTTTCTGTGACTGCAGAGAGGGTGTCCAGTTCATGTTCGATTGTGTTTCAGGATTACATGGTTCGGAAAATATAAATGGTTGCATTCTGGCTGATGATATGGGGTAAAATCTATCTTCTCTGTTATGAAAAATTGAATCTGGACACTGTATAATTTTCTATGTTATTTTCTTATTTCCTTGTAAATTGATTTGGCAGACTGGGGAAGACATTGCAGTCCATTACTTTACTATACACACTTCTTTGTCAAGGATTTGATGGGACGCCTATGGTTAAAAAGGCCATTATTGTTACTCCAACGAGTCTTGTCAGTAACTGGGAAGCTGAAATTAAGAAATGGGTTGGAGACAGGATCCAGCTTATAGCCCTCTGTGAAAGCACCAGAGATGATGTTTTGTCTGGAATAGATAGTTTCACTCGACCACGAAGCGCTTTGCAGGTATAGCTGTCATATTTTTTGGCTGACTCTCTGAGAAATGCACTTATCACCTAATTAATGTTAACAGGTACTTATCATTTCTTACGAGACATTCCGAATGCACTCATCCAAGTTCTCCAAGAGTGAATCATGTGATCTTCTAATATGCGATGAGGCTCATAGGTTGAAAAATGACCAGACACTAACTAACAGGGTAGCATGCAATTACATACTTATTTCGTATCCTTCCAGGTTGATACATTGTTTTTCCAATTTTTTTTTAATATTGGTTATCATCATATTTATAGGCTTTGGCTTCATTGACATGCAAACGTCGGGTTTTGTTGTCTGGAACTCCCATGCAGGTAATGGAAAATTCCACTGATTATCTCTATTAAATTTCTCCTGACATTTAACACTAAGCTTTCACTTCTATTTTCTTGCATCTGAATATTCCAGAATGACTTGGAAGAGTTTTTTGCCATGGTCAACTTTACAAATCCAGGGAGTTTAGGTGATGTTGCGCATTTTCGCCATTATTATGAGGTGACAGACTTTGTATTTTGATGTCGATTAGATCATTCTGTATTCTGTCAGCTCTAACTATGTTAAGATCAATCTTTCTAGGCTATTCTTAGCCTAAAATTGTAGGATTAGCCCAAGTTATTTTTTAGTGTAAACTTTTCTGCTATATTTATTCTGTTTCGTTTCCAGTATTGATGCTTCATGGCTTTGGATTCCATTAAATTGTAAGCTTCTTTAAAAATAGTTTTTGAATGAGAGAATTTGTTTACGCTGTTATCCAATTTCAGTTCAATTGACTATAGGTTGTTTATGTTTCTTGCACTACCTTGATGCATCCTTATTTTGATGTATGAAACATAAGGCACCTATTATATGTGGAAGAGAACCTACAGCCAGTGAGGAAGAGAAAAACTTAGCTGCTGACCGCTCCGCAGAACTGAGTTCAAAAGTCAACCAGGTGATTCTTCTTAGCATTTTATATCTAAATATTTGACGTTAATTGAGATTTCATCATCATTTGGATATATCTCTTAAAAGATATGCAATTTGCTTAGATGATTTTGGTACGATGATCAATAAAGAGCATCACTACTGACCTTTTAGAAATGTTGCTTAATTTTTACTGCTATACCTTATGAAGCTTTCATTTTGTTTACAGTTTATTTTGAGGAGAACCAATGCATTGCTCTCAAATCACCTACCACCTAAGGTGCTTTTCCTTCTGCATCTGCCGTAGGCATCTAAATATAGTTTCTTACGAATCTTTAAAATTCTGTGTCAATAGAGCCTTATTACTTCTTAATATGTTGAACTGTTCGTCATATTGAGAAATACCTAGAGTTTTAGCACTGATATAATCATCTGCTCAAAGTGCGGATAGAATGAACATCTTTGTGAAAGTGTCATCTCTTTTCTTAGATACAAGTTTTTCCCTTTGCTGCTTTCTTTATTTTGAAGCCAGAAATACATCAAAATCTTGATGCTGGATGTTTCGCAGATAATTGAAGTAGTTTGTTGCAAGATGACTACTCTCCAGTCCACTTTGTACAACCATTTTATTAGCTCAAAAAATGTAAGCATTGATCACAGTCATTCTTATTACGTTTCGTAAAATATTTAAGTTAGAACTATATACAATGGGTGCCTCTGCATGCAGCTTAAAAGAGCACTTGCTGACAATGCAAAGCAAACCAAAGTTTTGGCTTATATAACAGCTCTTAAGAAGCTCTGCAATCATCCAAAGGTAAAAGTCTTAGCCTCATCCATTTGCGCTTAAGTTTCTTTAAATATATTTCTGTGTCATCTTTGTAACATCTTACGGCGCCATTATCAAGTTCTCATATTAAGAGTCTACTATTATAAATTTTAGTGGTCTGTGATCTATATGATCGACAAAACCTATTTCATCATACCTCATATATGCTTAATGATAGCCCTATTCTTTTCTATGTAGCTAATCTACGATACAATAAAAAGTGGCAATCCTGGAACTGTTGGGTTTGAGAATTGCTTAGAGTTTTTCCCTGCAGAAATGTTCTCTGGGAGGTAGGCTTCTTTCTGTAGTTTAATTCCTTGCATGTTTGCATGTGTGTCACTACTTGGGATCTAAATGGGACTATCCTTTCAGATCTGGAGCATGGACTGGGGGTGATGGTGCCTGGGTTGAGCTCTCTGGGAAAATGCATGTTCTCTCCAGACTTTTGGCCAACCTACGTCGAAAAACCGATGACCGCATAGTCCTTGTATCAAACTACACACAGGTATGCTGGAAAATGTCAATTCTAGTTGGATATAAAGTTACTTTTATTTAATTTGAAAGGGACAGTGTATAATTTTGGTCATAGAGATTAGAGAATGAAGTGTGAAATGCCTCCACATGGATTTTGTACAGATTCAGCTGCTGGTCGTCACTAGTGATGTTACTACTGGCTTAACATTCAGTTATGGATGTTGCAATCTCTTTTGAATTTTGAATTAGTCATAAGCTATGTGTTATGTTATCCTGAGTTTTCTGAGCCATCATATTTCTTGGAACCTTTTTTTTTTAAAACATTTCTTGGAACTTTTGCTATCGGAGAAGCTAAGGAACTCGTTACCCTGATTTGTCTATTTGTATCCAAAAGGCAACTCTTTCTTACAAATATCTAGAAGTGAACTCTGTATGTTGTTTGATTGCATAAAATGACATGATGGTGTGTTGCATATATATAGCAATTTAAAATCCAACCTGAGTATACAATAATCATAACCTGCACCTTTTGCACTAGACATTGGATCTTTTCGCTCAACTCTGTCGTGAAAGAAGATATCCTTTTCTGAGGCTGGATGGATCAACAACAATCAGCAAGAGGCAGAAGCTTGTTAACCGGTTGAACGACCCAACAAAGGTACATGAGCTTATCTATTTATGCAGTTGTTTCAAACCTGAGTATACACCTGGTTTGACTTTTTGTTTTGGTAGGATGAGTTTGCATTTCTCTTAAGCAGCAAGGCGGGTGGCTGTGGATTAAATTTAATCGGTGCTAATCGACTTGTTTTGTTCGATCCCGATTGGAATCCTGCCAATGATAAACAAGTAATTAATTACCATCCTAACTTCCCCTTAGATATGTTTCAATTCTATCTTGGTAAGAGATGATCGATTGTGCTCTGCATGCATTATTTCGCTGTCAAAACAGGCTGCTGCTAGAGTTTGGAGGGATGGGCAAAAGAAAAGAGTATATGTCTACAGGTTTCTTAGTACTGGAACTATTGAAGAAAAGGTACTGCATAACACCAACTTGGTGTTGTCACCAACATCACACATAACTAGCCTAATTTTGTACTCAATTGTCCTCGAGGGGAGTAATTGCTTACCTCAGATTCATATTGGCTTTCCATTTGGTATATTGGTAGGTTTACCAGCGCCAGATGTCAAAGGAAGGGCTTCAAAAAGTTATTCAGCATGAACAGACTGATAACAGCACGAGACAGGTCCTTGCTGGAATGTTATATGCTTCATCTATTAGTCATTTGTGTCTAATGCTTGAATATCAACCACAACATCTTTGATTTTCCAGGGGAACTTACTTTCTACAGAGGATCTACGAGATTTATTTTCCTTCCATGGGGATGTTAGGTATGTATTTCTTCTGAATTCAGAATGTTTTCTGCCCACTTTGACATGGTTTCTGTATCCAATTTCTGGGGACAGAGTTTGCACCTCAAGATTTATACACAATTCAATGGTTTATCTTAAAGCATTTTTCCTGGTAATGTGACTAGGTCGGAAATCCATGAAAAGATGAGCTGCAACAGGTGCCAAAATGATTCCTCTGGTACTGAAAACAGCGAAGAAGGAAATGAGAACAACGTAGATGACAATGCTTGCCAGATTGACCAAGAAGACATAGGCGGATTTGCAAAAGATGCAGGATGTTTTAACTTGTTAAAAAACTCTGAAAAACAGGTCCCTTCTTGTGCTTGTTACTGAGTCCTGCATTAATCAAAGACTGTTTTGAGCTATTTCTTCAGTAATTCCATTGTCCGTTACAAATTCTGCTCATGTCTTTTGCCATCCGATTCATCTAAAAAGCTTTTTTTCCTTGAATATTCTCAGGTGGGCACTCCATTGGAAGAAGATCTAGGAAGCTGGGGTCATCACTTTACCTCAAAGTCCGTTCCGGATGCTATACTGCAAGCTTCAGCAGGTGATGAGGTGAGTTGTCTCCAAGTTTTTTCAATCTAATCAATCATAAACTCTAAATCCTCAATGTCAAATTTATTGAAAAGCCAATTATTGTACAGGCTTTGTGATAACTATTTCCATGGTCTATAAAAAACATTGTAGGTTACGTTTGTTTTCACAAACCAGGTAGATGGGAAGCTCATTCCCATCGAATCAAATGTCAGTCAGAAAACGGTGGAGTCCGAAGAGCACAATCGGAACCAAACTGTAAATAAGCGTGCGTTTAACAAACCACAACAAAGACCTCGGGAACCGCTGCAACCGTTATCTCTCAACGAGACCACAAAAAGAGTGAAGTTGTCTACTTATAAGCGTGTACATGGTACTAGTTACAATGATAATGCTCAGATTAAAATTTCTTTGCAAAGACCAAATCAAGTTTCTGTAAATCACGATGATGATTTTGTATGAGACTAAGTTTTTGAACCTTAAGACATTATTATGCTAATTTTGTGGACATTCTGTTTTTTTTTTTTGTTTTTTCTTGTTTTCCCTCGGAGGTTCATTAGACTCATAAGTACTCGTATCACATGATATGGTACGGTGTACTATGGATTCAAGTTAGGGATGTTTAGAAGATCCAAAGCATGCATGTACTGTATATTATTGGTTTGGACGAGTTTGATCTTAAGAGCACAAAAGAAAAAAAAAAGTGAGTCTATTAGGACCATCAAAATTTTGCTGTTGTAGGATCGAACGATCGAATTTGTTCCGTTTTGTCTTATATTTTGCCAATATGAATGCATGCATGATCTTAGATCGATCGAAGCCCAAACTTTGAAAAGTCATGACCGAACTGGATCGGCTAAATCCATGAGAAATATTGGTCTTTCTTCCTAAAATGTAAGAAACTAAAATGATGTTAGTTTAGTGGGTCATTCTTCTATTGTTTTTGCAGGATCCTGAAATTAGTGTAGAATTCGGATATTTAAAGATAAAGTAAAAATGCAACAATAATTGGACGTGTTAGTTTGTCTTTTTGTTGGTGAAGGACCTAAGTGTTAAGAAATCCGATTAGCTAGCTAGTGAGGTGAAAAGGTAATTTATTTGTTAAATAAATAACAAAAAATGAAGAGAGTTAAGTAAGAGGAAGAAGACAGAAGATGTAGAGAAAATCGGGGACAAGAAGACAGCCAAAATAAAATTTAGATACAAGTTACTTATCCACCACAAAAGTCCTCTGATACTATCTACATGTCTAGATTCCCTTACCATGCTTTACAACTTTTTTAAAAAATGTAAATCCTACTCTAGTTTTAGCTCCTGCTATTCTTTAAATTAAAAAAACTGCAAGATTGTTATAATTATGTATTTGATTGGTAACATTATCTCCACTCGTCAAAAGAATGGGAGCTAAACACATATTCACTAGAGAAACTCGATCTGAAAAACTTGGATCTGAATTTAAGTATATGCAATTGCACTCAAGAAACATGGTTTTTGCACATTCCGAAAATAATTTTTTGTACACAACTTTTATGTCCACTTACGTAGAAGTACAAAAGTACCACGCGTCAAAACCCTAGTTGGAGAAACGTGGGAAAATTCCATTAGGACTGGAAGTGAAGCACGTGAGGGTATACACGCAACAAGACAAACGTTGGCAGAGTTTTAGTCAAACCCTAAAATCTGAATCCAGAAAGATAGATTTTATACAATTTATGTTTTTTTATTGTTTTATGTTTTGGGGCTTTTGATCAGTAGAACAATTACAGCTCAGCTTCACATGGCTCTTTTGGTGCTACAGTATTTTGTCTGCTCGTTTGCTTCTTATGTTTGTCTAATAATAACAATGTATGATTAAAAAAATTTCTTACCCCTATGTGCTTAGTATGATTATCCGAGAGAAATATAGTTACTTTATTTTCTTGATTCACGTTTTTGTCTTCTTTTAGTTCTTCACTATCTCCTCCTACCTTTAGAATAATAAATTTTATAGAATTATTTGAGAGAGAGAGAGAGAGGGATTAGAGAAATATGTTCACACTTGCGACTTGCGAGTGCATAATAGTGCCGAGTACGTGAAGTAGCGGATAGTTAGGCGAATTTTTTTTCATCTTATGCGTATCATGAATGACCAGATGCGAAAATTTTCTTTTACTAAATAAATAAACGAGTGCATTAACAATTACTTTCGCATTAGCGGTATAAAAAATTGGATGCTAATTTATAAGATGAAGAAATTATAGGGTAACGATGCGGACAAGGTGGACTTATGTCGGTTAATAAAGTGCCACACTTAAATTGAACTAAATCTAAGAGACAAACAGAAAAGTTCATGAAAATTCAATGCAATGCATCTAAATCATCTATGAACGACAGATCTAGTATATGTTATTTCTTTCAATACACATTGAATTCGAACCCATTTAAAGTGTTATGCCATTTTTCTTATAATGATGCCATCTTATCTTATGTAGCTTCTTGTTTATATTTTTGTTCACCCGTATATATTAATACATGACCATAACAATCTTGATATCAGTGCAAAGTGCAAACTGTATATTTTTACTCTAAACTATTCTCTTATAATATAAGAGAGATGTTAACTAAATCATCAAATGTAATGCACTGATGAAAGAAATGTTCTAAATTTTTTTTGTATAATATACCCCAAAGAAGTACAAAATATAACTAAATTACCAAGTGACGTTTGGTTTAGTGGTGCTTACCTCTACAAAAGTATCAAAAAATATAATCTACTTCTTACACAATCATTCCAAGAAACTGAAATTCTACCCGAACATATGCAAATATTGGATTAAAGATAGTAGTTGATATTGGTTTTAAGTTTGTATTGAGTTATAAAAAGTTAACGGACAACTATACTAATTTCAAAAATTTCAACAAAGTGTAAATATTGATGTGGTCGATGAAAAATGTTTTAAATGAACTTTGATATGTGTCGGCAGTATAAATATTTGGAGACTATAATCCAAATTTGGATAAATGTTACCTTTACTTAAGCCATATTTACGGCGCATTAATGCTTCAATCAATACTTATGCTTATTTTATCCACAGAGAGCAAGTCAAAACTAAAAATTAAATAAACTTAAGTTCATTGAATCGGTTTTACTCATTATAGAAATATATATATAAAAAAAAAAAAAAAAAAAAAAGAGGAAGTCCACACCACATGGATGCCTACCAATCTCATATCTATAAAATGCAAAACATGTGGATGCATGAAAATCACAATTCAAAGACTATCACAAAAGAAGAAGCAAACTTAACTATTGAACTAAAGTGTTAAGAGTAGATAAAGAGAGAGAAAGAGATGGCTAATGCTGTAGAACAATCCTCATTGTATCCATCCTTTGTAGACGCAAGAATCTCATTCTCCAATGATTTTGCAGACAGTGATAGTAAACAGACGGCATCAAGAGTGGAGGATCAGATGAAGTACAAGGAAGCTCCCGTCTCTTCGGATTTCAAATTCAATGTCGAAAACTTGGGTTTCACTTCTGCGGCTGATGAGATCTTCTTTGGTGGAGTTTTGTTGCCACTGGAGAAGACTACTCAGAGGAAAGTGACGACACTTAAAGATGAACTAAGTGCTCAAGATTCTGACCGTACCATCATCTCAAAGGGATCTCGTAATTGGTGGAAGTTAGGTCTCAACAAGTCCAAGAAAATCCATTCCAACAACAACATCAACTTCCATCTTCCCCACAAATCTCAGGTAACATAATTATTTATTATCTGATCAAACACATGTTGTGTCTAACTTGGTTATGTAGTTCTCTATAATCTTATGTGTATATTTTTTATTTTTGCAGAATTGTCTTGCAAGTATATTGGAATCTGATGACTGAAAGATCGACTCCGGAAAAAGTCAGCTAACTACGGCGAACTAGATATATGTAATGCTAATAAAAAGCTATTATTATTTTCGATTTTTTATTGTTCTTATTTTTCCTGTTTTTCTTGGAGTTCTCTCTAATTTCTATGTAGTTTGTTTTCTATGACCTATGATCATCATCGTTAGCTATATTATTATATCTCCATTGTAGAGAAACCACTTGAATGCAACTGGTTCAGTATTCTAACTCTCTGGTTAACACCTAAATGATTAGCATGCATTATGTCCTAATTTTGTCGAAATTAACATAGTTGCCGACTGATTAATTGGATAGATATAGATGTATTAATCAGCTAGTCTCAGATAGTCCTTTAAAGAAGAAGAATTCTATGCAACTTCTTTCACTATATTCGACTAAAATGCAAGATGCCACAGCAAATAATAGAATCTAACTACTATTTGACGCCAGAAAATAATAATATAACAATAAATATAACAGTATTTTTTATTTTATTAAGTGAAACATGATTTTTCGGGAACCATGTTTGACCACGTTTCCAACATAATCCTGCCTGTGCCTGAGTGTGAGTAGTCATTACCACTCGATTTTAAAATATTTTAATGATTTTAACATAATGAAGATAGAAATATACGAGAGAGAGGGAGGTTCTTCGATGTCATCACCGTCCAGCTTAGTTTGCTGGATTTTGTGACCGGCCGAGGTCCGGTATCACCGTCAGTTTAGCCGTTAACACGACTTATCTGTTGTCGTGTTTTTGCCGTCAACACGACTTTTCCGTTGTCGTGTTTTTGCCGTCCGGTATAGTTTCCGGCTTCCATCTCCGGTGTAGCTACGGTATCTCTGTTACCATAACCTTTTGTTAGTTGCTTTTCGTTGTCGTAGATCGCTTTCTTGCGATTCTATTTCTGATAGATCTAAGTTGAAGATGCACCATCTTTTGATGGATCGATCAATTTAGTATATCTAATTTGCGGCGAAAGGTTATTTGAATAAATGAGTTTCGTAAAGCAAAAATCAAAAAGCCAAAGATGATGAATTTTCTGGGGTTTCGACCATGTCCTTTTGGTGGAAGGCGTGAATTCAGATTCCATGCGAAATCTCCGGTAGCTTTCTCTGGCGGTCCAATGGTTTCACTAGTTTTCCGGCGGATTCTCGAAGTGCTCATCATCGTTCCGGTTATCGTCATCCTACGAACAAGATGTAGACACGTGGCTTTCCTCCTTCAATGGGTTATCTTGTTTTGTTTGGGTTGAAGTGTTTGGTGACACGTGAACTTAAAGAATACTTGCTTTATGTGCTGGCTCGTAATGTTTATATTTTTGTTATCAAGCTTTTTAATTATGAAGTTCAGGTTTTATCACCTTTTAGTTCTAAGTTTGGCAGTTGGATGGGTCACAGTTTGAAGATTTCCATGATGTCTTCAAAAGATTATACTACTAATCTATGTTCTGCTGATACGATGGTTGCAAGAAGCTGTCATGACATATGCATAAGATGGAAGCTATAAGATCAGATTCGAAACTTGGTTTTCGTTTCTCTGTTCTTATTGGAGAGTCATGATGTTTTGCTTTTACCAAATGCTACCATGTTAGAGCCTTCTCTTTAGTAGCTGAATGTTGTACCCTTCTCTGTATTTCTATGTTTGTAAAGTTAGGTATGTGTTGTATCTCTTGTACTTGTACTTGCCTCTCCAAAATGGATTCCCATTGATGGATGATGCGTTTGTCTAATATATATAAATCACTTTCTGGAAAAAAAAAAGAAGATAGAAATATACGAAAAAGAAACTGACAGTTATTTTGAACAAACTATAAACACAAGAAAAAAACTGTACACTTTCACTCATTTGGCAAACTTGGTGGGGGTAAATTTACAATGGAGCAAGATCGAAAATGTTTATGTACAGAGACAAACAAACTGAATGATTCTATAAGGGTTGTTTAAAAGATTTATATTCTATACCAAAACTATCCCATCTCTTTGGCTTTTCAATGGGTAAAAGAATGGTTCTGCACTTTACTCTATTCAAACCTATACACCTGCAGGAAAATGAAACATGTTGAAACCTATAAGCCCGAGAAACCCAATCACCAAAAATCCATATAAAGAGCAAACCGTTTATAAGAATTGAAAAACCACCCAACCGGTAAACTTAGATCTCAATAAGTTTAGTAGACTTACATGCTATATGTAAAAGGGACCTCACACCATCATGGATAATCTGTAACAAACAGATTACAACACAGTGCAGTTAATGGTTAAAGCCAGGTTTGTTTCTCAAACTGCTAGATGAATATCCGCAGTTGCAATAACCAGTCTGAGAAGATGTAAGAGTATTAGGCTGACCAGGAATTTACCTGAGTTTATCGGTGTTGGTCCTGTTTCCTTTGTTTATCAGGGCCTAAGTACTTTTCCATGGATTCCTTTTTATGTTCAGGATCAAGACTGAAAGTAGAGATAATCTCCATGAGTCTTTAATACTTTGCAAATCACAGATTTTTCCAGCCGTATTTCCACAATATTTAATATGAACTAACCTATTTCTGATGCCAACTAGAGCACTATGTACAGCTCTAGCACAAGCTGAAGCAGGTGCTATAGCAGCTGTTGGAACTCCCTGAACAACTGTTGCAAATGCTGATCCAGCTCCGTCTCCACGTTGATACTTCTTCAAAGGTGTACGGACTAATGCAGAAGCTGTCTTTCCTATTCCATCGCCGATGCTCTCACATGCCTATAAAACCTCGGTAATGTAAATATATCATGATCCAGGAGCAGATATGCAGGACATGTATTGCCTTTTTCACTCACCTTAAGCATGCCTTGCTTAGCGTTTCTAGGCTGATTATGTCTAACATTCGTCTTCGTTTTGCCTTGGGGTTGTGGCAATGATGGTGCACTTGCAAATACATATTCTGCTCTCAATAAAATATCATGAGCCCCGGCTGCCAAGTGAACACCGAGTCCAACAGCTTCCAGTGAGATGCTTCTGAGAAAAGCTATAGTACCTGAAAACAGTTACAGTATCGTAATGCGTACCATAGAATAATGCAAAAAATAAACTCCTGGATGAACCAAATACATGCTGCTGAACATATTTATTTAAGAATGGATAGTATCAGGAACATGATCATGACCTGACACTGTGGATGTGTAATAATTTTGCCACAGCAGCAGATGTTATGCATCTTGCTTAAGAGAGGCAATTCCAGTATCAACTATTTTAGAAGTCTTTTATATATAAGGGTTTCCTAATCATGGTCAGAGGGCTACCAGCTATTGTCATTAACCCTTGTTCTAGAGGAATGACAATCTAGAAAATATATTAACCCCAAAAGAAACTTTTATGAATAGCTTCAGTTTTGCAAGTGGCTTCGGCAGTTGTAATATCATATACGATATCAGTGCACTATAAGTAGATTAGTTTCTGATAACAGAAAGAAAGAAAAGGAAAATAATAATGAAAATTGAGCACTTTGGGTTTTCACGTCTTACCTCTTTGGACTCCCTTCACTAGCCTTCGATCTTTCCTGTAACTTTCAACAGGTGACGAGACCAGCTTTAGAGCAGCAGCATAAAGAGCAGAAAGTGATCTTACTGTTGGGATCCCCTTTAACAGTTGATGAATCTAAAGATGCAGTTATAGAACATAAAAAAGCTTGTCAGTAAACCCATAAAATGGATGATCATTTATGTGCACAAGACAGCAGGCTATGTGAAACAAACCTGATTCTGAGATACATCTTCCAACCATTCTCCCAGTATAGTCTCACATACATTTCCCCAGCCATAGATTCCAGCAGCATGCACATGTTTGAGCTGTAATTCAATCCCCTGCATATATTCCTCTGTGATGAGCAAATGATGCTGAAAAAATCTTGAAGACACAGGTTGGAAAGTTTTGTTTCTTACCTTCCAGGGTACAAGGTTCACAAGCTCTGCATATTTCCCTCCTGTTAGTGCTGCTATATCAACATGATGGGGACTGTAATCAACTCGAACACTAACAGGCCATATATCAAATTTCTGCAAAATGAATTTAATTAGTCAGAACTTCCTCAAAACTTACGAATACAAGAACACCGAGGTTTATAATTTCAGCTGAATGACAACATGTTCTCATGCCAAACAACATGATTAGCATCACATTCATCTGAGCAAGTGAATGCTTCTCCTCCGCCATCATACTAGCTTATAGGAAGAAAGAAGCTTTATTTACCTGAAAATATGGAAGAAGCGCTTCTTCTATGATATTATGTCCTTTAACAGAAACCGACAATGTTGAACCACCTGAGTCTCGCATGGAAACATCAGGCTTTTCTAGGCTGTTAGCTCCAAAGAAGCTGATGAGAAAATCCAGTTGACTTTGATGAAGATGCAACAGTATAGGGAGTAAAGCGACCCGTAACCTGGGAGGACGCAGTTCATGAGGAAAAGGAAAGAAAGGGTATACATATAAATATATAAGCCATTAGCAGAAGGTCCATTTAAGGGGCAGAGAAAAGGAATGAAACACCAAAATCTACCAAATAGGGGGACTCTTGTAGAAACAATTCTGTATGAATATTACTAAATCCACGGAAAAGTGACCTCAATAATTTAGTATTAACGCAATTTTCCTTTCTTTGATAAGCATTAAATTTGACAATGTAGCTAATGTATAAAGATAACGAATGTAACTCAGAAAACGTTTGACAGAGTTGTTGGGAACAAAATGATTGTACTAAGTAAACAAAAATTTGTTGAAAATTTTCCTGAAGAATCATTTTGTTGAAAATTTTATTGTGCATAAAACTAGGACAGTGTTTACTGAAATAATAATTGTGGTCTGCATTCTTAGATATAAGAAGAAAAGTAAGTATAACACTGTAAATAATATAGATAGCATACCGGTTTTCCTCAAGTGGCGTCTCAGGGTCAGGTCTGACAGCTTTTAATTCCAACTTGAAAGCATATGAAGAGGAATCTCTTGGGTGATCTTTTGAGTTGTAATATCCAAGGACCTATAATTCAACGGAACAAGTTAATTTATCTACCCAGGTTTTTCTAGTATAATCAATATTATGG